CTGAAAAGGAGAAGATAAACAAACTTTATTCAATAAAGTTTGTTCAAAAACAAAAGAAAATAGTTATATTTCTTACTGAAGGGAGATAACCATGTATTGGCTACTTGTGAATGTTGGACTTTTTCAAGCACTATGCAATGTTGAAGATGCATTACAGGTAACAAGTTGAGTATCAGGACACATCCACAGTGTAAGGCAATGTATGGTTCTGTTCAGTATCATCAGACTATCATTTACATGCATATATTTCATAAAATGAATTTGCCTTTCTGTGCACTGTATTTTTTTTTTCTGGGCTTTATATTGCACCAATACAGAAAAGGTCAATTGACGAATTCCAATTTTACTAGTGGAGGAAGACCTTAGTTGCCCCTCTGTGCATTATTTTAGGCATGAGTGGGTTCCTGAGTAGAACCATTGTTCTATAAGCTAGCTGGAAAGATTCCTCACATAAAAGAATCCTAAGTCCCTGGCAGGATTCAAACACAATACCGTAAGTCCCTGGCAGGACCCGAACCCATTGTGGTGAGGGGCAAGTTGTTTGAAGTCAACGACCTTAACCAGATGGCCACGGATGGCCAATTGTGTACTGTAAAAAGGGAATCAGTATTAACTTTCAATTTGCTGAATTTGTATAAATAACTAGTGACACAGTGCAGACCATGTGTGCCAGCTCCTCTTTGTCGGCACTGATCACATAGGTATAATCTTTAATATATATTCTTGATAACAATTATACACTTAACTTTAAACCATTATAAAACACCATACCTTGCTGGACACACCAGATAAGTTGCTGGTAAAGCTCATCCAATAATAATGTATGTAGAACATCATAATATTGTGTAAACACATCTATGATGGCATATAGTGCGTGGTTACATGTTGTCGTCATCCATTCAGATTTCTGTAAAATAAAGGAAAAGTATTTAATTTATAGTCTATATGGCTTCATTAACAATATGATAAAGAAGTTAATAAACCTACATTCACTAAAAACACAGCCATTTTTAACTATAGTGTCCAAAAAATCAGAAATACCATTCAACCATGAAATGTTTATCCTGTCATTTGTGTTCTTTTAATTAAATTCATAGAAAAGTGCTGAGTCATGGTTTGCGGTTAGAAATTACAGAAAATATAAAGTTTTATAGCATTTTTATTGTTTGCGTTCAAAATAACCAAATTAAATGCACCATCTGCTTTATATGTAACTATAATCAAAATTTTTGTAAACATGTATTCATAACAAGAGCTGCCGGTCAGACAGTGTGCTTGACTATTTCTAGTGTTTGACAGTAAAACAAGTGCCTGGATAATGAAGAATTTTCTAAGTTCAAAAAGGGCCATAAATTTTTGAAAATTTACAATTGTGTTATAGGCCATGAATAGTGACCTCCTTATATGTTTTCAAATAGGTTTGCCAAGTTTCAACTCATTCCCTTTAGTATTTTTGAAAATACCAACTTGCATGCAAAAATTTAGCCAAAGTGTGATGCTGACGCCACACCTATAATAGACCTCCCTATTCTTCCAAAAGTCAAGCTAAAAATAAAATTACAGGATTACAGCTTATGTCTGAAAAAAGTAACAAAAAGAAGAAAATAAAAAACACATAGAAATTGTTTTTTAAACACAGATGCCCCTACATTACACTGTTTTGTCAGTCTCCGAACATACAGCAGGACACTGTGACGAAGGACAAAGTAAATCTATATACCCAACTCCCTACACCCCCCTTCAATTAGTGGGGGCATAACAATGAAATATTTTATGTTGTACATAATTATACACTGTATTTAAAACTATACACTTATAAAAGTGTGATTACAGCATTATTTGCATTCTAGTGTTATAAGTCTACTGTTTGCATACAATATGCTACAAATAGTTCTTAATTATAGCAAGGCATTATTCTAGTGCTTAGTGTTAGCATATAACTGATTACAATCTTATACATACATATGTACTTGAATTAGTGTCACTATTTGAATATATTATACCTTGAATAAATAATATTATGCACCTTCTTTAACTATTTTAGTGTAACAAGCCTTTAATAATATAATTTTCAAGGTGATGCCAGAGGTCAAAAAGAAATATAATGTGACCATCTGAGCAGCTCACAGTATCTTTTTATCAGTGCGAGAAAATTTAATGGTGTATAACCGCATTTTTTTTTTTCAAATTGCAAATTATACAAGTTAAAAGCTGATTTTTTTTAGAACATTTTACTTAAAATTTTAGTGTATATGCTTTATAACTTCTTTTTCATACTGTTCTAAGAAATAGTATACAGTACTTCGAACCTAATAGTATTAAAAAGATTTGCTAGTTACTTTAGTTATTAGCAAGTTATTTTTCACATATCAGTATTCATATTTAGCTTTTATATATTGTGCTTGCATAGTGATGCCTTATCATATAAGCAAATCAATGTTGGACATGTAGATGGAGAGAAGAAAAAAACAAGAGCACCGCATGCAGTGTTAATGCTCGTCCGTTAAAATAATCACTTTTGACAAAAAATCTGAGTTAAAAAGGGGCATAACTCTAAAAATATAGCTATCAATATTTTCAGAATTATGCTCCTTGTCTAACCACTGATTCTTGTAAAGATAAGCAATTATTCCAAGTTTCATGTTGATAACTTTTGAACTGTGTTTGAATAATAGGCTACATCAAAGTTTTTGCATGGCAACACAGATGAGGCAGCTATCAAAATAGCTCAACATTTTCTTTGAGATGAGCTACAAATTAAAGTTTTCACCACATCCTTAATGTGTGAAATATGATTGTTTAAAATACATCATAAGACATGCTCATAGTGCTTGTAAAATTTTTTAACAGTAGATAATCACAAATTTTACACCATATTGTGTATGAAAAGTTCTGCTTTACACTAAGCAGAAAGACTTTGTTCCTACAATATCTATTATTTTTACTCATTCAGTTAAAGAAAATAAATTAACGAATACCATTTCTATAAAAATTTCAAAAATAAACATTTTAATATCATGGTCTACCTTAAATCTTTACATCTCTTTTTAACAAACATGACTGACCTATAACCTGCTTTAGTTCATATATGGACTAGTTCCGCTTCCATGTAAAGGAACAATCCATTTTCATTTGTGGGGATATCAGGATGTAAATTTGAAGCCCGTCATCCGACAGTATCGAGCTTGGTAAGACTACACAGATGTGCAGGCTTGCGTGGCTCTATACTAGTGGTAAAGGGCTAATCACTTTTGACTTCAACAGGTCAAGAGTTAAAAATATCCCATCGTAAAAATCACTTGTTCCAACACTATATATATGTATGTAACTATATATAGGTGTACTAATACAATTCTACTCTAATAATGATGACACAAGTCAAAATATACTGTTTATATACACTTCTATTGTGATACAATTTCAGCTTTTCTGGTTATAATGTTTTATCTATTTATACATAATGTTATATCCAAGTATATATTTGTTTGAACTATCTCCTATTTTCTTGCATATCAGACAGGATTATCTACCGTTTACACCAGTGCTAGAAAACCCTGTCTTACATCCCCCATGTAAGACAAGTTGCGTGCTTTAAATGACGTCATTGCCGCCTGCATTTTATGAATGAATGACGTCACTTAACCGTTATGAATGAAGTTGTAAGTTCATAAGCTATTATAAGAAAAAAGTGCTTAATGAGAATATCAGTTTTCGTAGTTTCTGTTCTGGAAATAATTGATATCTAATATGCAAGAAAAAGAATCAGGAATCAAGTATCTAGCTCTCGGGTAACTGTTAAGAGGTAACTCGGCAGAGCCTCGTTACCACCTTAAACAGTCACCCTCGAGCTAGATATTCGGGTCTGTACCGGCAGCCGGTATAAGATTCTTAAAATCTAGTTAGAAAGTAAGATCACTGAGGCAGTAGATCGGTACAATATTTCAACTTAAACTTGATATTTGATGGGTTCTTATTGGAATTTATTAACACAAGCTTATCACTGAAATTCACAAATCAGATTCTGTTAAAAAAATTCTTGTAAAACAAATACAATTGGCAAGTGTTATTAAAGCATGTGTCTTGCAATACATGTATATATATATATCACTCATTCACTTCAACTTTATTTCAATGAACAAATTTCATTAGAAGTTAATACATTTACTTAATGTTGGACTTATAATTCATTTTTGGTGTTACATTCCAAATTATAGTTGTAACAAAAAGAAAACTAAAAAAAAGTATTTCAAAAAAGTGTAATAACGAAAAAAATGTATTTTGGTTAATAAAGTCAAAAACTTTTCAAAAAAGATATATTAACATAATACATATTGTTCTAATGCAATTTCTATTAAACCATGTAAGAATATAGCCTACATTCCCCTACATACATTCTATGAAAACTAGTTAATACAAACTCATGCACTATCTTATTTTGTTCTCAGAAGTTCCATCTTTTCAAACTTAGAATTCTAACTCAATATTTGAACAGTTACAAATTGTATAATATAAAGTCTCCAAGCAGATTAATTGCGTTTAAAAAGATGTTGTTTTATTTAACACAACGTTTCTTTTTGCAATACTCTATGAGCTTCATTTCAAGCTGTTTTCTGTGAGTAATTTACAGGCAAATTAAATATTGTTAAGTATGCAATAATTGAATTGTACATGTTGTTCGAAAATTTTTTATATTTCATATATTTGTTATCTAGCATAAAGATACAAAAGAAACAGAAAGAGAGAGAGCTAATGAGTGAAAAAGTAGCAGAAAGTGTGTTATGATGTTAGATCACCAGAGTAACTTACCCAGCTGATTTGTTGACTCGGGGTCATTTCATACTGAGAGCAACAATAAGTTTACAATAGTTTCTGTTATTTCATACATATTATATTAAATAATACATGTGCTGCAGAGATGTTTACTATATTGTGAACAAGAATGTTATGAAGGTCACTATGTCGCTCACCTTTTTCATTTTTTACATTGTTTAAAATCAAACTGTATCTATATGAATAAATTCCAGTTGTACTGATCAAGACAGATGCTGGGTGCCTTATTTGTACATTTTTAAGACATTATTTCAGGAATATAAAAGACATTTGTATTATAAACACCAGCCTTTCCCCACCCTGATATTTGTCTTTATATATGGACTCCAACCCCTTGCTTCAAAGTCAGCCATCTTTGTATGATCTACTCAAATTACTATGTACAATGATACACTGACTTCCCTTACTGTTGATGAGCAGTATTTTCATCCATGAGAGTTTGTTAATATAATGTCAAAAGGACACATAAAAAATGTGCTACACTAAATGCCAACATAAAAACTTAGTTCTTATATATTTGCAAAGGTGAGTTTTAATCTTTAGTATTGTAAACATGTGCCTATTCATACTTTATTTTTTTTTAGTTTCTAGAAATAACTATAAAACATGTGCTGTTAAAACAATGATAAAACATTCTTTCTCTTAAGTTTGCTTTTAAAATGTGGCCACAAGATTTTTTTCTTATCTTTTTTTTTCCAGAAACATTCATTGTGCATATAAGAATAAAATCAAAGAATATTTTATCATTGTTATACAGCAAGTATTGTGCAATATACTATATTTGTATTTTCATACAGCCAAAATACTAAAAAATAAGTATCACACTATTAAAAAGCAAGAAAAACTTAGAGTTAAATAGAGGGTAGCCAAACCATGTGAAATTTTGGTATACCTGCACACTCTGTTAAAACACTCGGGTAACATTTAAACCGATGTTTTACTTATTTATAGATTAATAACTCCAACAATAGATAAAACTAGAACTATCACTAAATGTGATTAATACCCCCACAAGTCTGCTTCGGAAATGAGGATGTTACTAGTAACAAAATACCTTGTTTTATTATAGAATTGAAACATAGAGTTATGGTTGAGGGCAATTAAAGATAATTGTGGTTCATGTATGTTGCATTTCCTTTCAATTGAATTACTCTGTAATAAGTCCAGAAAGACAAAGAAAAAGAACAAAGGGCAATAACTCTATAAATACTGAAGATAGAGTTATAGTTCTTGTGCACTGCACTTCCTTTAAATGTCCTTGACAACTGTATGAAGTTGTACTGAATTCCAAACAGTAGTTTTCAAGTTAAGCTCCGGACAAGGAAAAGTAACAAAGGGCAATAACTCTGTAATTAGTCAAGATGGAGTTATGGTTCTTGTGCACTGCACTTCCTCTTATTGTGATTGACCATTGTATGAAGTTGTTTTGAATTCCAACCAGTAGTTTTCAAGTCATGCTCTGGACAAGGAAAAGTAACAAAGGGCAGTAACTCTGTAATTAGTCAAGATGGAGTTATGGTTCTTATGCAGTGCACTTCCTCTCAATGTGCTTGACCATTGTATGAAGTTATAATGAATTCCAACAATAAGTCTTCAAGTTATGGTCCGGACAAAAGAAAGTAATGGAAAAGTAATAAAGGGCAATAACTCTGTAATTAGTCAAGATGGAGTTATGGTTCTTGTGCACTGCACTTCCCCTTATTGTGCTTGGCCATTGTATGAAGTTGTTTTGAATTCCAACCAGTAGTTTTAAAGTCATGCTCTGGACAAGGAAAATAAACAAAGGGCAGTAACTCTGTAATAAGTCAAAATGGAGTTATGGTTCTTGTTCACTGCACTTCCTCTCAATGTGCTGGACCATTGTATGAAGTTATAATGAATTGCAACAATTAGTCTTCAAGTTATGGTCCGGACAAAAGAAGTAATGGAAAAGTAATAAAGGGCAATAACTCTGTAATTACTTTAGATAGAGTTATGGTTCTTATGCACTGCACTTCCTCTCAATGTGCTTGACCATTGTATGTAGTTATATTGAATTCCAACCATTAGTCTTCAAGTTATGGTCCGGACAAAAAAAAGAAGGCAATGGAAAAGCAACAAAGGGCAATAACTCTGTAATTACTTTAGATAGAGTTATGGTTCTTGTGCACTGCACTTCCCCTTATTGTGTTTGACAATTGTATGAAGTTGTTTTGAATTCCAACCAGTAGTTTTCAAGTTATGCCACGGACAAGGAAAAGTAACAAAGGGCAATAACTCTGTAATTAGTCAAGATAGAGTTATGTTTCTTACGCACTGCACTACCTCTCAATGTGCTTGACCATTGTATGTAGTTATATTGAATTCCAACCATTAGTCTTCAAGTTATGCTCCGGACAAGGAAAATACAACGGACAAAAAAAAAAGCAATGGAAAAGCAACAAAGGGTAATAACTCTGTAATTACTTTAGATAGAGTTATGGTTCTTGTGCACTGCACTTCCCCTTATTGTGTTTGACAATTGTATGAAGTTGTTTTGAATTCCAACCAGTAGTTTTCAAGTTATGCCCCGGACAAGGAAAAGTAACAAAGGGCAATAACTCTGTAATTAGTCAAGATAGAGTTATGGTTCTTGTGCACTGCACTTCCTCTCAATGTGCTTGACCATTGTATGTAGTTATATTGAATTCCAACCATTAGTTTTCAAGTTATGCTCCGGACAAGGAAAATGCAACGGACGTCTGGACCGACCGACCGACCGACCGACCGACCAACCGACCGACCACCGGGTGACTCCTATATACCCCCCCAAACTTCGTTTTTGGGGGTATAATAATAAGCACACTAGTGTGTTGAAGAATATAATGAATACAGCTTAGTATTTCAAAGCTATCTTAAGATGTGGAATTCCCAATCTGTTATCTTCTTCTTTACTTTTTCTTTACAAATTTACAAATTACTTTCAAGAAAAAAACATTTATAAAAATATTCTATTTCCTTTTATTAAAATGAGACAACAGATTGACCCTGTAAGTACTGCAAAGATATCAAAACATCACAAAAGTTCACCTCCCTGTCTTGTACAAGTCCAGAAAATAAAAACAAAAATGCTTCAAAGTGTCAGTCAAAAACATACAAACAAACAGATATACAGAATATACAAGCGATTAGATTCAAAATCAAAACACTACATGTATAAATCAGTGAAAAAAGTCAAACAGAAAAGAAAGTTACACTCAATCATGGGATGATAAAACAGTGAAAGTTGGTGTGGAATAAAAAGGAAAAACATTCCTGGCAAAGAGTAACAGTTCTGAGGACAAAGGAAATCAAAAGATATAAGATATTCACTCCAATGCCTAAAACATGCGATAGAAGATGATGTAAAGTGATTTTTGTTCTTCATAATGAATGAATAAACAAGAGCACCGCTAGGCGGAGCATTATATGCCCGAAAGTGTTTTTTTTTTTAGTAAAGATGAAGCATTTGTAAGACATGGGACTAAAATAAAGTATTACCTCCTTCAAATAACAATCCTCCTTTGAAGTTTCAATATTGTGGTCCAAATGGAACTTTAAGTTATGTCCCAGAAACTGTTTTCAATTCTAAGGTAAAAGTGACCTTGACCTTTGACCTTGTGACCCCAAAATCATTAGGGGTCTTTTACCCAATATGGACAATCATACTATGAAGTTTAAACACAGTAGGCCAAATGATACTAAAGTTATATTCCGAAAACTCTTTTCAGTTTTAAGGTAATAGTGACCTTGACCTTGTGACCCAAAAATCAATAGGGGTCTTCTACGCAATATGGACAATCATCCTATGAAGTTTGAATATTGTGGGCTAAATGGAACTAAAGTTATGCTCAAGAAACTGTTTTCAATTTCTAAGTAATAGTGACCTTGACCTTTGACCTTGTGACCCCAAAATCAATAGGGGTCTTCTACCCAATATGGACAATCATCCTATGAAGTTTGAACACTGTGGGCCAAATAGAACTTAAGTTATTCTCCAGAAACTGTTTTCAGTTCTAAGGTAATAGTGACCTTGACCTTTGACCTCAAAATCAATAGGGGTCTTCTACCCAATATCGTCAATCATCCTACAGGGTGTCCGTTTGACCCTTGAAATGACTCTTTGACCCTTCAAATTTCCAAAAGGCCTGATTTGATCCTCAGGATTTTAACTGGAGGGTCAAATTTTGTTAAAATCATGGGGATTTGGCCTTTTAGTCGGTAAACTTAATCAAAATGACCCTCAGGATTTTATGGCTATTGAACACCCTGATCCTATGAAGTTTGAACACTGTGTGCCAAATGGAACTTAAGTTATGCTCCGGAAACTGTTTTCAGTTTTAAGGTCATAGTGACCTTGACCTTTGACCTGTGACCCCAAAATCTAAAGGGGTCTTCTACCCAATATGGACAATCATACTATGAAGTTTGAACACTGTAGGACAAATGGAACTTAAGTTATGCTCCGGAAACTGTTTTCAGTTTTAAGGTAATAGTGACCTTGACCTTTGGCCTTGTGACCCTGAAATAAATAGGGGTCTTCTACTCAATATGAACAATCATCCTATGAAGTTTGAACACTATGGGCCAAATGGAACTTAAGTTATGCTCCGGAAACTGTTTTCAGTCTTAAGGTCATAGTGACCTTGACCTTTGACCTTATGACCCCAAAATCAATAGGGGACTTCTACCCAACATGGACAATCATCCTATGAAGTTTGAATATTGTGGGCCAAATGGAACTTAAGTTATGCTCCGGAAACCAAATTGCTAACGTTTTCAGTTTTAAGGTCATAGTGACCTTGACCTTTGACCTTATGACCCCAAAATCAATAGGGGTCTTCTACCCAATATGGACAATCATCCTATGAAGTTTGAATATTGTGGGTGAAATGGAACTAAAGTTATGCTCCGGAAACCAAATTGCTAACGGACGGACAGACGGACGGACGCCAGGGGGTATAACATAATATGTCCGAAATTCTTTCGGGCATATAAAAATAGATCTCCCAAAATATACAATAGGAAAAATAAACAAGATAAACATATCATTCCTCTATAATTTTTTAGACATTTGTTTTCAACTTTCATCATAAAATCTGATATTGTAATTGTAACTATCTAGTCAGTGGTTTCTCTCCTTTAACTGGCAAAAGGACTTAACCTCTTGATTTTGGGAAAAACATCACTAAAATCGCTAATTTAGGAAGTAAAAAAGCTGGTGTAAAATTAAGATTTTTTGGGAAAACTGCATATTTTAAAGATTGCTGTCTATGCTATGACAATATTGAATACTTTTAACTGTTGACATTCAAAATAATTCATAATTTCGACTAACTAGAACTTTAAATTGACACATCAATTTATTAAGTTTTCTCTTTCAGTCCATCTGACCATTACTGATATTTTTTTACAGATTTCCAAACTTTCACTGTTTTACATCTCTGACAGGGTTAAAGTATTATACTAAAATAAGCAAATTAGTTACCTGAACATAATAATCATCCTAGACAGAAAATATATCGTGTAAAATAATCACATTAATTATAGCATTGAGTAAGAGTCACATATTGTGTATAATAATCACATATTGTGTAAAAATAGTCACATGTTGTGTAAAAAAATTGGACATATTGTGTACAATACTGACATATTGTGTACAATATTCACATATTGTGTAAAGAGCCTCATATTATGTAAAAACAGTCACATGTTGTATACAAAAGTCACATGTTGTATACAAAAGTCACATGTTGTATACAACAGTCATATATTTTACAGAAATAGTCACATATTGTATACAAAAGTCACATGTTGTATACGACATAAAGTATAACTGAAATGAGGATAGATACACAACATCACACAATATTGTGACAATATGTGACAATTGCATTGATCTTAAAAATGTAATATTCCTTTCATTATAATGTGATGCATCCTTAAACTAAACTAAATCTGAACTGTCCTTCAACTCAATCTGGAATTTCTTTCAACAATAACCTGACTCTGTATAGCAACTAAGTCAAGGAGAGAGTTTCTAAAAAAGCTTCTAGCTTTCTACTCAATCCTTTTTGCATTTTATTGTAATATATTTAGTATATATATTTGACTGAAATAAAATATTGTTTACACCAACCTGACTCTCTTTAAACCATAGTTTGAAATTTCAGTACTTTAAATTTCACTCCACTTTATCTCATCATTTATATAAGCAGACTCTCTTGTTTTCATCTAATTTAAAACGTACAATTTTTTTTTTGAAACTATTTTTTTGACATTACATGTTAAACAGTTAAATGTTAAACAAGATTTAAGTCAATTGTTAAAATGCACTCAAACCCCATTCAAAATTATAAAAGAAACATTCCAATTAAAAAATCTTGCTGGTGTTAAAAAAGGGTCATTCCAAGAGAAAAAAGCAACAAAAATACGTGATTCATAGTAAAATACAATGGATGAACAACTTTCAAAAATTCCATACCAGTTTCATACCATTTGCTAAATTAAGCCTTATTACACAATGATAAAACAAATATAATAACTTACTTCATTTTGCGCTTCTGGCAATTTCATGTTATCAAAGATTCTAAAAACAATTCGGAACAAGTCTCGCCACCAATGGGGCTCGAATGATTCACCGTAGGTCTTCATTATCTCAAACATCACTGTTAGACCCCTGAAAATAATATACAATTTTTATTTTACATTTAAATCCTTTTTTCCCTCTTTTTTTTCAAACTTGAATATAAAATGAGATTTGTAAACATGGAGGTAATATTTCAAAGATGTTTTTACGATACCTATCCACACTGATAATAAATGATTCACAATCAGTTGAGGATAATCAGGTGCTATCCAATGGTGAACAGAACAAAGGGTCAAACTTTATTCTGTTTTATTGCCTGATATTAAAACCACTAGAAAATAACAAAAGAAATGGCAATTTCCACCTCCCCCACCGTCTCAAAAATTGACCGTTTGTGGTATTGTGAGACTGATAGAAAACAACCCTTGTCGAAACTGAAAACTGTAAAGACTTCCCGTCAAAATGGAGCCAGGACAGCCTGAACAGCCGTGTAGTCTTACCAGACTATATACTGAACTAACTTCCAAATATTTATGTTGATCCATAAAATTTAAAAAAGGACTTTTACAAAATGGAATCTTGACATGTTCATTAAAAAATTTCAACAAGTTAAGAATTGATGATGTCTTGAAAAATTTAAAACAAAACATAAAGCGTTGTTAAAAAAGTTGCTAAATATCTTTGCCATTTGTAATAAGTATGTGTTTATTTTAAAAGTTTATTATTACCAGCACCAGATATTGAGAGTGGTGGTGTAATAAATCTACAACATTTTCTACATAAAACAGTCCCCATACACGTGTATTGTACAACCAGTCCGGTTAAACTTTGCCGATATTTCGACTCAATTAGTAAGTAACTATTAGATTACACCTACCTTGTTCTTACATCAAGTTTACACCTATTTATCACACAAGATAACTCAAACAATACAGGGAACCAGCCCTTCACCCAGACACGATCAGATTCTGGTACGTTCAGATCATCCCCAGTGTGCTCTTTGAACATCTGAAACAAAAACAAAATCCATAAAATTTCATAGAGATCTAGAGTGTAAGACTGTAACTTGTTGAATACATGTATATAAATTTCGAAAACTGTACGTGACATTGTTTTCACATTGTTACGGTCAATACTCAAGTTTTTACAAAGTGTGTTTCTTTTATTTAATGAACATGTAAATCATATTTATTTAGTAAGTTTTAGTAGGACAAACACGGTTAAGGTCATATGGCAACTTTGGCAATTTACTGGTGGAGAAAGACATTTTGTTCCCCTTCATGAATTGTTTTAGACACAAGGTTACACTAGAGAAGAACCAATGAGGTTCCATAAGCTACCTGGATACCTTCCTTAATGGACATTCTTAGTTTTTGATATAATAAAATGTTCGGTAATTCATGTAAAGTTTAGTATTGATCCCTTAAGTAAGGGGGAAAATATAAATAAAAGAGTTCTGTTTCTTGTCTCCAAACTCCAAAACTGGATGTAGGTATGTATGAATTCCTTTTACTACATGTAATATGTATTATATAATTTTGTAAATTATCATATTTTGAAAAGGCAGGCAGTCTATAGTTGGCAGTTAGATAAGAGGGTCAGTTAGAAACCCTGTATCAGAACTACTTTTTTCAGCCTTATCTTCCTGTTGACATGCTAGATAGCTTATTCTTTCTTTTTTTCACATATTTTTTCACATATTTTTTGTCACCTTAGTTAAGTATGTATACATAACAAACCCTAATTTCACCAAAGAATACCAAATAAAGTCACAACAATAAAAACCATATATTAAGAATGCTTCTCAAAGAGTGTTAAGGCTAAAATACACAACACAGCAAAGAATAGAGTAAGAAAAAATGTTTGAAGGTATGTAAGTATGCAATCAATAGGCCCATTAATCTACAAGTGATATCACTTCATAACAATAATCAATCAAAAGTACAAGAGGGCCATGGTGGCTCTTTATCGCTAACCAGAGTTTATAGATAAGTAAAGTTCTCTCTATAAATATAATAGGAAATGCAACCCCATAATTATGATAACATTGGTAGTCAGTCACATAATGAATTATTCCTGCTTAATTATTTAGAAATCTGACCAAATGATTTTACCACTTTATCATTCACATACATAAGAGTGATCCCATCCCATTGTAGCCATGTTTAAACTTATCATTTTTTTTAACAAAATTGGAAGATGGTCATCATTATTTATATGAGATAATATCAAATTGAAACTAAGTAATTTAAAAGATCACTTTCAAAGTTGTCCGTACATAGTTTTTTTGAGTGGACATATTGTGCTTTAAAGTTTTACCTTTTGGTTGCCAAGTCAACAAAATGAAATTTCTTGCACAACTTTGAAAAGGGATCACCCAAGGGATGGACGGACTAAAGTTGCTCATCTGAGCACACTATGCTCTAGTGAGGTAAAAATTGAGTCTGATGGTCAGATATTTGTAAAAATAACGTAAGAGAAAAACAAAGCAATTGATAAAAATATTAGGCATTCTACAAGTTAAAGTAAACAATCTATAAGAAAGGCTACACATCACTCAAGATTTATCCTTTATCAATTCCAATATGTTTAACTTCTTAACCTTTTGATCACCAGTTAGTAACTGACAAAGAACCAAAGAAGTTGGCAATCATCATGCAGTTCCACAATAATTTACACTTTCAGCAGCACAATTATACCATTCTTTATCATGAAAATCTTAAATATATCAAATATCAAATTCAAGAAGCACGGCAATGCATTGCAATTTTCAAAAAAGTCAATAGTGCAGTGAAAAGATTTAAGCAATCTGATTGGTTAATTTTAGATATAAAAAATGTTATTTTGTCGGGTGCGCAAAGTCCTAGGGATTGTGTACAGCATATTGGAATTATATGGATTTTATTTCATCTAATTAAGAGTTTATCTTATGTATAAATCCATGCCTTGTAATGCACATATGTGTAACAAATACGGCAGCATTTCTGTAGGCTATTAATCCATTATATGTGCATTTACTCAGGCAATATTTATACGAGAATAAAACAGTAGTTTAATATGGAATTAGAGCCACCACATTCTGTAAAAATTTACCAGAGCATAATCCATATCCTTTGTATTGGCTTCAATTTCTAAATGTATAAATCTCTGAAAAAATACCATTTTTATCGACAAGATGGTTGACATGTCAAGAACACTATTATTTATTCATTCTTTATATTAAGTGAATTAAAAATTGTAACAAGAGATGACCATAAGCGCACTCGACTATTTTCAGTGCTCAGTGCCTAACAATAAGAAAAGGGGCATAACTCTTCAAAAAGGTAATTCAGAGTTACAGGACCTGTGCCCATCATGTAATATAATGACAGAGAACAAGTGTGTAAAGGTCAAACCCACAGTCCTCTGTAGTTTTGGAGATAACAACTTGCACCCTAAAACTTGAACGAAGTGTGACGCCAGGGTGAGTACAATAAATCTACCTATAGTCAAGCTAAAAATTATTATTTACTACATAGATTATTTATATACAGTATTGCACACATATACTATACAAGTCAAAAAAGTGCAAGCCAGATAGCATAACAAACTATGAATATATGTACGTAAAAATTATAAAACTGCCACGTTGACCTTGAGAATACATTATCAAATCTAACCTTGACTCCTTAATCAATTGACCTTATAACTTTAATATGGTAACAACCCTTTATAAAAACATAACATTCAACACAATTTTTACAACGGACATGCAAATACATTTATCAACACACAAAAGGTAACTTACATGGGGTTTTTCTGCCACATATTTTGCACAGTTACGGATCAGTCGTATAGCCTCCATGCTGGTGTCTGGGAATGCAGCGTTACACGCAAACTCTGATAGACACTTGACAGCATCTTGGAATGAATCCATTACAGCCGCAAAATGTTTGTCAAAAACAGATGCTAAAAAAACAATGCAAAATTCATATATATCATAGTTGGTTTTTCTTTTCACAAATTTTAAATGAAAATAACTTCTTTTAAATAAGCATTGAATACTTCCTATTGATTTGACTTGATTCATATATACACATTCATAAAACTTTAATTCTTTTATGGCTTTTTCTTTTCATGCAAATACTAGTTTGTTGTGCTTTAGCCTAGAATACTAGATGCTCAGTCACTCTGGCATGCTTCTGTATTATCATAATCTTACAATGTCATTGCTAGGAAATAATCCAAATATGTAAATATAAATTTTAAGCAATACAGGATATTCAAGTTTTTCTATAAATCCTTTATATTTATAGAAATAAAAAAGCTTGAATTTTCTGTTTATCATATAAAGTTTTATCTTTTTGACATTACAATCTTAAAGACTTTCACTTAAATTTCGTAGACTGGCAGATTAAAAAAGAAAGTCATCTGGCAAGACACCAGTGAAAATACGAAACAAATAAATTTTTACAGTGAAAATATAGAAAAAGAAAACACGCTTTTTTTTTTTTATCAATATTTCTCAATATTTCATTTATAAGTATATAATAAACACATTTTATTAAACATATTGAACATACATATAATTTTGCCGGTAGTTTGGAATGCAAGTTCTACAATGCCCTCATCCTGATCGGAGGCCGCCAGATGAAACACGCTGAATATATTCTTCCAGCCAGATTTTATATTGGCTGCCTGCGAGTTCACCATCTGAGCCACACATCTCACAACCATGTCACGTATAGTTGGTGACCTTGAAATAAAATCAGGAATCAATTATTAATAGCTTATTTCTTGACTTTAAAGTAAATGTGAACATGTAAAGATGTATTTTTTTATACATTTACAAATTGCTTATTTATTTTATCAAAACTAAATTTTAAATATAAACTTCGAAGGCGAAAGCAGTAATGACACAGGAATATTGGTATAAGTGGGAGGAAATAATCTGTCGTATTTAGCAAATTTAAAATGATTATATTTAAACTTGGTAAGCCTTTATGCACAGCCTCAACTGTTTTTACTTCTTTTTAAAACTAGCATCATTCCTTGTGTACTAGTGACGAATATTGAGAGTCAAAGCAATCTGAAAGAGTCATACTGTCTGGAGTGTACATTCCTTGAAGGCTACTGGCCGCTAGTCTTTGTAGTCAGATCCCCACCTTTCTTATACATAAAATATAATCTTTATTTAAATTAAGTTCCGACATGGGAGAATGACAAATCTGAACAAAGTCCTTTACTTAAATTTATAATATCTACAATTTACACTTCACTTACCTATTTCTTTTCATGATATGTTCAAAGGGCCTGAGAAAATCTTTCTGGAACCTGAAGTTGGCAAATTCACCTTTCTCGATAAACTTCATAGATAACTGCCGCAAGGAATCAATTGCGAAGAAGGCAATATCTTCATTCTGGTTACATCCCACCTGAAAATTGGTTTCATATATATATAGATAACTGCACATTGTATGATGCTTAATGTACATTCCAGACTTTTCCTACTTTTAATTATTTGAAACTGTTAATATTAAAGCTTTGGGTATGATTTGCCACTATCACCTGCATAAAGTCAGGCTGCAAAGTCATTAAATCTAACCATACCTTAAACAAGAGCTGTCAGTAGGACAGCACACTCGACTATTCCAAGTGCTTGATAGTAAAAGAGCCTTGATAATGTTAAATTTTTTAAGTTCACAAAAGGGCTAATTTTTTTTTATGAATTCATGTTATAGGCCTTAGAGAGAGTCTAATTATAAAGTATTGGCTTGACTATTCGGAAGGTAATGTCACAAGGGTGTTTTATTGAGTATAATAATACTAATTACCTATGAATACATAAATTTGACAGAAAAGGTACAAAGGCTTGTTATTAAGATGTTTTATCAAGTAAATCATTGCTTTATTATTATGAATGCATAAAATTGTCCCAAAAAAGGCACAAACCCTTCAGTAGTTATTGAGATAACAGCTTACAAGCAAAACTTTACCATGAATTTCTAAGTTGAAAAAGGGGAGAAAAATCAGCCTAAATGCAAGACAGAATTATGGATCTTTGTCAGTGACCTACATATATGACCCTAAATGCATATGTGAAATTCTAAATAAATATCTTTAATAGTTATTGAGATATGTAAAACTTGCATGTAAACATTAACCAGGAGACTAAGTAGAAAAGGGGATATGAATCAGCCTTAATGCAAGATAGAGTTATGGAACTTGGTCAGTGACATACAATTATGACCCTAAGTGCATGTGTAAAGTTTCAAGTAAATATCTTTGAAGACCTTTAACCTTTAACCAAAATTTCTAAGTTTCAAAGGGGCAAATAATTCTGCAAATATTGCAGGCAGAGTTATGCAATTTTGCAAACTGATGTACATTGTTACTATAAAAAAGTATTTTAAATTTCAATTGAATATCTCAAGCAATAATTGAGATATTTGACTTTACAAAAAAACTAACCAAAATTTCTAAGTTCCAAAGGGGCAAATAATTCTGTCAATATTGTAGGCAGAGTTATCCAACTTGTCAATCTGATGTACCTTGATACTATTAATAAGTATTGTAAGTTTCAATTGAATATCTCAAGCAATAATTGAGATATTTGACTTTACAAAAAACTTTAACCAAAATTTCTAAGTTAAAAAGGGGCATAATTCTGTCAATATTATAGGCAGAGTTATCCAACTTGTCAATCTGATGTACCTTGTTACTATAAATAAGAATTGTAAGTTTCAATTGAATATCTCAAGCAATAATTGAGATATTTGACTTTACAAAAAACTTTAACCAAAATTTCTAAGTTAAAAAGGGGCATAATTCTGTCAATATTGTAGGCAGAGTTATCCAACTTGTCAATCTGATGTACCTTGTTACTATAAATAAGTATTGTAAGTTTCAATTGAATATCTCAAGTAATAATTGAGATATTTGACTTTACAAAAAACTTTAACCAACACAGACGCCGACGCGGACGCCGACGCCAGGGCGACTACAATAGCTCTCACATTCTTCGAAAAAAACTATTGGCTTAATTTTAGCCTTTTGATATTGTTTAAATAACAATGCACAGTTCAAAACATGGCAAGTCCATTGCCAGACTTTAGCAGGATAAAGTTCACTCAATTTTGCTGAACAATAAAAACAAGAGCTGTCGGTAGGACAGCAACGCTCGACTATTCTTAGTGCTTGATAGTAAAAACAAAATGCTTGATACAGTTACCTCCTCCAATTTACAGGTTGGGGTGATGATGGTGAACAAGTGTGCAAAGTTTCAAAGCCATATGTCCATGGACTTTGAAAATATTTGAGGTATTACAGAAACTTTAAGGTAAATTCTAAGTCGAAAAAGGGGCATAATTCTGTCAAAGTGCTTAATAGAGTTACCTCCTCCTGTCTACAGGTTGGGGTCATGATGGTGAACAAGTGTGCAAAATTTCAAAGCCATATATCAATGGTTTTTGAAAATATTTGAGGTATTACAAAAACTTTAACGTAAATTCTAAGTCGAAAAAGGGGCATAATTCTGTCAAAATGCTTGATAGAGTTACCTCCTCCTGTCTACAGGTTGGGGTCATGATCGTGAACAAGTGTGCAAAGTTTCAAAGCCATATGTCAATGGACTTTGAAAATATTTGAACTATTACAAAAACTTTAACATAAGTGGTTACGCCGACGCCGACGCTCGGGTGACTACAATAGCTCTACTTATTCTTATCAAATAGTCGAGCTAAAAAGTAGCTACAACACTAGAGAAGAATATAAGAACTACTTTTAAGTGATATTAATTTTACATACATATACTTAAAAAAAGGTTTTTCTTACACAAGCTTTTCTGTGAATTTAAAAATGATCCGCATCTGCAAGGATCAAATTGTTGAATGAATCCTTGATATTTAAATATTTATTTTTTGTATTCACTTCAGTAATTTGTTAAAATCATAGAGTCATGATATTTACCTTATTGAAATGGTCGCCAAGATACTGCCATATACGGGACCACTGTAGCCTGATACGTCCCATGTTGTAGTAGGATATCTCGACAATCTTCGTAAGACTGAACATTCTAGGTCGGCTATGGTTGGCTAATTCCTCTACTGACACCTGACACAGCGCCTTCACAAACTCAACTAAAAAGATGACAGTAAAATATTAACAGATTGGAATCAGGCAAAAGTTAGTTTTTATACAAGTGGATATTTCCGTGTGTCGAAAATTTAGCGAATTTACAATTTCAGACATTTCGCATGAGGAAATATAAGCGAATTATGCAAGTGTAGAATTCAATAGCATAAATTAGCATTCTTAGTAATAAATTGTTTCCAGAGTAGTTTCTAATATTAGTAAATAATGATATATTTGACATACCTATAGCATCTCCATCAAGTTTCACTGATCCTGTAAAGATTCTATCAACAGCTACCACGACACTTTGTGAACTTGTTTCACCCATAGTCTCCTGGAAGTTGGCCAGCGTCTTAGAGCCAAAACCTCCTTTAGCAATGGCTACAAAAAAATTTGGTCAGAAATTTATAAAACATTCAATAGATTCCTTACTCCAAATTCATATTATAAGACATGAAAATTTAGAATTCTTAATATAAAACAGATTTCTAAATAAATATGCTGAAACTTTTACTTGCTCAAAATGGATGAATTTTTTTTTCATTTTCCTCGGGATAAAAAATTTGAGTAAATACACAAAAATAACAAGTGTCATATTCCCATACTGCACATGTCCTACTCTATACCATTGTGTTAAAACAATAAAGGATGGAAATGTGATATTCATTGTTACTAATAAATATTGCTCATAGTTTTCTTATTTACTATCAGAATTAAGTTGATACATCATATTTATATTTCTACAATCTTTACGACAGGTCAAGGTCAAGTCATCCTATTTACCAGGGATAACTTGTTGACCTGGTGTGATTAACTCTGGAGGGTGTGTTTCTACAGAGGCTTGCTTTGCTAGAAAGAAATGCCTTAGATGCAACTGTCAATGCATCCTTCAACATCTCCATTACTTTCTGTTACTTAATCACATGTCATTAAATTCATTAAAAAAGATTAAAAGATATTTCTATTGCATTATATCAAAATATTTATTGAAGGTGACGGAAAAAAATCAATAAAGCAACAAATGATGAAATAGTATAAAATGACAGCATAAGAAGTCACCACTAATGAGGGTTTAAACACCGGACCAACAAGTGCGCAGATATTCTTGTCCTAACGATTAATTCTATTCAACAGCATAAATGAAATAACTATAACAAAAGAAATGTAACTTACCTTCAGGATCAAAAGCCTCTATATGATAGGCTGTACCACCATTAGATTTCTCTCGTTTATGTGACGGGATATATTTGGTTTTGACTGATGTCCCAATTAACTGAGCCAGCTCTAGCTGGGATATACACTTTAATACCTGTAAAATAAACATTGCATTGTGGGTAAAGTTAAATAATAATACAAGCATCACTTTAATATTTGCTTTATTTTCTAATTTCTATATGAAAAAACATATAAATAGAAAGAATAACTTTAATTTTTTTAAGTAAAAAATTTAAAAATTTGTTTTTCTTCTATCATAAAAAAGATTAATTTCATTTATTGTCAGTGTAAAAATACCATTTACAAGTTTATGAATTCTTTTTTAATACAATGAAAAATACTAAAATATATAAAACTCAATCTTGGTGTACCAAACTTTTCTTAAATGTGAATGCAATCATTAAGTGCAAGACATAGAATTCATGACAGTTTTATTGCAAAATATTCAATTAATGATAACTTACTCAGTATTAAACAATAAATAGAAATACTATCATAATAATAATTATACATCCTGTTTGACTTGTTCAAAAATTACTGAAGAAAGACAACTCTCATATTTAAGTTTCTTAAAAAAACTAGTAATATCTTAAAGAAAAGTCACTGAGGTCTTATCAGTAATTTAACAGTTATCTCTAATAAGGAGAAATATTGTAAGTGGAAGCATTTTCTGAAATATTTATTTCAATCAGCATATAAGTACAGCATAATCACCAATTTAGTATAACATGTCATGCCTTGTTAGTAAATAGAATAATTAAATATCTGATATTCTTTTTAACAATAACAGACCTGTCTGTTTTAGTTCATGAAAGAAAACTCATGTCTACATGTATATCAGTGAGATATGGGCTAAATCACACTGTATATCACTTACTTATTGAACTCATTCTATATCATTCACCATAATATTTCACAGTATATCATTCACCATATATCTTTCACAGTATATGATTTACCATATATCTTTCACAGTATATTATTCACCATATATCTTTCACAGTATATCATTTACCATATATCTTTCACAGTATATCATTTACCATATATCTTTCACAGTATATCATTCACCATATATCTTTCACAGTATATCACCCACTGTATCTCACAGAATATCATTCACTGTATCTCACAGAATATCATTCACTGTATCTCACAGAATATCATTCATTGGATATCAGAGTATATCATTTACTGTATCTCACAGAATATCATTCACTGTATCTCACAGAATATCATTCATTGGATATCACTAACTGTATAAAATTCACTTAGTATCAGTCAGTGTATACAACCCATTTTGTTTCACTCACAGTTATTCACATGTTATATATAACTCACTGTACATAACTGCGAAAATGTTAGTTTCTTAATAAAATAACATGAAATATAGTGTATTTGTTTTTCTTGATCTGGAGTATATTTTACTTTGAAGTGAAATTCACTGATATATTTCTATTTATCACTTACGTATTTGAAATATTTCACTTCTTAAAGAAAATATAACCCATATGTAATCAAAATAAACAATTTTCTTTATGTAACTACATGCATACATATATCTATAATTACCTCTAACCACGATTTGCCCAGATAATTCCCATCAGTATGTGCAACAGAGATTAGAGTTTTGATTGTGTCTATATTTTTAGTTTTCATCTCGGTTATCGGAGAAGCTGCGGTCAGCAGTGTGAATCGTGCGAGTGCTTGAACATATGCGTCCCGTTCCAACTGTAAACATACGTCACCAAACCATCATGATTATTGTTATGTTAAATTTTATTACAAAACCAACATAAGCTTCTGATGCAATAAAGCAAATAATTTTCTAAAAATGCTTTGGCATTTTTAAAAATATTTTTAGGGGTGGAAAAAATGTTTTTGTCAGTCATTAGAAAATTTTATTTTGGCTGTAAGTCTGATTTATCATTAAGAGAAAAGGGGGATAAAGACTGTTTTCATTTTCCGCACCAAAATACAGTACCACCAAAATAAATGTAAGGTCAAGCTGACTATTCATTTTATCAAATTATTTATGTAATGAATTAAAGTGTAATTTTACATGTATTGAACTGACAGTAAAATTTAGTCAGACATTTATTTTATTGGTCTAAGATGTTTAACAACAGAAGCTTATGTACATGTTTAAAGTCTATTACAAACCCCAGTACATGTATATTGTCTACAATTACCTACACAACCATATTACATAATTCCCAACAATTATATATCATATATTCAGACATATAAAAAGGTAATTTACTTGATAAAATTCTGATGAAATCTGTAAATCAATATTTTTATACATATATAATTACACCATAATTAAAATTAAACAAAATTTAGGTTCTTGTCCTATCTTTTCTTTTCATGTTTAAGAAAAGTTTTGAAAGTGTAAAAATACCTTTGACCTATTTAACAGCATAATTAAATACAAATAACGCATCAGTACAGTGTAATTACATGGTAAGAAGATGTATCTAAAGTTGTAATTCTTTATATTTCTGAATTATCAAACTATAAATTGCTTAAGAGAAGCAGTTTTATGACTGTTGTACAATAGTGGACCGCAATTAAAATCGTAAACTTTAAAACTCATTTCACTTATAAGAAAAGGCAAATCCTATCTAAGCAAAAAGTACTTAACAGTTGACACGGTGCTTGTAACATGTTAAGATAAAGGGAGACAATTTAAAGGAATCATTGGCTTACAGTTATCTTATCTTGACAAGTGAAGAAAATTTATATCACATACAGAAATAAGATTATATTTTGATTAACAACGTGAAGCAACATAGAAAGATTGTGTCTCACTGATGAACTCTGAAAATTTAAAAGGGAGAAAATTTCAAATTTTATTTAAATAACGAAACATGGAAGAGTTATCTTACCTCCATATGGAATATACATGAAATACGTATGGCACATCGGATACCATCTAGACAAAGAGAGGCAATTTGTGAATTATCACAGTCCTGTAAACCGATACTAAATGCTGCCAGAAATGGTGTCCACGCCATCTGTAAAATATACAATAATAATTTTCACACTGACACAAAAAATCTCCTTTATCTCTTCAACTTTGGAACTAATGGAAGAGTTCTACCCAGATACAGACTGTAGAAAATGGGTCAAAGAAAGAAAAGGCCGGTTTGCATTTGTATACCAAATATCATGAGGCTTTGATGTTACAAAAAATGTTGAATTTTACGAAGCTCACACACCATTTTGGTCACAACAAGAGTGACTTCAAGCATTACCAGTGAACAAAGACCTGAATTACTTGTCTATGAGTTACTTCTATCACGAAAGGACAGTAAACTTTATATCATGGACTTTTGTCCAGCAAGGTGGGCAGTTTTTAAACATTGAACATATTCAACAGTCAGTATTGTATATCAAATCAGGATTCAAGTTAACAACAATGAATGGCAACCAACTGAAGTAATGCAACTTTAACAACATTATAGTTCTTTGTAACAGTGTTGTTCGTGGGAAATTTATAATAATAATAATATTCAAGTAGACAGCCAAAACTGAATACAGTATCATTAAACACTTTAAAAAATCACAATATATCTTCATTTTTAAAATTTTTCCTTTATTCCATATTTTCATATTTCAATGTATTTTAATTTTAGATAATACAATACTGTTCTGTTTTTATGTATTTCGCAGATGTACAGACAAACACAGTAAAAAGTTTACCTTAAACATAGGTCTGACATGTTCCTGGTGTTTTGCACTCATGAAGTTAGATTCAACATGGCTGACACTCTCCATGAGAACCTTGGCAGCCATTGCCATGTGTTCCATCTCTGTGTTATACAACATACGTCTATGTTTGTCACTGGTGATATCCCCTGTAATCATACAGTCAAATCATTAACTGAATGTTAATAACTATGACCTGAACTATGAACTAAAAATAACTTGAGAGGACTATGAACTATATACAGCTAACCATGAGAGATACATGGCTTAACATGAATGTTTGAAGCTTTATTTTGTTTTATGGTGCACCAACACAATTTAGGTTATATGGCACCGAAACAAGAAAGGTGATTTTGGCTTACCTCAGGTGTTATAAACTTTAAAGAACACCGGAATTCAAAACCACCCCACTTGCTGGAGCCAAGAGATGCATAGACTCCAGTAATTCAAACCCATTTTATTGCCTCTAACTATCATGCAGGGATAAAAGGTGGCTGCAATTCTGATGCCTTAACACTTAACGGCAACCCATCAGCCACAAGAGGGAAAGAATTGAAGCTATGAACATTTTCATTATTAACAAACCCACGGTTCAAGTTTTTAGTAACATGGCAATGCCCCAGCTTTCAGTGGAGCAGAAACAAACCCAATGTGTTATACCAAACGCAAGCAGACAACTGACACTACTGAAGTAAATGGTATCTTTCCAGTTCATTTCTTGTTGAGATGGACCTTGTGATACAACTAAGTGATTACTTTTTAAGAACAAGCTGGGACCTCAGAAGAACCACTATTCTTCCATACGAGAAAACTGAGGACTTAACAACACTACACACTGAGGACATACACACTTACTGTGAGAAAAAGAGGACCTCTGTACACCTATGGCTTTCATTTTGATTTCGTTAGATGCAATTTCATCATAGATGGCAGAGAGATATTCCTCCGGTAAATCTTTACTATCATTTATCCCTCTGTTCATCTTTATATACTGTTCTTTTGTCATCTTGTTCTTGTCCTTAATCTGTAAATAGCATATATAAATAACACATCAGAGAAGAAAGTTCTTAAAAGAGATGACATGGGAACAGGTAATCTTATTGGATAAGTGCTTTCCATGTTATTTTGTGAAAAATAAAATGCAGTATAGGAACATGGTCAGTACTGAATGCTGGTACTTAAATTTTGAGAAAAATGAACCATTATCGTTCAACTTGGAAAATAAAATGATGACTTTGAAAAAAAAAAGTTTTTCTTATAAATCTCTGTTAGTCTCTATAATGTTAATATAATGGTAATATCTCTAAACTCTTAGAAATAATAGAGGCAGTTGTTACAGAAAATCATCAAGCTTGCAAAATCAGAAACATTTGAAAAACTGAATATTTGAAGCACAGTTTTTTGTAGATCTGGTTAACAAGATAAAGATGAGACTGTAATAAAATAATCTACGAAAACACGTATCTTTTGTTTTAGAAATCACATGTTGAATCTTTTTTTTTTACTAGCCGACTTTCTTTCAGACTACATTTTACTATCTAGCTTATATATGTGAGTTTCAAAAAAAGTTACTTAACATATAGAGACTTATTTTAAAAGTGATTCAATCCAACCTTGGCTGTAACTATTTTATAGAAGTAATTCAGGACATGTGAACAAAACAACATAGGTGTGATAAAGTAAAACACGAGGAAGACAAGAGCTGTCAGTGGCATAGCGTGCGGGACTATTCTTAGTGCATGTTAGTTAAATAAAGCCTGGTAATGTAGATTTTTTAAGTTCGAAAGGTGCCATTAATCCATTATATGTTGGGTTTGAAATTTAACCCAATTCCCTTTTAAGTTTTTTGGTTTGTGTTAAAAATGTATGGGGGGTGAACCCGTTTAAAAACCTGGGTGAGTACAAAGTTTCCCTTTTTCTTCAGTAGTCAAACTTTAAAAGCTTTAGAATCTATCATTTTGTAATCTGTGTACATTTAATGACCCAAAGTAAACCCTAGTGATTTTGCTTTTATGTTTTTTTTACAGATATGTGATAAATTATGCATCAAATTTTAATAGTTAATTTTTTCTTTGAAAATTCTTGTACAGAAAGCTTGAAAACTAAAAACTTAATTTTTTGTTATTTTATTTAAAAAATATTATCATTCTGTAACTTATAAAAAATTTGGGTAAAAATTCTCCCTTTATTCAATTAGTAATATTTAGGAAAAAAAATGCAATTTAAAAGTTTTTGGGAAATTTTTTATATGGAGTATTTAAAATTTTTACAGCCCAGAATACTAATATTATTGATAAAATGCCAAACATTCACTAAAGTATGGTGAACATGACACTAAATTGTTCCATAAATTAGTGGCATATATTGCATGACAAAATACTACATAGAGAAGTAAGTACCTCATAATACTTGATATGGTTTAAAACTAAATTTATGCAAAAAAAGTCATATTCAAGAAATCTTTAGTCAATTACACCAGAATGGTTAACGTGTCAGACTAGTAATCTAATGATTGCTGACCACATGGGTTCAAACCCTGTCAGGGGCAAGCCCTTGTTTCCTTGAGCAAGAAACTTTTTACATTTATTGCTGTAGTACTAGTGGTTACAGGAAAGATTTGAGAGTGTTTCAATAAGCTTATAGCTTCCAACACAATCAAAAAATAAATAAATGTGTATAAACTAATTAAACCCTGTGTCAATCCATAAAATACAGTGTCATTCATACCAGATTAAACTAGTGTAAATTCTTGTCATTCTAATTCATGTAATATATATACATGTCCATTCCAAACCTCTTTATAAACCTTATAAATAAATATTTCCCACTCCAAATCTAACAATTATAAATATTTTCCATTTAACTTTGCAAACTATTAGCATATTGAAATGTATGCAGTAAGAATAAGAAATGTGACTACGGATGTACAAACAAAGGAAGACAGGCACATCAAAGGAGAGAATCTACCTATGAAGTATGTATGCAGGTAGAAAGCACACTTAAGCCGAGAAAACTGTTACCAAGCAGAAAGTTTTTCATCTACTAGCATATACTAGGCAGATAAATTCTTGATTTTACCAAATATTTGAATTTTAAGTCCAAATTTTATCTAATATTTGAAGCTAAGGGATTTCAAAAATATTTTTTGTAGATAGTGTATTACTGTCATAATGCTTTTTTTGAACTGGTTCAGTTTATGACAGAAATTTATTGATATACCATCTGCATGATAAATGTTACTCCATTTTCGTACCAATACTAACTTGTTCATTAGCAAATAACTGCCAATTTCTTCATATAAATTCATTTAAATGAGGGGAAAAATCAGAAGATAAAAAGTAATTAACGATTAATTTTCGCTCTTCCAGGGGTCAATTTTGTGAATCTTAGGTCAGTTAATCTAGCTTTTCCGCTTATCAAGCTATTGTTATTAACAAAGCCATGGCATACAGGTCATTTTATCATGCACCATAGTCTTCATAGACATACCGTAAGTCAAACCCATTTTTTTTCAAAAAGAGATCAATGGAACATAAAATTTTCGATAACTTTCAAAGGAAAAGATGTGATACTTGCAATAAAAAGAATATACCACTCCAGACTTTTCAAAATGAATTTATGTCACCAATTAAATACAAAAGATAAAACACTTCCCCAAATTTTGAAATTGAATTGTACATGTATTATAAATTCATTTTGAAAATGACTCTGAAGTTCTGAAGTTATATTCTTAATATATATATATACACATTAGTACAAGATTTTCTTGACTAGCAAAGCAGCATCCCTCTAGCTGGCAACAGAAATATACCTGCTGACTATGCTTATCAGTTGTCAGTATAATGATGGAGTATGCCAACACGTAGGCCGTATCAGCACTAGCAAAAATACCATTCCTGTAAAAACAATGAAAGCTAACAGCAACTGAAACCAAAATTCAAGATAAAAAAACAAAACAAATAAAAAACTAAAAAACATCGCCCACAAAAAGGCTCGGATCTAATACCTGACTACTGTGTAAGTCTGTCGTTAACATGATAACAGAGTACGCCAAGACATAGGCTGCGTCAGCACTTGCAAATATTTCACTACTGAAAAAAGTTAACATAATACTTAAACCTGAAATTTTTCAAAATTTTTATTTAAAGATAAACGTTCCATTTACACATGAATATCTTTTCTGTAATTCTTTAACTTTTGCTTGAAGTTAGAAAAAAATCACAGAATCTAGACTAAGTCAAAGTATAGCTATGTAGCTGAAAATAAAATGGTAATTGACACCAATTATCATCTGGTTATCAATTATTATCATTACTGACAACAAATATTGGGAATGAACTAAAATATACATGTTTATTATATACTTATCAATGAAATATTGATGAAATAAAATGCCTTTTTTAATTTTCACTGTAAAACTTGTATGTAATTTTTCTTTTGAAACTAAAAACAGCAATTCATACATACTTTTTTGTGTTAATTTTGGTCCATTGGAACATTAGAATTACATGTTTTTCATCCTATTTATACCTTCTAATGAAAGTATTTCTAAACTATAGGATATTGACATTTACAAAAGCTCATTTCAATTAATATCACACTACACTTAAATAAGATACAGTGCAAAATCATTAAATTTCGTGGGGCACTAATTTTCATAGTTTTGTGGATAGTCCACAACTTTAAAAACGCATGAAAAATTTTTTTTGTGACAAAAACCCTAAAAATTTCCCCGTCACAAATTAAAAATTACAGTTTTGGGAAATCTCCCAAATTTTTTTTGGGGAAACCTCAAAAAAATAAACAAAACTTAAAACTTACTTGGTGTTACACTCGCAATATCTAGATGCAAACTTTTCCATCAATCGATCAATTTTCTGTGCCTCACCAGGTAATCTAAAACCCTCGAGAAATCTTCTCAATGCTGATACAAAATCCATCTCAGCAAAGTTTAACTGATCAACATATGCATACATCACCTCCTTGTTAAATCTGTACATTAAAATGCCAGCTATTTTATACACAATTCTTACAGTAACTATAACAAGAACTGTCGGAGGACAGTATTGGCTTGACTATTCAAAAAGTTGTCACAAGGGTGTTTTATTGAGTATAATAATGCTAATTACCTATGAATACATAAAATTGACCGAAAAGGTACAAAGGCTTGTTATTAAGATGTTTTATAAAGTAAATCACTGCTTTATTATTATGAATGCATAAAAATGTCCCAAAAAAGGCACAAACTCTTCAGTAGTTATTGAGATAACAGCTTACAAGCAAAACTTTACCATGAATTTCTAAGTTGAAAAAGGGGAGAAAAATCAGCCTAAATGCAAGATAGAATTATGGATCTTGGTCAGGGACCTACAATTATGATTCTAAATGCAAATGTGAAGTTTTAAATAAATATCTTTAATAGTTATTGAGATATGTAAAACTTGCATGTAAACATTAACCAAGAGACTAGGTAGAAAAGGGGAGATGAATCAGCCTAAATGTGAGAAGAGTTATGGAACTTGGTCAGTGACATACAATTAAATTGTCTGGGCTGATTGCATGCAAGCCCAATTTTCTACTGGTTGCATAGGTTTGACATTCACTTTACTTAATCCAAAAAATTGGTATCTTAAAGTTCTATAAATAAATACTCAAATTCTTTCATGTTCATTCCTTCAAATTATGATACACATTAAAATAATACATAGTTTATCATGATATAAAGCATTGTCTATTTATATAAAATAATGGGTAATAATTTGATACCAAAAATATACTTACTTCTCGTTTTCTCCTAGGTAGTCTCCAACTATAGTCTATGACAAATGAAATAAAAAATCTAAATTAAGAATGTGTGTTAAATCAAAACAATACTGTACAGAAAATACTGGGCTCTTTCCAGATTTTCTGGATGAGGGGACGTCAAATACTCCTTGCATCAGCTGGGACCATAGTAGAACCATTGAACTTACATAAACTAGCTGGATAGCTTCCAACATGAATAAATTTAGAAGACTTAAACCAATATCAGCTAGGGACAAGTGATTTGAAGTCAATGACTCAAACCCCTGAGCCACAGAGGCAACACATCATGTAATTACTATACTGGAGAAGAACACATAACTTAAGTAAATGTCAATTGCTTGAAAATATATGAACATAGGTCATTTAGCCTGAAAGAATGGAAAAACTTAACAAATCATGAATGAATGAATGGAAAATCTTTACAAATTAAAACTTAATTACAAACTAAGACCGAATGCATTGAAAAATACAAATTATGATTGAATAAATGGAAAAACTTTACAAATTAGAACAAAGCTAAATAGACAAGAGCTGTCCGTAAGACAGCGCGCTCGACTTTTTTAGTGCTTGCCTATAATACAAAACATTGACAGTTAAGGGCCATAATTCAAATAAAATCTTTGACAGAATTACCTTCTCCTGGACATGTTTGGGAATCATGATTGTAAACAAGTATTCCAACTTTCAAATTAATATCTCAAACAGTTCAGTCAAAAAGTGGACTGGTACTAAAAACTTAACCAAGATTCTAAGTCGATAAAAGGCCTTAATTTTTAAAAACAAATCCTTGACAGAGTTACCTTCTCTTGCGTACAGATGGGGTAATGATGTGAAATAGCATTAAAAGTTTCAAAGCAATATCTCAAAGGGTTAAGGCAATAAGTGGATTTTACCCATATTCAATGTATTTTCTAAGTCAAAAAGGGGCATAATTCTGTCAAAAACCTTGACAGAGTTATGTCCTCTTGTCTGTTGATGAAGGTCGTGATGGTAAACAAGTATGGTCAGTTTCAAAGCAATACCTCCAATGGTTTTGAAATAAAGTGAGGTGGTACAAAAAACTTAACCAAGATTCTAAGTCGATAAAAGGCCTTAATTTTTAAAACAAATCCTTGACAGAGTTACCTTCTCTTGCGTACAGATGGGGGTAATGATGTGAAATAGCATTAAAAGTTTCAAAGCAATATCTCAAAGGGTTAAGGCAATAAGTGGATTTTACCCATATTCAATGTATTTTCTAAGTCAAAAAGGGGCATAATTCTGTCAAAAACCTTGACAGAGTTATGTCCTCTTGTCTGTTGATGAAGGTCGTGATGGTAAACAAGTATGGTCAGTTTCAAAGCAATACCTCCAATGGTTTTGAAATAAAGTGAGGTGGTACAAAAAACTTAACCAAGCTCAATACACTTTCTAAGTCAAAAAAGGGCCATAATTCTGTCAAAAACCTTGACAGAGTTATGTACTCTTGTCTGTAGATGGAGGTTATGATGGTGAACAAGTATGGTAAGTTTCAAAGCCATACTTGTAATACTTCTGAAATAAAGTGGGGTGGTACGAAAAACTTAACCAAGGTGTGACGCCAACGCTAACGCTAACGCTAACGCTAACGCCGACGCCGACGCCGGGGCGAGTAGGATAGCTCCCCTTTTCATAGAAAAGTCGAGCTAAAAATCTATGAAAAAGTAGATGACATTATCTTATCAATTTTCATTTTAATAAGTATCTTGAAAATAAAAAAAAAATGTTATCATAAGCAACTGTCATTGTCTGACTGAAAGACATTACCTTATCAAGTCTGTCATCGCTGTGAAAGAGCTCGGCAATATCATCTGGTGATGTGCCTAGTAAACCCTGATCTTGTAAATACTGCACACCTTTCTTTGCTTTCTTGTTAAATCTAAAAAAATTTAAATACAGTCAACTATCGTTATCTCGACATCGCTTTTCTCGATGTTTCGTTATCTCGATGAAATTTTGAAAGTCCCGATTTTCGTCCTTCTTTATCTATTTTGGAAATTTTTGTTTATCTCGATATTTTTATTTCGATATTTTCAGTATCTCGATGTAAAATTTCAGCCCCAAACAGTTATTTTCACACTATTATCCTTTGTTTATCTCGACTAATAGTTTTCTTTTATCTGTTCCCTTCAGACGTGTGAAAAACACAAACTACACGATAATTGCTCCATAGCGCGTGTCATAATGATGATTATGTTTGTAACAAGTTTAGCTGTTTTTATAAAGTTAATCTATTTAGCGTTTTGATTGACTTATTTCCAAAATGAGTGAATTTTGCGTTCTTTTTTTTAATATGCGAACACTGTATCAATTCATTATGACTTTAAATGTGAATGAAATAGTGAAAGAATAGAAATGCTATCGTTGCAATATTGTTTCACAACATCACCACCAAATCAATCAGCGGTCGAACAATCTGGAGAAAGACCCGATAAATAACCCGGGAGGATATCCGGATCAACCACCCTGAAAAATGTTTTCACTATATTGGTGTATTACTGAGTAAACCTCACTATGTGTTATTTTCACAGACACCCGTATTTCCGCTGGTAAACATCCGCTAATGTTACTTTGTTAAATATTGACTAGGCCTATGAAAACAAGTCATGGGGATATCATAGTTTATTTGACATAAGGTATGCACATGTATTTTGTAAAAATCAGTTTCTGCCTTATTCAAACCCTAATATGTTTATCTCGACATTTCGTTATCTCGATATTTTTTGGACGGTCCCAATGACTTCGAGATAACGAGAGTTGACTGTATGAGTATTTTGACAGACAATTGTAAATAAAGAGACTAAAATATAAACGTACAGCCTGAACATCTAGCACATTTTGTTTGTTTGTTTATTTAGGTTTAATGCCAACACTGACACATTACTGGTTACACTGCGCCATACTCTATAATAAGAAGGTCTAAAATGAGAATATAATTTAGCAAATCATGTAGTCTGAAGCATATTGCCCCGAATATAAGAGTTTGAATCATGAGCATATTTAATGTTTTTCCTTGAATATTTGGATGGGAACAAGATATTCAATACCATACAAACCATATTAATATTTATTTCAATTGGTAGTTTCTTTCAGAAGAACAGAAAACTAGATCAACTGTCAGGTGAATATTATTAAACTAGAGCTAAACCCAAGCAAACAAATAAATGAAACACACCATCACCCTATTTTCATGGTTATTTTTATGGTAAATAGCATATTTCAGAAACTTACAGTTCTATACCATGTTCCATGATCTCCTTCTGTTGTTTCAGCACCTCATACTGTTCCGGACTGTCATGGACCACTGCAGACGTGTTTAAAGAGCTGCCATTAGACTCGAGAGAGTTGGTACTATCATAACTGTTCAACGTGCCTTTACCGGAGTCCGAATCTGACTCCGGAGATGGTTTACTGTCCTGACCTGGAAATAATCATCAAACTAATGTTGAACTGTCTTTGCCTTTATAACAAAACTACAAAACTTATTACTGACCATGTATGGTATTATCTGCAGAAACTCTTTTATAGTAACATAGAGGTCAAATGCAGAATGCCTCCAGATTCATGTTTATTTTCGAGAAAATTTTGAAAATGTATTGAAAAGAAAAATATTGCAAAGTGAACAAAGAACATGATTTTCACATTCCAAACAGCACTTACAGCCCATGTAAATAACCAAAAAGAGGTCAAAACATGCAAAAATATCCCTTACTGCTTAAGTAACGCCGTAGAAATTTGGTAAAAAATAATGGAAAATTGGTCATCAATCCCACATAACATGGAAGTTATTACTTTTATCGTGAGTCTTCTTACTTTTCTTAAAATTTCAGTATTTTTTCTCCAGTTTGATTTTCTTGAAACATTTTGGCTTTAAGACCACAAGTCGAGTACAGATTCCCCCTCTTTACAAAACATATAACTTACCAGAATTTAAAAAAGCTAAATTTGAAAAGAAATGAAAATCTGGGTCCTTCCTAGAGAAATGAAGTTAGGTTAGTTTGTCTATAATATGCAATATCTTTTAAGGTGCCAAATTGAAATGCTTTGATATTGGCAAATATTAAGTTTAGTTGGAAAACTATACACAGACCTGTCTTTGTCTGATATATGTAAAGAGATATTTACCTAGGTTGGACTGGAAGTGTGGATTTACATATAAATCTTTACTCCATTCCACCATACACTTCAGTATAGAAACAAGACACTCAAGTCCCTTGAGGCGCATACTCTGTTCTTGTGTTGGTGTCACACCTGAAAAGTAAATAACAACATTCTATAGAACTTTCCCCAAGACATTTTCTCTTGATATTGTACATTAAATTTAACAACACAAATTATAAATTCCCCTTGAAAGAGTTTATTTTCTGTTTCAATGGCATAATGCTAAATAGCTATTGAATAAAGCAATGGTTCGTCAAAGACAACATAATTTTCATTTCACTTGTTTTGTTGTTCAAATACTCACAAACAAGGTCATATTAACTGTCTCAAAGTTCACTGGTGTAAGAAAACATAAGTAAGTGATCAAATAATTTTTAAGCATTGATGGACACTTGGATACAAATTAACAACCTTCCTTAGACTAGTTTTATAAAAAAAAAATTTTTCCAAAAAAATGTTAGCAATTCAAATTCAGTGTCCACAAAGATTCCTATGCCCTATGGTAATCAGTTAAGGCAGATAAATAACATGTTTTCAAGCAAATTGTTGTGGATACTGGAACTATGTTAAGATTTTGTTTCCTTTATTATTTCCCATTTTTTTCTTTGGTTTGATTTTACATCGCACAAACACAGTATAGGTCAATATGGTGCATTTCATTCTTTACTGGTGGAGGAAAACATTAGATATTAAGGTTTTAATCAACAATCTAAAAAATTTTGTTCAATACCACTGCAATAAAGTCATTTCTTATTTTATTAGTAAAACTATGTGCAACTGATCATTTCTGTTCAAATTTTATGGCTCCTTTTTGATGTGATAAAGGGAAGTAATTTACTTACCAACTGCAAGAGATTGTCTCCCTTGTGCAATTTTGGAAAGATCATTCACCAAACGTTCAAATATATTAGCAAGGGATAAATCACAGTCATAGTTTACATAGATGTCAACAACACATTGGGCATCTGTAAATATAATATAAATATCAACATGATAGAAGACCAATGTTATGAAAATATGTTAAAAGGTACTAATTCTACTAGAATGGCAGAAACAAATACTTGCCAACAAAATGTAAAATACTGCATGGGTGACATAGGCTTCTGAGCAATTTCTGTGTACATGAATGTTTACAATAAAACAAAAGAACCTAAATGATAGAAGCAATATATATATTCTTGTTTATGTCTTCAAAATATCCATACAGTCTGGTCAGGCTTTACACACATGGCTGCTTAATTTTATTATTTTGAAGTTATAATCCCTGAAATTAACATTTCAAAGGAAACCAAGTCCATTTCCTAAAATGAGCAAAGTTAGGGCCAATGCACCTACAGTTCTAAAGCCATATGAACAATTTTGAAAGAATATGCTATACTTGACTATTTGTGGTTGAATTTAGTAGAAACAGTATGACCTATATTATACAGCAAGGAGTTTGCATGATTTACATACCTGCACATATTCTTGTCAAAGCCTGAATTACCATCCATTTATGGTCAAAGGAGCTGCTAGGAGTCTCCAAAATATACAAAAATATTTCCTTGAAAAATACCTGGAATTATACACAAAATTATCTGAAAATGTAGTACAACAGTTTACAATGTATAATACATAGAATTATAAGTTAAATGTTTTACCCCAGTATTTTGTAAGAATCCAACAAAAAAAAGACCAGAAGGCATAATGAAGTCACTCATCAGTTTATGTGACGTATTATAAGCTTGTTTAGTGAGATAGAAATATTATCTTATAGACCATTTACCACTCTAAATTACAATTAACTAAAATTCTGGTTATTATGTAGTTACATTAACATGGGTGCAAGTTGAAAATTTGGAAAAACCTGAAAACTTTTATTCATAATCATTTTCCTACATAATCTTATAGTAAAACATGATGAAATTTGTCATAACAAGTGCAACGCTATATGCTCCCCACTTTGTGGGGGCATAAAAAAACCCCTGAGCTTCCGGCATATGCCTGAAAACTTGCACCCATGCATTAAAAACAAAAATATATGGCAAGTTTTAAACCTGCAAGTAATTTTAAGCCAGCAACCTTCAATATTCAACCATAGAGGTCTCTTGCATATGACATGACTGTCATGATAAACCAAGCAGAAATAAACATATCTAACCATTTAGACTTGAAGTGTCATCAGTAACAGACTTTTGAGACAAATACAATTAGTCTTACCCATCCGACCAACCTTCTATTTGCTGCCTTTTCAGATTACATATTTTTACAAAAAATGAAATCCCTAAAACTTGTAATGGACTGCTCTAAAAGCAAATTAGGACAAGTCCATTATGCAAATTCCGCAGGTTAAGGGTGCAACTGAAGATGAATGAAATATTACCTCTATCTGCATTTTAAGATGTTGTTTAAAGTTGGCAAGCAGGGTCAGGAATATAGCCAATGAAAGCTCAAACACTTCAATAACAGAGCTGACCCCATTCTTGGACAGTGCCACACACAGGTACTGCTTGATGGCGTTAATGAACATGTCATTGGTGCGGAAAACTGGGCCAGCATTTTGTAGAATTGACAGTAAAAGTTCTAGTGATAAGACCTTTGACCTCAACTCATGTGACCTGTAAAATAAATTAGAGGATTGCTGATAGTTAAATTCGCATATATATATTAATAGTTATAATACCGTGAAGTAATAATTTTTTTTTGCAAAAACATTTCTTAATTTTGGCCAATAAGAAAACAAACTTTCCAAGAAAAAAAAAAATCTTATAATTCTTATCATAAGAAAAGGGAGACCACAGATGAACAAACTTTTTTAACAAATGTAAATACGTGTGTCTCAAACAGTGATTTAGAGATTTCTGTCACTTGTTTTAACAGAAAATATCAAAGTCATGAAATGTTATGGAAAAAACGTCATTCCTTATGATTATATAATAAATATTTTACAATAAATGAAACATACTTTGGATCAGGTGGGCCATCTCCCAGTGGTTTCATGGAAAGTTTACACAAACTTCGGAACACAAGGAATGCATCTTTTTGCAGGATATGACTGAAAGCACCGTGTCCAACTTCACCACCATCCGCGCCCTCCTCTCCCTCATCTACTAGACGGTTTACAGCTGAAAATATATGTCAAATTTTAGAGATGAAAATATATGTCATGTTTAGAGATTTGTTGACAAGGTCATATGATGTCTTCGGTGTAATAAAAATCAGGATTTCGGTCACTACAGTGTTGAACCTCTAGATGCTTGCAAAAATAATGATCACAATTAGGAAAATATAGCTTTTTTTTGCTGATTCTTACATTTATTATTCATGATCGTATATAAATTGGTGTGAAGAGATGAGTGAGACATCTTTAGAGTGCATTTCTGTGTGAAAAGGCGAGATTTGAACATTTAATCATTCAAGCGTCTTGTCCGGTGTATACCAGAATACGGTATTTGGCGAGGTGCTCCAACACTTTTTTTATTCTCACTCAAAAAAAAATTCACAGCTAAAAATTTAAGTGTTACTGTTACAAGAATTTAAAGCAGAAAGACTTTCTCAAAGTTAAGGAATGTACACAAATAATATTCATTGGTCAATCACATAGGTATATATAACATAGGAATGTTTAGATAATAGTAACAATAGTTCTTTTCACTGAAGTACAGATTTTACTTTGTGAAATGAAAAATTAATGAAACTTCAATACATTTCACAAAAATGAAATAGAAATGCCAAAACGACTTTCCTACATAACTTCTTAATTCTGTCTCTGAAAATAATATTTTCACTATAAACATCACCTTACCAAGTGAACTTCCAGTTTTACTAGAATTAGATTGGCTAGGCATATCTCCACTCTCTCCCGTGCCGGCCCTCTCCCTTGGTGCAGTTACCTCTATACCTGGGGGATCACTTCCACCAGTAGCAGTTTCTGGGGGACCATCAGCTTGTCCCACATCTATAGCAAATTAAAAAATAAATAACTAAAATCCCCCAAAACACCAAAACAAAATTAAAGCAAAGCAAAAAAGCCAATTCCAATATGATTCAATCCAAATCTGCACTCAAGTATTGTTCTTTAAAATTATCATTGTCCAAGTTGAATTCTTTCTCTAAACAAGTTCTGTGGATTCACTTAATTTCATGAAATTTTGTGCTTATGTAATAAAAAAAATGTTTGTGGGTTCTTAAATTCACAAATTATCTCTTCTTTTCAAAAAGTGAAATGTTAATAATGCAATGCAAAATAATGTTAAAGAAGACGAAATGAAATTTTGTTGGTTCTTAGATTTGTAGATTAACCTATCAATGAAACCCATGGCAATCAGTGCCCCACAAATAATAAGGTTTGTGCGGTATAAATTAGATATGATGGTTTCTTTTAAAATCTATCTGGTGGTTACGTTTACAAGTACAAAGATACTATCAATAAATAAAGTAATAAAGCAATCAAAATATGAACTGGTTTAAGAACAAGTTTGTAATATGTCCAAATATTGCAATGATTTTATAATACTAATTAGTTACAGTGTAATCACTACACTGTCTATATGGTGTGCCCAAAATGAAAGAACGAAACAGTCCCTCAGTCATTGCGTATGTAACTTTTTCCTGACCTCAAAACATTGCTAGACTGTCAAACTACTCTCCCTACATTTTATGCTAGCCCGAACAGAATTTTACTAGACTGGGGCTCAGGCTTAGCTTATTTTTCGCAGACTGCGAAATAAATGAAAAATCATGCCTATTAAAGCATACTGGTGTGTAAAATAAAAGAAGAAAAGACACCAAAAACAACCCAATTCAAATATAAATACATAGTTTATAAGGGACCTTTCCAGTGTTTACAGTTTTACGCCAATTAGCAGACTGGTTATCCAATTGCTTTAATGGGATAATATATAGTAGCTGATTGACCATGTTTACGCAAATGCACACAAAATTTTGTTGTGATATTGTTTATTAGCAGTTGACCTAGAAATGAACAGAAAGGACGGGGCTTATTTGTCACAGCCAAAAACTAGAAAGGTCCATTATATCCAAGTATCACATTATCCTGAATTATCAGTACATCAATAAATTACCTCCCGTGACTTGACATATAATTCCATCTAAAACTTGCTTTGCAATACTCTCCGGGGTTTCATCATCTTCTATAGGCAGAAAAAGAAAACAAGTAATAATAATTAGTACATCTTACTATCTTTTTTTATATCTGGTTGGGTTAACCCATAACTTGAATGAACCAAATTTATTTGCTTTTGTCAATGTAAAGAGCCAATCAAGGCTGAACACCTCTATACAGTTTATATAATACTAAGTTTAAAATTTTCATCTTGATATCCCCAAAATGAATAATGGAAATTTCCACAAATGGTAGCTTTAGGAAATTCAGCAGGTTAAGGGTTAAAGATCCTGTAACTCTATTTTTTTTATGGCTTTATATCATAAATATATAATGCTCAAATGAAGATTTATCAATACTGCAAGTTCCAAAAAGCATTATTTGTAAAGATATTACCAAGTTACATTTCATGTTAATAAAGGGAGATAATTAGACATTTATTTTCTATAAAGTCTATGTCAAATTTTTCAAAAAGAAATGAAAGTACATACATGTATTTTAATGATTACATATAATGGGGGCAAATATTTGCAGCACATATTTTACATATTCTTAGATGTTTGAAAATTGTTTTAGAGGCATAATTATATACATGTACATACAATGTATATAAAATTTCACTTAAGTGTGGTCACAACCTGAATTACAACATAGTTACATACAGGATCTTTAATGTCATATTATTAATTATAAAGTTTCAGCTTTACTACAACTAAACCTTCACGGAAGTCTTGCAACTGTATAGCTAGCTTTAAAGTACATTGTTACAACTAGCAACTAGCAGGTTTAAAAACTACCTGCATCAGCTCTTATCATCAATAACGACACTATGTATCACATTTACACATACAGTACTTCTATATTAAATCAGATATAGCCACATTTTATTTGTTCACTGACAAAAATGAAACACAATATTGCCTACCATGCAAACATGTGGTTGAAACTGATTTACATAGGTTATCAAATTTTACCACTCTGTAGGTGAATATAAAGAAAGTTTAAAATGTAAACGTACTGAATGCCTTAAGCAAATGCATCAAGCTTCACATTTCTCTGTGTTAAAAGTTTTAAAGGTAGACATAAAATAACACTTATATCATCTCATATTTAACTTCAAATATACAAAACTTCCTTGTTTATCTACAAAGGATACATTTAGAGATTTTATGAGAATTAAGTTTATTCAAATTTAATACCAGTGCAATGAAATAAACTATTTCTCATTCAGATAACATATAGAATATAGCATACTCCAAAAACAAGAGGGCCATGATGGCCCTGGATCGCTCACCTGACACAACCGCATCCAAGCAATGTCTTAAACAAGCATCATGGCCAAGTTTGATGACAACTGAGTCAAACATGTGACCTCTAGTGTGTTATAATGATTTTTCCATATTTGGGCAATGTGACCTAATTTTTGACCGGACACGACCCATATTCAAACTTGACCTAGAAATCATCAAAACAACCTTCCTGACCAATTTCCAGGAAATTTGGATCAAAACTGCAGCCACTAGAGTGTTAAAAAGATTTTTCTATTTTTAGCTCCTGTGACCTAGTTTTTGACCGGACATGACCAATCTTAGCACTTGACCCAAAAATCATCAAAACAACCTTCCTGACAAATTTCCAGAATGTTTGGATGAAAACTGCAGCCACTAGAGTGTTAACAAGCTTTTTCTATTTTTAGCTCCTGTGACCTAGTTTTTGACCGAAGATGACCCATCTTCGAACTTGACTTAGAAATCATCAAAACAACTTTTCTGACAAATTTCCAGAATATTTGGATGAAAACTGCAGCCACCAGAGTGTTAACAGGCTTTTTCTATTTTTAGCTCCTGTGACCTAGTTTTTGACCGGAGATGACCCATCTTCGAACTTGACCTAGATATCATCAAAACAACCTTCCTGACAAATTTCCAGAATATTTGGATGAAAACTGCAGCCTCTAGAGTGTTAACAAGCTTTTTCTATTTTTAGCTCCTTTGACCTAGTTTTTGACCCGAGATAACCCATCTTCGAACTCGATCTGTATTTCATTGAGACAAACATTCTGACAAAGTTTGATGATGATCCAATCAAAACTGTGACTGCTAGACTGTTAACAACCCAATTGTTAGAGTGTTAACAAGCTTTTTCTATTTTTAGCTCCTGTGACCTAGTTTTTGACCGGAAATGACCCATCTTCGAACTTGACCTATATATCATCAAAACAACCTTCCTGACAAATTTCCAGAATATTTGGATGAAAACTGCAGCCTCTAGAGTGTTAACAAGCTTTTTCTATTTTTAGCTCCTGTGACCTAGTTTTTGACCGGGGATGAGCCATCTTTGCACTTGACCTAGATATCATCAAAACAACCTTCCTGACAAATTTCCAGAATATTTGGATGAAAACTGCAGCCACTAGAGTGTTAACAAGCTTTTTCTATTTTTAGCTCTTGTGACCTAGATTTTGACCATAGATGACCCATCTTCAAACTTGACCTAGATATCATCAAAACAACCTTCCTGACAAATTTCCAGAATATTTGGATGAAAACTGCAGCCACTAAAGTGTTAACAAGCTTTTTCTATTTTTAGCTCCTGTGACCTAGTTTTTGACCTAAGATGACCCATCTTCGAACTTGACCTAGATGTTATTAAAACAACCTTCCTGACAAATTTCCAGAATATTTGGATGAAAACTGCAGCCTCTAGAGTGTTAACAAGCTTTTTCTATTTTTAGCTCCTGTGACCTAGTTTTTGACCTGAGATAACCCATCTTCGAACTCGATCTGTATTTCATTGAGACAAACATTCTGACAAAGTTTGATGATGATCCAATCAAAACTGTGACTGCTAGACTGTTAACAACCCAATTGTTAGAGTGTTAACAAGCTTTTTCTATTTTTAGCTCCTGTGACCTAGTTTTTGACCGGAGATGACCCATCTTCGAACTTGACCTAGATATCATCAAAACAACCTTCCTGACAAATTTCCAGAATATTTGGATGAAAACTGCAGCCACTAGAGTGTTAACAAGCTTTTTCTATTTTTAGCTCCTGTGACCTAGTTTTTGACCCGAGATGACCCATCTTCGAACTTGACCTAGATATCATCAAAACAACCTTCCTGACAAATTTCCAGAATATTTGGATGAAAACTGCAGCCTCTAGAGTGTTAACAAGCTTTTTCTATTTTTAGCTCCTGTGACCTAGTTTTTGACCCGAGATAACCCATCTTCGAACTCGATCTGTATTTCATTGAGACAAACATTCTGACAAAGTTTGATGATGATCCAATCAAAACTGTGACTGCTAGACTGTTAACAACCCAATTGTTAGAGTGTTAACAAGCTTTTTCTATTTTTAGCTCCTGTGACCTAGTTTTTGACCGGAGATGACCCATCTTCGAACTTGACCTAGATATTATCAAAACAACCTTCCTGACAAATTTCCAGAATATTTGGATGAAAACTGCAGCCTCTAGAGTGTTAACAAGCTTTTTCTATTTTTAGCTCCTGTGACCTAGTTTTTGACCCGAGATAACCCATCTTCGAACTCGATCTGTATTTCATTGAGACAAACATTCTGACAAAGTTTGATGATGATCCAATCAAAACTGTGACTGCTAGACTGTTAACAACCCAATTGTTGACGACGAACGACGCACAACGCACGACGACGGACGCCGGACATAGCCCCATCACTATACCTCACCATGACCACTTCGTGGTCAGGTGAGCTAAAAAGGCTATTGAAAAAAATGATTTTCAGTTTTCTGAACATATATAGGAAGAAATTGGACATGTACAATTTTTGGCCTTAACTGAAGAAAATTGTTCTTCAGTTAAACAGTAAATGAAAGCATATGATATCAAAGAAATCTAAAAATGCTTGACAAAGGAGTAAAATGTTTTCCAAAAGGCCTGACAAAGGAGTAAAATTTTTTTCAAAAGGCTGGACAAAGGAGTTAAATGTTTTCCAAAAGGCCTGACAAAGGAGTAGAATGTTTTCAAAAAGGCCTGACAAAGGAGTAAAATGTTTTCCAAAAGGCCTGACAAAGGAGTAAAATGTTTTCCAAAAGGCCTGACATAAGGAGTAATATGTTTTCCAAAAGGCCTGACAAAGGAGTAAAATGTTTTCCAAAAGGCCTGACAAAGGAGTAAAATGTTTTCCAAATGGCCTGACAAAGGAGAAATATGTTTTCCAAAAGGCCTGACTTAAGGTGTAAAATGTTTTCGAAAAGACCTGACAAAGGAGTAATATGTTTTCCAAAAGGCCGGACTTAAGGAGTAAAAGGTTTTCCAAAAGGCCTGACAAAGGAGTAAAATGTTTTCCAAAAGGCCCTACAAAGGAGTAAAATGTTTGCCAAAAGGCCCTACAAAGGGGTAAAATGTTTTCCAAAAGGCCTGACAAAGGAGTAAAATGTTTTCCAAAAGGCCCAACAAAGAAGTATGTTTTCCAAAAGGCCTGACAAAGAAGTAAAATGTTTTCCTAAAGGCCTGACAAAGGAGCAATATGTTTTCCTTAAGGCCTGACAAAGGAGTAAAATGTTTTTCAAAAGGCCTGACAAAGGAGTTTGTTTTCCAAAAGGCCTGATAAAGGAGTAAAATGTTTAAAGATTTTGTGTTAGTCATGTTGGTTTCCAATGAACATCATGGTTTTTTTTATATATAATGACATTGCACTTACTTTTAAAATAACCTTTTGTAAATCACATAAAAAAATGTTTCACTCAAAATTGGGAGTAAATTATAAAAGCTTTTTTTATCAAAGATAATAAATATTACTTAGGTTGGTTTACAAAATGATTATATGAGAACTGTGTTAAAATAAAGAATAAGTACCTGTTATAGTGACATTAGACTGGTTTTCACTGGAAGAATCTGCCTCAGATATAACAGACTGGTTATGTTCTCCTTCTTCACCATCACATACAGATCTCGGTGCCTGTAACATTATTACAAATACAATAAATATATACCTTTACTTAATTGGTTATTCATTGGCAGAATTATGACAAGTAAAAAATATATACCTGTACTTGATTAGTAAATAATTCACAGAATCATAACAAGAAAAGAAACAAGAGCTGTCTGTAGGACAGCAACGCTCGACTATTCTTAGTGCTTGATAGTAAAAAAAAATGCTTGATAAAGTTACCACCTCCTGTTTACAGGTTGGGGTCATGATGGTGAACAAGTGTGCAAAGTTTCAAAGCCATATGTCAATGGACTTTGAAAATATTTGAACTATTACAAAAACTTTAACGTAAATTCTAAGTCCAAAAAGGGGCATAATTCTGTCAAAATGCTTGATAGAGTTACCTCCTCCTGTCTACAGGTTGGGGTCATGATGGTGAATAAGTGTGCAAAGTTTCAAAGCCATATGTCAATGGACTTTGAAAATATTTGAACTATTACAAAAACTTAAACGTAAATTCTAAGTCCAAAAAGGGGCATAATTCTGTCAAAATGCTTGATAGAGTTACCTCCTCCTGTCTACAGGTTGGGGTCATGATGGTGGATTGTGTGCAAAGTTTCAAAGCCATATGTCAATGGACTTTGAAAATATTTGAACTATTACAAAAACTTTAACGTAAATTCTAAGTCCAAAAAGGGGCATAATTCTGTCAAAATGCTTGATAGAGTTACCTCCTCCTGTCTACAGGTTGGGGTCATGATGGTGAACAAGTGTGCAAAGTTTCAAAGCCATATGTCAATGGACTTTGAAAATATTTGAACTATCACAAAAACTTTAACATAAGTGGTTAAGCCGACGCCGACGCTCGGGGTACTACAATAGCTCTACTTATTCTTATCGAATAGTCGAGCTAACAACACATCTACAAAAGTATAGCACAGAGTTGTCTTTAAAAAATTTCTGAGACAGTCCATTTTGAATTTAATTCAGACATTTTTGGTTTGATCACATACAATAAAGATTTTAAGAGTGCTGCCCCACAAAACATTTGAGAGTCATTTTGGCCTCCAACCACCTCTTAATGAAAACCCTGTTAGCATGGCTTATACAGTAAACTCCGCTTATAACAAACTCATTGGGACATTCAAAATCTGTTCCTTATATCCGGAGTTCCTTGTAAGCATATAGCGAATTAGTTCCTTGTATCAGGAGTTTTTAAAGCGAACAGATTTACATATAACGAACTGATTGTTAAACATCGTTCTCCATTTTTAAGAGCATTTGATTAAGAATAATTAGTCATTTATTTCTTTTTTAGACACAATACCCGAGAGCGTACATTTTGGAATTTGAAAATCCTTTGCTATTTCTGTTTTAGTTTTACTCCCTTTCTCAATTTTTCATAAAATATCATATTTTGTTTCTTAACTCAGTGCTGTTCGTTTTCTTTCAATGAATAAGAATAAACAAGATTTTCCATTTTTCTTCCTTTTATATTGAATATCTTCTATTATATTTTAAGGGTGACTTTTCTTATGAAATATATAGATTTCTTTTCATTTCAATCAAGCATACTTTGTAGTTTTCTATGGATTATGTTTGCAAGCATGCGTGATTATGTTGAAAACCGATTTTTATTTTACTCGAGCAAAACTATTAAAGAAAAGAAATTATAGAATAAAAGGAATTACCGTTTTATCTTTGTGACAAGAACTCTTGCTAAAAAAGCCTAAATAGAAAACTATTACATACTTCTATATAAATTCATTTTCATAGATATATTGAATTACATACAACAATAAACGGTATATTCCGCGAGTTTTATTCCGTGCCAATGAAAACGAAAGTTGAAAATGCTGGATATATTTATGAAAAGCCGATATTTGAAGTTTGTTATAAAAGTGTAATTTTCTGCACTTTTAACTAGATTGGGACAAAGAAATGAGTTCCTTATAAGCGATAATTCCTTATAACCGTGTTCGCTATAACCGTATATTTTATATTAAATAAAGAAGGATAAAATTCGGGCCAAAATAAATTGTTCTTTATAACCGGAAGTTCGCTATAACCGTGTTCGCTATAAGTGAAGTTTACTGTATATTGTTTATCAAAAGTATGACATGTTTTCATTTTAATCAATCAATTATCAAAATAAAGTACAGGAATGTTTTCGCCAAATCAATTAAAACAAAAGATTGAATTCAAAATAATTTAAAATATTCATTTCATTATATATAATTTTATTGTATTTGTTTTTTTTTCTTTAAATTGGAGTTACAACTTTCATGACAAGATGAAGATTTTCCATAGAAGTGTAAATAACCAGCCATTTATATATAAATGTGATTATGTTTTAACTCACATCATCACAGTTAAGGTAAATACATATGGTAACTTTACACCTTTCCTGGCACACACAGAGTAACCTCAATGCCTCAGTGATCTATTTTTATACCCCAGCAGAACCTCAAGGCAGTCAATGACCATTCATATGTTAATGGAATATATCTTGAACAGGTAACTGTGAGGAATAAGTAATCTTCAATACTGGTGGCCAAAATTTGTTTGCACTTGATTTTGTTGTCAACTTTGTTGTATTTGTAAAGAAAATTCATTGACAAATATAATAGGTAGACATTGGTAAAAAAGCTTACCTCTGGTGTGCCGGAAATCTCGCCCTCTGTACTATGAGACATTTGACTTTCTGATCTTTCCCTCTCTTTAATTACATCCTCCTACAAACATTAACTTTACACAATAAATAGTCTATCTCTCGAATGGCAAATTATAAAAGTCAAGCCTTGAATTTATTGTGTCCACTGTTCAAATATTACATCATTGGTGACAAAACTCAAAAGCAAAATTTGAGCAGCAGATAAACTCAGGCTGGCTGATAAATCATGATATTTTTCTCATATAAATCACAAAAGAATGTTTTAAGTGTTATATTTTCATAACTTATTCTTTAAATCCATTTATTTAAATCAAAGTTAATCCCTCACTTTTACAAATGCATTATACTTATCATCATAATGCCTGAAACTTTCACAACTATCAATTCTATTTCTATACCAAGACACCAGTGTTACACAATGTAATGTTTCCTAAAATTGTGTGGAAAACATTCTTCAGCAAATTAATACTCTGTAATTTAACGAATACATACCGCTTGGTTTTCCATCCTTGTAAATATAACATTCAGCATCTGTGTCAGCGTGGCCTTCGCTGTGGTCTGATTTACAAGGTTTTTACTGGCTAAGTAAATATTGTAACATGTGCGGACAGTCAGTAAAACTGTTCCTTCGTGTATTTCACATGTGTTGGAGGTAACTATTGTTAGTAATGCCTGAAATTATATAAAATACAACACATAAATATGTATACTTTTTGTATCTCTTTTTCTTTCATACATCTTACATAAGTTGGAGGTGACTATAGTAAATAGTGCCTGAAATAAAAGAAATACATCAGTAACACATTATTGTGTTTACTCAGTGAATATGGTATACCCTATGTATAACACTTTAAACTTGCATATATTTACCACCAAAAAATTGATAAATCAACATATAAATTTAAAACATGTATAATGTTGGAAAGTAAATATAAATGCTAAATAATTCATCATCTTTTCCCTAAGTATAAACAAAACACTGTATATGTATATTAATTCAAAATTTATCCCTTTTTTTAAGTATAAAAAGTGACATACCCTGGACATAACATAATAATAATATACATATTTATTAAAATGTAATTAATCTGTATTTCAATCTTGACTAAAAAGCAATTTTAACTGATTTTCTGCTCTCAAACAATTAGAAGTATTGATATTTTTGTTTATTAGTATTGATTGTTTATGTCCAAGGTACAAAACTTTTGACAAATATAAATTTCTTTTGCCAATAGTATACAAGGAACCTGAGATATTCTATAGAAGGACAAGCAACTAATGACTAGGTTGCATAATTATTGGTCCATTTTTGTGTGTCTTATTCTATAAGTGTACTGTTTAAAAGCCACTATGATACCAAATAAGTGTCAAAATTAATTTAGAGTCTGTATACCAAAATTTTTTAAAAAGTAATTGAGCTTTTTTTACGCATATACCAATAATTTTGTGTTTCCATGAAAAACTAATTTAAAATAGATTTACTCAACATATAACACGTTATATTTTAACAAAAATGTATACCACCTTTTTAATTTTTTTTTTCACAGATTATAAAAAGGGACATTGACAATTTTCATTTCATCATGTTAAGGCAATTTTATTACGAAAGGATTGTTAAAAGCTGATACCAGTTGGCTTATATTTCTCTTATTCACATTTTTTTACTGACAAACAGTCAGATACCTTTTTATAATTTTAACGATGATTGTCCAGACAAAATTGTGTTGTGTGTGCTTGACTGGACAAGAAACATTATGTGGCACTAATCACTAGTTGCTTGTCCTTGGACATTATATCCTAGTAAAATTCAAGTTAATAAATTAACAGAAAAGCATGCAAGTCTACCCAACACTGTTTGATCCAAACATTGTAATACAAGATTTTACTTCAATATACACATATTATAACAAAACAGTTTCTACCAGTAAAATTCCTATGATGCCATAGGATGATAATTTAAAATGTATTTATATAATTTTGCCACTATTACTGAACATGTACAAAAAATATACTGTAACAGTAGAACTTCTATGAGTAAAACTTTGATTAGTCGATTTTCTCAATGTGTCAAAGTAAAATGAAAGTCCCTTCTTTTTCCCCTATATATCCTTTTAAAAACATATACATGAGTTGAAATTTTATGTGTCAAATTTTTAGATGTGTCGAAGTTTTCTAGTGGTCCGTATAGAATAAATTGAGTACAATTTACCATAAATAAGTGGAAGTACTTCGATTATTTTGACACTTTCGATCTCGAGACACCTTTTCTAGTTGCGAAGATGATTTCTTAACTACATGTACATGTTGAACAGGTGTTAATTACACAGCTACGTGTTCTAACAGCATTTGTATGCATTCACACATGTGATAAAATGCTTTAATTGTTATTATTCAAAATGCCGTAGTTGCATTTAAAAATAAACAGTACAAATTAGTTTTGTTTGCAAGGTATTGTGACCCGGTGGTGGGTGATAATCACACAGGATGTATTTGCTATGAGCTGTTTAAGTCATAGCCCTTTCCTTTTGTTACGCCTTTTGTAACTCACTTGTAAACGTCAAATGCTCGAAATGTTGACATTAAATTGAGACTGATTCACGAGTCAAAGTCCCAATGTCTCAAAGTTTTACAAAAGTCCCTTCAACTTTGACTCACTGAAGTTCTACTGTATTTAATATGAATTAATATGAAAATGGCTGTTGGTTTATTTATAGTGTATCAAACAGTTCTTTGTTGTTAAAATAAGAATTCCTGAAAAGTCCATGATGCCTTACCCAAAGCTGATAATTTTTACTTGTAGCAAACAAAACGCAAAGCAGCTGAAAATAACCACCAACAAAGTAAAGACAAGATGAAAATTGTATAATGAACCAAAATGGTACACCATGTACCAGTATGTGAAAGTGTATTCCACATCAAAATAGATAGGAGTGTCTATTGACAAAATAATAGCAGCAGGAAGATTTGCCTCTTATATATCTGCCAATTTCTACACATATAAAATGAGCTGCGTCATAACAAAACCAACGTTATGTGTTTGCGACCAGCATGGATCCAGACCAGCCTGCGCATCCGCGCAGTCTGATCAGGATCCATGCTGTTCGCTTACAAACCCTATTAAAAGTAGAGAAACTGATAGCAAACAGCATGGATCCTGATCAGACTGTGCGGAGGCGCAGGCTGGTCTGGATCCATGCTGGTCGCAAACCCACTATGTTGGTTTTGTCGTGACACGGCTCAAATAATAATTATGTTTCCTGTTCCGTAAAGATTATGAACCTTGAACTTGAACCTTTTGACCAGGATTCAATACATTGAAATAAGACTTTTAATTTCTTCATAAGAAACACCTTTCTGACTGAAGAAAAGAAGCTCTCATATGACCCCCCCTATACTTTTAACACTAGGTGTGAGATGAAAAAAAACAGACATTTTTTATCAAATTTTATTAAAGAAGAAATCTTTTAGCCAAAGTAATTTTTCTTTGTGGTAAAAAAAAAAACCTTCAGAGCTCTAATTAACTTCTGAAAGTAAAAAAGAAATTAAAAATGACTATCTTTAAAGATCCTGTATCTGATGATCAAAGTGGTTAACCAAACTGAGTGAAATTATATATATGTACATACGTATGCAAAATAAAACAATTTTCAAACATTGAAGAATATGTAAAATATGTACTGCAAATATTTGTGCATATTATATGTAATCATTAAAATATGTGCCTTCCTTTCTTCTTGTAAAATTTGACTTTAACTTTTTTAAAAAATTTTATTACCTCCCTTTATTTACATGAAATGTTAAATTCGGTAATATCTTTATAAATAATGCTTTTTGGAACCTAAAATATTGATAAATCTTAATTTGAGCATCATATTTATGATTTAAAACCATAAAAAAAATGTGTTACAGGATCTTACAGGATCTTTAAACTAGTAGTTTTTCTCTGTAAAAATTAGCTTTATCAATAATAAAAATAAATAAAATCAACATTACCCAAATGTTGGCCTTTATGGACTGTGTGAGATTTTTGTTTGAAGGTTGCTTTTGGCATGCACTGTATAAAAATAAAAACTTTGCAGTGATAAATGTGCAACATGAAATGACGAATATTCCAACTTTAGTCTTTAACCATTTGAACATACCTTTATGATTTGTAATTGCACACCCTCGTCTGTTTGTGGTCCATGAAAACATCCACATATTGTCTCCACAATACGATCTATAAGTCTCTTATTTGGTGTTGTACTATCCGGCGTATTTCCTGTCATGTGACCATATGCTATCAATTTCTATAAAATCATAAGAAATGAAATTTATTATTTTAATGAAATTTCAATGGATATATAAAGAGCCCTAAAAGAAAACAATATACATTAAAGTCACATAATGCTTCAGAAATTCTTTTTTCATAAATTCTTTAGAAATGTCAAACATGTGTTTAATAATGTTCTTATAATGGATTAAGATAATTCATGTTTATGGCAAATGAGTACAGTATATATCTTTCGGAAACTGTATCAATGATACCAAAAAATAAAAAGTTTTTGAAAAATAAAATATCATTAATGGGCAAAATGGGCCTTTAAAGAAAGTTTGTTTCAACCCAGCTTTTTCCATAACAATATCAGTAAATTTGGTTAACTTACTTAGGGAATAATATGCTCTTATTATGTGTTGCAATGCATGGGTTGATAATATTAAGTTTTATTCCACAACAATGTGAATACAACTAAATGCAGGGTTCGACATTAACGGGATCCCGGGATTCCGAGGATCCCAAAAAGTCGGGAGGAATCTCTGTGATTCCTAGCTGGGGATTCCGTTGGGATCCTTGAAAAATTGCTGTGTAAATTTTTTTAATTGTCTGAATTAATATCATTGAATCACTTAATATTCAAGAAAAGTGTTAAAAAAGACTGGCACAACTGCAAGGTTCAAGAAAGAAAAGAAAAATCCCGCCGGTAAAATCTACGCTCTTGTATCATGTACGCCAGTTTTCCTTTGTGCAGTGACTGCTATCAACTCATTTGCGATATATAATGAAAAATATTTTGGCTGAAGAAACATTCTTGAATAATTTTATATCATGCATTGACTTCATAGTATTAAGTTGTGAAAATTCAAAAAAGAAATGCAATTATCGTATAATTATTACACCAGCGGTGTGTACTTCAAATATGTGCTGATCGGCGTTGCCGGCGATAGCTACAAAGTCAACAAGTGTTTGTTGTTGTTTATTTTGTGCCAAAATTCGGTATTTGTGATCATTGTAAATTTTCGTAAAAGATAGTGAAAAAAAAAAAAGATTACTGATGTATTTTTTTTCTCCCTGCAGTACAGCAAAAGTATGATTAATAAACAGAATACAAATAATCCATACTTTTCAGTTTAAAATCCTTTTTGAAACTCTACAGCCTTTAAAATGCTAAAAAATATTGTCTAACTAAAGTCTGAAGTGTTCTAAGGTCAATCAAGGTCACGCATAATTTACCGACAAAAAATAGAAAAATCCTTAGGTGAAACATACACCAAATGACGTATATTTCATCTGACAGTTCTTTCAGCCAATCAGTGTTCTGAACTACTGTAGTCTAGATGACTGCTGTATGCGGTGAGTGCCTTTGATGTGACAGATGTCAAAACTTAAAAAAAAATCAATACACACAGAGAAGAAAAGAATCGGACATTTCAGTGTAAAAATTGGAAACAATAAATTTGGATATTACACATCCTGTCATGGACTTGGAGCAACTTTTTATTTTTAAAAATGAAATCATTTGAAGGTAGATCTACCCTACTTGTAATGCATACAAAACGTAACAAAATATTTAATTTACAACAATCTATGGGATATTTCCTTTTAAACAAAAAAAGTGTACAGTAAGCTGAAAATCACTTATTTTTTTAAAGTGATCATAATTAAACATTTCTTTTAAATGACACGATAGTAGTAATCCATACCAGAACTTACTGGAATATGGAGCCTAATCATTATCTGTAATTTTTTAAAGATCTACAGATCATAAGTGGGCTCTATTTCAGTGAACCCTAGGCTATCTGGGAAAATGTTTCCCCAGTTCATACTTAACTTCAAAAGTTCAAACCCTAAGTCCCATTGCCCAGTCACTTGCATTATACCTTCATTTACAGAAACTGGTTCACAATTATCAACAGGATTTAGCAAAATTTATATTTTCAAATCGAACTCTTGTTCAGTGAGCTTAATATTATTCTGTTTCCGTGCATGTAAAAATGTATTAATTTATCTTAGCGGTCCAATTATATATATATATACTACTACTAGTAAACACTTTGAAACACTTTTAAAACTTTAAACAGCAATATTTCCAGAGGGCTTTTAAACTACATTTTCTGCATCTGAAACAAGGAAATATATATCCTGTATGTGGTCTTAAAAAAAAGAATTTGAATTGGGATTGCTGCACTCCCTTGTTATTCTTCGCCTTCATATTTTACTATTTTGATCTGAGGAATCCCTGACATTTAGGAGGAATCCCTGAATTAAATCTTAGGGATTCCTATGGGATCCCTTGTAAAAACAGTTAGTGTCGAACCCTGCTAAATGCAATCAATGATAAAGAAATTAGGAATTATTTCATCTTTAGAATTAATAGGTGAATGAATATAATGTTGATACATATTCATGACAAACAAAATTTGAATTTGTGAAAATAGAAAAATATACAGAAAAACTGACCTGTATGAATGTATTTATTCACTTGATGGGGATTATTAAAATGTTAATAGTGAAAAACAGAATCCTTTGCTTTTACCATTCTAAGTTCTAAGTGTATTGTGAACATTTATTTTAAAGCATCTATATAACACATGTATATAGATTTTTTAGTTTGAATATTCGGAAATTAATTTAGTAATTATGGAGGCATACCACTTTATTTCGACTAGAAATGTGCAAGGTTTCTTTTTTTTTTCTAATTCATAATCATATCACCTGACACTTTTAAGCCAAAGATGAAATTCACTTAAGTTGTTATCTAATTGGCTGTATTTTTTGTTGTTTTTTATAATATAGTCTTAATATGTTATCATTCATCATATGCTAATTAAGTACTTCTGGGCAAAACATTTACATATCATATCTTAAAGGTGATTTGATTGAAAACATTAAACTTTTTTTCTTTCCTTTAGCAAAATTGTATAATCCATTAAGAACTAAAACACCATTCTATTACTTTATAATATTAGATCACAATCTTGAGGATGAGAAAGATTTTTTAGACACTATACCTGCAGGAAATCTAAGGTAATGTTGACAATCCTTGGTGATTTAGACTGACAAGCCAGCTCAAACGGTGTGAAATACTTGTCAGCATCCACAAAACCAGCTTGTTTAGGCATTGGCAAGGCTGAGGATTGGTCATTGGCAGAACTGAAAAGTGAAAAGTACACAACTTCAACTAAACCATTTATGCATTTTAACAAATTTAGCAACGTTTTGGCTTCCTTAATCAAAATCAAATAAATATCATAATTCATATACACCCAATTTCTTCACATTTCAACTTTTTCCTCACTCAGTCACTGACACTTATTACCATATTATAAGAGATTTTACTTGAACCACATATCAAAGGCTCACCTGGTCAAGTGGAAAAGGTCACTGATTTTGATAACTTGTATCACTGGGTTTAAATCAAACCAAGACCTTTGAACCTGTTTTTATGCCAGGAAGCAAGCCTTTGAGCTTACTGAGTACCAAGATTCTGACCAGTAACCCACAGACAATGCATGTTCATTTGTTGGGTCTTACTCAACCAGTAGAATCTAGAGAGTTGTCATATTAATGTAACAGTATGTGACTGTGCCAATAAGTAACTTAACATGGAAGTCTGAATTTTAACTATTTATTTTTAATTTACTTAAGTCTCAATAATATATATGTATATATCGATCAATATAAAATACAAGATAAAAACAAATGGCATGCATATATGAAACCAACCAAATATTTGATTTACTAGAGATTATATCAAAATACTATACATTTTCACACTAAAACATAAAACACTATCACATCTTTTCATGACTATTCACATACTATTCACATATACAGAAACTGTAATTAAAATACATCTGAGTTTGTTCTTAATCGTAACTTTGACAAGTCAAAGATCTCTACCTATAATTCTAGTCAATACTAGTGTGTTTTGTATAACTTACAAAACTGAATTATCATTAGTGAAAATTATAATTTGACTTACCCAGCTTTACTCTGACCATCATTCTTGATTTTTTCTGAAAAACAGAATTAGTTTTTAACATCAAAACCTACAAAAATGGATAATTTCAAACCATTGTGTTGAAGCCAGTCATTTAATCTGAGATGCATTATTAAAGGGACTCCACTGAGGTTTTCTGACATGATGGGACTGAAAATATCTTTTTCCAGATAAATGTACTACCATTTGATGTAGGTTTAGACCACTTATCTTTGTGCAAAATTTCAGATCATTCGCACACTTTGTTTAACAGAATAATTATTCAAGTTGTAAGAAAAAATACCCAAAATGAAAAGCATTTAAATGCTTTTCACTCAAATTGGGCTAAGAAAAGCATAAACATATGATTTTTAATTTATTTCAGTGTATTTCTTAACTATCTTGCATATATATTTCTGTTTAAAGTGCCCCAGCTCATTTATGTAAGAAATTCAAATGTTATGTTTTTAGGCTTTTATACCTCAGTGAAGTCCCTTTAAAATCAATAATTATCAGCAATTTTATGACTTTTACCCGTGTGTGTGATCATATGCCATTTGTTTACAGTGTCATTTGGTCACCACTTATATAAGGTATTTTCTTATCTTTTCGTTACATGTTTCAATATACAATATGTAAATAATTAACATGCACTATGTTCCAGACATATATTTTCTAACTCCAATGGTTCATATTCAATCTGATGTAGCTCTAGTACTTTTCCAAATATTCGTACAGAAATTGTGACACATTGTTACAATGTACATAATGTCATAAAAATGATATATATATAAAAATTAACTATGTGTCATTAATTTTATACAGAGAAAAAATATTATTTTATTTTATACAATTAAATAATATTTTTTCTCTGTAATATCTATTTCTTTTTTGGCAATGAACAATGCATATATTTAAAAAAAAGCTTATATGAAACTCAGATCTATTTTCAAATATGAGCAGTATGGCTGCTTTTCCTTAAGTCGTGGGTTTTCCTTGAGTCGTGGGTGGGTTAAAATCGTAAATGACTAATTGTATGGTTAAAAATATATTTTAGAAGTTAATATTTCTTATAATTTGTTGTTTAAAAGTTGTAAATACTGTAATAATCGAATAATTTGGCCATTTGTAGGGTTTGTTTACATTTTTTGACAACAACAACAACAACCTACTGGTTTCCGGTGTTTGGAACAGGTGCGACTTAATTTCCCGCCAAAATTGGGCCCACAGAAAGTCTCACTGAACTATTAATTGAAACATAAACTAACACTTGGTCATCGGCATCATTATATCTAATATCGATCCCATTATCCATCTTGAATAAAATTTTGAAATCATTTGTTGTATCCACGTCTTTTTGCAATTAGTTATGTTTGTTTATAAAGCAAAATTAACGGAATAGGATACATATGAAAACCATATTGTTTTATTAAAATATCATTTGCAATTGTTGCTACAATTTTGTTAATGTATAAAAGATTTTGAAGGCAGAATGAAAGTTGCCCTGATGTTTTATTTTAGTTTCATTACAAACTTTAAAAGATCTTATTGAGGACTGTTAAGTACCGAATAAATTTATCAAATCTGACTTTAAATCGATAAAGATAGGAGGCTCTAGTCATATAATGATGTTTAATAAATTGGTAAGGTAACTTGAAATAGTTCACTGAGATTTGACCAATGTTTTCTTACACTACTGTTGACATACATGTTAGCCACGACTCAAGGAAAAGCAAAATGCATGTGAATGCAAAATGGTACCTATATAAAATGAGCTAGATAATCGGAAATAAGTCTTAAGAGATGCATTAAAGATCATGACAGTGCAAAATACAAATAGTTCAGCATTTTCTGGTAATTTCCATGCTTGTTCCTGTGACGTCATCATACGTCACTGTTCTATTTTTAGAAATGCCCACGACTCTTGGTAAATAAAGCATATTAACTATTTTACCTTGACACTGGGAACGCAAAAATTCCTTTATTTCAATGCCAATCATGTATAAAATTGTTACTTTTTAAAGAAAAACCTGATAATGTAATGTAGCCAGGATTAAATTTCAGTATTTTTTTTATCTATTTAATGAAACATTATCTTATAATTTGATTTTTGAATGTTGTTGCCAGATCACGGTCAGTAGATAACCTAAACATGTGATTTAACCAAGACCTCTTTTTTCGTAAAATTGGTGCGACTCCAGGCCATTCTATTTAAAGACCCTGCAATTTACAAAAATAAAATAAGTACACTGTAACCAGCAAGAACCACCCTAATGTGCTATAAACAACAGCCCTAAACAACTTCCCTTTTCAGTATATTTTACACCTTCTACTGTAAACACAGTGACCTAGTCAGCAACATGCATGTAATTAAAACAAGCTAATGTAAAATGACACTGTAGAACAAACTATACAGATTGTTATGTTTATTCTATTTCTAGCAGTGATTCAAACTTACCAAGTGCCACCTCACAGGCTTTCTTTAGTTGGGAGTGATGTGCCTTTTTTATTTCCTTGTCACTCAAGATTTTCTCAAGTGCACGTGTTAGAAACATTGTTGATATATACAATTATTGATAAACACAATTTATTTACAATCTAGTAGTCTAGATTTTATGCAAATTCAAAAATTGTTTGAACTTGTTGCTTGCCATCCGGTTGCATGTCATCCACCATATTTGTGTCACGTGACCATACAACCTGTCAAATAGAAATTAAATATTTTTCCTGTAAACTAAGGTGTATCAATGAAAACGTATATTATTAAAGACAATAACTCAATGTTTTACTTAAAACCAGAAATATTGTAGCTAATATAAGATAATACATATTTACAATTAACTCCGTGAAATATATTTACTCCGGGATTTTTTTCGAATTGATAAAACCCGTTTCCAAATACCGGCCAAATTAAAGAAGGTATGAAGACACTAAATTTATTGCAGTTCAGCCTTCGCGATTTTCATGTTTCTAAGGATTGTGTATGGGAGACTCCAGCTTGAAGTTAGTTTGCACTTATCACTACCCATCTGCTCCATTAGCTAATTAGATCAAACCGATTCTGCGTCATTTACAATTTTGGCCGTTTCGGGTGTTCTTTAGGGATTCTTTTTTACCCTATTTTAGATAGTACTACTGTTACGTACAAATAATATATCATTTGTATGTATGTATATAAATACCAGACAATGAGCTATGAATTTAAACTGACACCTCAGTATAATTAGAACCCAGATGTATTTCATGTCAATTTTGTGTATGTGTCATTTCTGATTACTTTACAAGTTGTTAAATGTTTATTATTGTGCAGGACCTCGACCCTATCAACAATATGGAAATACAGTTTTGTAATATAAAGCTCAGCAACACTGAAAATCTTCCAATAAAATGTAAATTATATCGCGTGTCTGCCACAATATAATTTACGTCTTTTTCAGACAAGGGGTTTTCATTTAGATATACAAACATTTAATCGGAATATGACGTGCAAACTGCAGTAATTATATAGTACACACATGCTGTATTGAAGTTTGCAGAAATGAGCTTTGCTGAGTAAACATAGAACTATATGTAGATACACAACGTAAGTCTATGTATGACAGTTTAAAACGATGGCTTTTAATAATTTTTAATATTAATCACTTTTTTCACTCGACTGAAGCCTGTTCTAGAAAGTTCAAAGATATTTGCCTAGTAGGAGCGTACCTTAATCTGTCACTTGCAAAATATATTTAGTCAACATGCAGGTACATGTACGTCGTGTCTAATGTCTCGTATTGCAGATTCGACATTTCATTACTTCTTTAGAAAGTTTAAAAATGAATTCTATATTGTTTTAATAATGGTTTTAGAACATAGTTAGATGCTTCTTACCTTAAGAAAGTAGCGCTAAATGTGAAATAGTTGTTATAAAGTAGCAAAATGTAAACAAAGTATAGTATTTGGACTTCCATGCAAAATACTAGATCATTGCACTAATTGCCAAAACGCAATAGGAGAAAAAAGATGGTTAAGGTTATTTGCCAAAGAGTAACTTTTGAAAACTTTAAAAGTACAATGAAAATTAAAGCTTTTGAGAAAAAAACTTTAAAGCATTTCTGGGAAATAATGGAGTTTTGATGACCGTAATCTCTTTGTATGTTTTCATTCTTTCCAAATTTTTACATTACACCTTTCCCTTTGTTATTTAAAGCCGGCTTTGTCTACGGCGCGTAATTATCAAAGTCTTTAGTACGCTTCCGATTTGTGTGTATTTGAGTTAATTTATACTCGCCACCGGTTGCCTCCAGAAGAGTATTAGTCATTTTATATTTTGGAGGATAGTGCAAGATACAGATACAGAAAAATGTTCCGATTCCAGAAGCTTCTTATGGTTCTTTAACGTGCCAAGTGTTTAAGCACTCATACACGGTACCCCGATTTAAAGTCTCATCCGAGAGATTGATCAGTAATTTTAGTTGGCAAGCCTGGGAATCGAACCCACAATGTTGAGATTACAAGTCTCGCGCCCTAAACAAATGAGATGCTGACATCGAGGAATATATATGAACGGGAGTGTAAATGTTGCAAAAATGGTAACCGATCAATACGACAAAATTGAAATTGTTGCAGGTTCTGTTTGTTTGAGAACTTCTTTGATTGAACAAAAGTTAAAGTTAATGCTCCTGCATAAATAAATTTTATGCATACTTCTCTGAGGTTAAAAAGTATGTTGAACAAATAACGAAAACTAAAGCCAACTGGTCCTTCGGGATCATTGATGCCAGCACTATTAAGTGTTGAGAATTGATCGAGTACCGCTCAAGCCGATGCTAGGGGGCGTGAGGGATGTTGCACTTTACATTATCCTTCATGTACAGACTCAATCAAACCGAGTCTGCAGTTCTCTTGTAATTTTGTTGTGATTAATGCTTCCGAGGGATCACTTTGTTTTTATAGATTTTTATTCTTCACGACATCAGGTGTCAAGTGCTGTGTGGCAGCTGTAAAAAGTTGCCCCGTACTTCACTTCGATTTTCAGTGTTATTATATTTTTCTGGTCCTTCCAGCACTATTAAGTGTTGAGAATTGAGTACCGCTCAAGCCGGTGCTAGGGGGCGTGAGGGATGTTGCACTTTACATTATCCCTCATGTACAGACTCGATCAAACCGAGTATGCAGTTATCTTGTAATTTTGTTGTGATTAATTCTTCCGAGGGATCACTTTATTTCCAGATTTTTTTGCCATGTCTAATAATTGCAAAAATCTAAAAAAGGGTGATCCCTCGAAAGCACCAATCACAAAATATAATATGTAAAAAATACATGAAAACTGAAGACTCGGTTTGATTGAGTCTGCACATGAGGGATTATGTAAATGTGCAACATCCTCCACGCCTCTCTTACAACAAAATAATGATGTAACGAACAAATGATAAATGTTCAAACTGTTTTATTTTCAATGTATAATAAATTCATGAAATTTGATATAAAATTATTCAAAAACAGAAACAATCATTTATCTTTGGAATGGACATTTTCCCCAATATTAATTCGTCCGTTTATGTTTATGCTCGTCTAACGTAAACAGAAGTAACATACATTTATGTTCCACAATACGCGCCAATTGCGAAAGTCTGGAGTGTTTTCTAAAATGTAACTCGTCTTGTGTAACTATCCAACCTGAGACGCAGACAGTTATAAAATGTGAGCACTTTGAGACTCAGGTCGCAGTATCAGTGTTTGGACACCCCACCCCTATCTGCCCCTGGACCCCTACTATATATACAACACTCTAAGGCTTACTATATGGTATCAAATACAAAACCACCGATAAAATTATATAAAAAAATGTTTTGCCACTATCAAACTATAATTTTTATAGTGGAATTTTTTTTATATTATTATTTCATCGGTGGTTTTGTATTTGATACCTTATAGTAAGCCTTATTCATATCATATATTAAAGTAAAAACTGGAAATCATTAAATAATTAATTTTACCATATTTACTGTAGACCACACAAACTCTTTTTAGGAAACCTACTTTTACCTGCTTATAACTATTTATCATTCAGTGGTAGAGAGAGAGGGAAGTTTATGAGAGTGTATGCGCCCTTTCTCGCATAAAAACGAGCTGTCACTAAGTTAAATACAGACCAGGGTCATGTCATCATAATGCCCTTTTAAAGTTGATTTTGAAGACTCCTCACAGTGATACAAATCAAGTTTTAGTTTAACGTCTTTATATGATCTTTGATCTCATTATTATTATTAAGAGGTTAATACACGGCAGGAGAGGGCCGGAAGGTGATAATCGGCCCGCAAAATGAATAATGGACCCGAGGGCTTTAGCCCGAGGGCCATTATTCATTCAGGGCCGATTATCACCTTCCGGCCCTACTCTGACGTGTATTAATGTCTTTAATACACTTGGTAGATCTAATAGTAGCATTTTTAAAAAAGAAAAAAAAAAAAAAAACAACAACAACAAATAGAAATCTACTTTGAAGTTCTTTGGTTGAAATTCTTGTGTTCTGTACGGAGATGTTTACTGTTTGTGTGTTCAAAGAAGCAAGTTTTATTTTCATTTTTTTTTCGGATTGAATTTGTTCGTATAATTTCTTCAAATTTCAACAGTAACAAAAATGTGTTTGTACTAAATACGATGTGCTGTCAACCTACTTTCACTTTTACAGTTAACTGTTTCATTACGTAAAATATGACGTCATTGTTTCAGTTTGTGCACGTGCACATGTTCTGCGGGCTGATAACTAGTTCTCGGCCCCGGGCCGCAAACTCATAATAGGTCACGTGACACTCATAATCAGTTGAAATCATAGGCAATTTTGTTACTATATAGTAACAAGTGTATAAATAAGATTTACATGTCATTTTACATGACCCTTGATTGGAAATAAAAGTTATTCTATTCTAGTTCTCCTGTGATAAAGGGGTACGTGATCACTGCGTAGGTTTCAAGGTTTATTTGAATACGTCAGGGCCCATATGGGCATGTGACAACATAAAACAGTACATACATACATACAAAATAATACAAAATGGCAAATAATATGTAAAAACAAAATACTACAAAATGGCAAATTATAAATGGTCATACAACTCCATGATGTAATAAAATCAGTACAGTAATAATTGACTGATATTGGAGGATGAGAGAGAAAAATTCAAGGAGATTACTTCAGTAAGAATTTAGTAGTGGTTTGCCTTGATACTGTTTGCAAAGGGAAGTAATTCAAAATGGATTCCAAAAATGCAATGAAAACTTGGGAAATTAGCAATAATATGGAAAATATAAGCGCTTTAGATGAAATATACCGTTATGACAAGAAACAACAACAAGACATCTTAACAGCTAAGCCATGGGATAAAGAGTAAGATTAAGTCATTCCTTTTTTACATTAATTCGTAAGGACTAGCTTAATTTTCGGACAAAACATATTTTGACTACTTTATTCAAGAAATTAATAGATTCTAAAACGTAGATATACACCGTTTTCCGGTACTTATTGTACAAAGATCTGGGGAATTCACCTAAATGGCATGTAAAAGCAATAAGTATTGTCAAAGTTTGGGAATATTTCCATTAAAAACCTTGATATGAGAATAAAATCTCCTGGTTGTATCGTGGACTAACCAGTTCTCAAACCCCTAAGCATTCAAGAGGTCTTTTAGTGTAAATAAAATATATCTTTATAAAAAATGTTACATATGTACACTTTTTAATCTTTATGTAACTTTTTAATCTTTATGTAACATATCTGTAAAATTTGACTGAATTTCAACAATTTAAAAAGCTCTATTTCCGTTTTGGAAAAGCACAACCCTCTGTTTAAAAACTGACATGACCTCTTAAAATAAAGAACCTAATCTCAAACCCCTTCAAGTATCTCTAAAATTCTACTGTTTAGTTTAGCCAATGAAGTGATTGTTATATGACTATCACATGACAATTAAGTACCCTACATGATGCAGGTACCTGCTTTAAGTTATTTTTGTCTATAATATTCATTTTCACAAATAGTTAATGGTGTATTTATGGGACTTACAAAGGTAATAGCAATTTGTATGAAATTAGGCTAAGTAATAAAATATGTTATGTAAATATTTGTTCCTATGCACTGTTTTCATTTGACATCAGCACATATGTCTGTCAGAAACTAAGCTTTTATGCACACATGTTCAGGACATCATAGTCACTTCCAGTAAAAAAATAACAGCACATGAATGAAGGGTTTGAGAATAGGTTGGGTGTGAGATTAAGTACTTATATGATACTATCTACCGGGAGTGTAAGCCTTATTAGGCCCACCATCATATAATACAAAAAAAATCTTATATAAAATAGTTATTTTCTGTAGGAGGTACCATTTTTTGATGAAAATAACAATCATCCAAAAGAAATTTTAACTATACATCAAAACGATAGTTCTGTTAATAACCTCATATGAGTGGCAACCACTTTTGTTTTTAAGTACTTAATACCAGGAATGACTTTTAAGCAATCAATAAAAAGTTAAAAACATATGAAAATGGTCCATTATTGTTAATGATACTAAAGTTCTATTCAATATTTATCAGTTATCACACAGTAAAAGGGTAATAATTTGATAAGCATTTGCACACACATTCAAAATATCATGATGGGTCCAAATTGTTAGCAATATTACTGGCTTTTATACGTAAAACACATTTATGTGAATAGGGTTATTAAAACTTTGAATTTTCTTCAAAAAATGCTACATTTTGTATGAAATTAATGTGAAAAACACTTGCATATAAAAGAATTTTTTTATGTAAGTATTGTTTGTAATATCTGGACATTCCCGGTACAAAGTACCTCCCGGTATAAAGTACCTTGAGGATCCTGAAATATTCAGTTCTTGATAATCTAACAAATTACAATAATAACTCAAAAAAGACTCACCTTTATTTTTTATACATCTCTGAATCCATAAATAAATTTCTTCGGGCGCTTTTTAGTGAGACCCTATATATTCTTTTAATTGTAAACAATCATTGAAATAAGGAATAAAAAATATTTTCAAAAAATCTAACAACTGTCAAAAATAGGATTTCCAAAATGGCGTCTTTTCTCTGTTTGAAATACAGTTTGTCTGCCTGTGTGTGTGTCCGTCTGTCCGCCCTCATTCGCGCCCATCTAGATATCTTGGACTGTCATGGAAATCAGGTGACTGTCATGTAGGCATCTCTGAGATGATTTATGTCCTGGTGAAAATAAAACCCTGAAATAATTTCATTTGCAAAAAGAACCATAAGATTTTTATAATTAATATTAACTACATGTATTATATAAAGCTGATAATGTAACGATTGTCCCCAGAGAGTATAGCAATACACAGGAAATTATGACACTAATCCGTTGATTGGTAAACCTGTGTGGCCCCTTCCAACTAACCATTATCAGCAATAATGTTAATCAGTAAAAAGATTGTTTATTGTAATGGTAGTAAGTAAATGAGAATAATGATCAGTTTTGTTGAACTTCTGTTACCCAAGGTCTCAGCAACCTGTTTGAAAAATGTGGATAAATATAAAAATCCCATAGCATCTATGTTTTAAAAAATGGACATCAAGAAACTGTATTTAGGGAAAGTCATCATTTAGCATATTGTGACAGTAAATGTGGTGATCAATGACAGTTCATTAGGGGAAAAAAACAACTTGAATGAGCAATAATTTTTGTAATTTCAGTCCCCATTATTTCAAGCATATCAAAGTGTCGGCCCTAGCTCTGCTGAAGATGGTAATGCATGCAAGATCTGGTGGAAATTTAGAAGTTATGGGTCTCTTGCTGGGAAAGGTTGATGGAAACACTATGATTGTTATGGACTGTTTTGCCTTACCAGTGGAGGGTACAGAAACAAGAGTAAATGCCCAAGCTCAAGCATATGAATATATGGCTGCTTACACAGATGCCGCAAAACAGGTGATTGATTTTTGTATCTTTCTAATTTCTGAACTTTTTTTATCTTTCTAATTTCTGAACATTTTGTATCTTTCTAATTTCTTAACATTTTGTATCTTTCTAATTTCTGAACAATACAGAATATCTTTAGATGCTTGATAAAATTTAAATTACTGCATTTATTATCTGCTCATTATGTGCTATGTACATGTTTTTCATTTTGTGTCTTGTAGACCTATAATAAATCATAATATAAAAAATATCTGCAGCTTGAAGAATATATTCATGAATTTCTTAATTATGAAAGTGCATTTGTTTAATATCATTTATTGAGTTAATTATCAATATTTTCCTTCAAATAATAAATAAACAATAAATAGATACATTTAAGTATGGATTTTAATTTATTTTTCTGTTAAAATCTTTCATAATATATTTTGTTTGTGCCAATATAGAACCAGGTTAGCCATCACATATGTGCAGTCTGCCAAGACTTTGTGCTGTTGACTGCATTATTTTAATTGTTGGGTGCATTGTTTTAATATTCTTACATTGAGATTCCCTAAATAATTAATGAACAGTTCCAAAACCCTCAAATGGGACAAGTTTATTATACAAATTCAAGAGGGCTGAATTTTGAGTTCTCACTAGACAGTGAGGCATTCTCCATATTTACCCAAAATGACTTCTTACTTAACTATGAATATATTTGAGCCGTGTAATTACAAAACCACTTTAATGCACATCCACGCAGTCTGATCAGGATCCATGCTGTTCGCTTACCAACTTATTACAAGTAGCAAAATTTATAACGAACAGCATGGATCCTGATCAGACTGCGCGGATGTGCAGGCTGGTCTGGATCCATGCTGGTCGCAAACGCACTATGTTGGTTTTGTTGTGACGCAGCTCATTTTTAATTGGTAGGTGAAGAGATTAGAGAATGCTATTGGTTGGTACCACAGTCATCCAGGATATGGTTGTTGGTTGTCAGGAATTGATGTCAGCACTCAGATGTTAAACCAACAATTCCAGGAACCATTTGTTGCTATTGTGGTAAGTCTATGCTTAGGCATTATATAATTGGACAAGCAAGTGGTGATAAGCTTAGTGTTGTCTTTTCGTTCACTCAGTTGTATGTTGTTTTTTTTTTGTGAAAGAGTAATATTTGTCTATAGTAAACTGTGTAAGAGAAATATAAGCAAATTGGCGTAAGATATTAACAGTCCATAAGTATTAATATGTTATTTACATGATTTTATGAAAATTTATCTATGTAAAATTTGGTAATAACAGTATCAATATATATAATTTTAACTCTATGCTTACTGATTGATTGGCTGTCAATTAGATGCCAGCATATGATAATACCACTTTATATCTAGTAGGTAGCTGCTTGTCGCATTATATTATATCCCAAGTCTGTGTTATCCTTTAGCGGAACTTGTCTTTTAAACTTTACTCAGAATGAGTTTGTAAAGTATACAGACCTTTGATTAACAACATTACATTCTAGGTGTGGCACATTGTTTCCTCAATAATTTGGGTGAGGACTAAAAACTAAACATTGAGAAGAGAATGTGTATTATGTTTCTTAGGAATAAGGTTTTTTTTATTGACAATTACTTTTTGGTGTTTATACTTGCACTAAAATTACATGTACTAAAGCATTTTTGTGCAACTCTTCTGGTGTTTTGTTATTACTGGTAGGTCTTGTTGAAAGTTGATAATTTTTTGAGAAATCCACTATAAAATATAGAACATGATTATTATGATTTTTCATTCAACTTGTCAGTTACTTATTTGAGGGTTATTCCTCACTCTTAAAAACATGTAAATTTGAATTTGGTGTTATGTTAACATTTTACAGATAGATCCAGTTAGAACAATATCAGCAGGTAAAGTTAATATAGGAGCATTCAGGACGTACCCGAAAGGTTACAAAGCTCCTGACGAGGCCCAGTCAGAGTACCAGTCCATTCCACTCAGTAAAATAGAGGACTTTGGTGTTCACTGTAAAAAGTAAGTACATGAATTTTATCTGTTTACAATAATTCCATGGAGGCCCAAATCATTTTTAAGGCAATTTACTGCCATATTTATTTATTAAATTCATTTCAGATGTTTCTTTTATTAGAATTTAAACAATAATTTTTGCAGCAGATATATTAATCCTTTATGATCACTTGTCATGCTATTTTCAATGATTGTAAAGTCCTATATGGTTTATATTTCAGCTACTACTCTCTGGAGATGTCCTATTTTAAATCAGCATTAGACAGAAAGTTGTTAGAATCTCTATGGAATAAATACTGGGTTAATACACTCAGTTCATCAAGCCTTATCACTGTAAGTGTGGTGAAATTTCATTCTTGTTTGTTTACCTGGATAAGTTTACAGGACTTAATTATACAAGCCAGTGCTTGACCTATCTTAATAAAAAATTATTGTATGTTATAATATTAATTGTGGAATTTTTTAGCTGGACTGTTCAAAGAAAAGAGAGGGAGCTATTGTATTCACCCAGGTGAAGGCATGGCCATCTCACTTAAGTTAATTTTTGAGGGCAAGTTGGTATCTCCAAAACTGCAGATGGAAATGGGTTGTAACTTCACACTTATTTGAGAGCATAATTGGGGCTAACTTTCCAAGGCCTATAACATTAACATGGATTTTACAGATTGATGGCCCCATTTTAAACTAAAATAATTCTACATTTTCCAGGCTCCTCAAGTGCCATGTGGAAGCTGTAAAAAGTTGGCCTGTTTGCCATCCCAATGATGTTATATTTTTGTAGTCTTAAGTGATGAGGATTTAATAAGTCTGTGCTTCACTTAGATGTTGCACTTTCCATTAACTCTTTTTTTAATAGACTTAATCAAACTGATTCTAATCAACTGTTCTTCCCTTTCCAGATATTGTTTTCACTCTTAATTTATTACCTCTTATAGAATGCGGACTACACAACTGGTCAAGTGTTTGATCTCTCAGACAAACTGGAGCAGTCCGAGGCCCAGCTTGGTAGAGGTGGATTCATGCTTGGTATGGATACAACTGAGAAAAAAACTGAAGACAAACTTGCTAAATCTACTAAAGATGGGTAGGTCACGAGTTGTTTTCTTTTGATACTTAGGTATATTAACATATATTTTCTGTCTGTTTTACAAATAAAAAAATCTCCAATATGACCAGGAACAAGACCAGAATCACTGAAAATGACTTTTCTATATAAATATAAGATATATGAAAATAAAACTAAGATTTTCCAAAACAATGCATTTAAAGGGATAACTAAATAGATATTTGGTTAAGTGTAAATAAACATATATGTAATGATACAATAGTATTGTTTTAGCCAGGTCTTCAAGAACCCTAAATGTAATTTTAAAATGACAAAACCAGTTTGTTAATTTCAATTTGAGTTCAATTCACTTTAAGCTAAAGTATGATGAAGAAGAAAAGAAAAAATAAACATTAAGTGATCTCATTAGTCAAGAATTGAAATATTTATATATCACTACATTAAATCTGCTTTTTTCTTCTTCCTTTTGTGCAGGTGTAAAACAACAATGGAGGCTATACATGGACTTATGTCACAAGTTATAAAAGATAGACTGTTTAATCAAGTACATTTACCTGCCATGTCCGACTCAACTAAATGATAATATTAACAATTTCATTCTTGTTATATGTGTACAAACAACTTAGAATTGTGTAAACAAGTGCTAATTGGTGATATAAAGTGCTTACATAGTTACATGACTTTTGATTCATATAGAAAAAAAACAACCTGAAAAGGATTTAAAACTACTGTGTCATTTGCTAAACATTTTGCATGTTGATGTTACATCACTTCTTTCACTGCGTGAAAGACTGGTATATTTAACTCATAGTAACACAAGTTAACTTTTTACTGGTCTTTGGAATAAACACAATATGAATCTGATTTATTGACTATTTTTTTTTCCATTTCAATTGTATTTTTGATTTGACTTTAGCAAATGCACCATAATCTGTGTGTACAGCTCTGACTTGCAAAAAGTTATGTTTGATTAATACAGATAAAATATTTCAGTTTTTTATCAAATTTGCATTGATAAGATACTGAATATGAAAGACTAGTTTAAGTTTAATGAAAGTTTTGAATTCTGTATTTATGAAGATATGAAAAGTATGACATTATGAATAAATTTTGTTTGTTTGTTTGTTCCATTTTACGCCTTTTCTCAGTATTTCAGTCATATAGGCGGGTAGTTTCCTAACCATCGTTCCTGGAGAGTTACACCAGTACTAGACTACCTTCCTCTGTGCTAAACTACCAAAGCATCTCCCGGGGATCGAACCCATAATTAAATTGTATTCTGAAATATTTATAATGCTACTTACAGACGTGATGATTACTCTAGATTTATTTTGTACATACCCTACAGATATAGTATTTTAGGAAAACTGATGACATGTGTAATGTAAACATTGATATAGGAATGTACAGTAGTTGTTATTTAGTTAAAGTTGCATTATGCTCATTTTTTCTGCTGTCAAATTCAGCTGATTTGGATATACAAATGTATATTTCTATTATAATGGTCAATGAACAAGACTTGATACTGAAAATGTTAAATATAAAGTATAAATACTGCCTTAAATATAAAAAGACTGTCCAAATGATGGTTACCAATAGATTTACAGTCTATTTCTAGACAATTTTGTAGGTCTTCTTGGTTATTTATTATACATGTGAAGAAGATTATTAAATTGAAAACTATGGCAAAAAGTTATTTTGACTTTTACCTATACACTCACCATTTACACTTAGATGGGCACAATGTCACTTTAAGATTTATATTAGGTGTCCAGGAAAATGTTGATAACTTACAGAATATTATAAGGAAGAGTTTAATGCAAGTCAGTAACATAATTTTTATCACAAATTATTTTTATGCCAGAAAACACTACCTTTTTGACTGAAATTTTTGTTTAATGCTTGTTCTACAATGAAAAACATAATTTATTACTTGGAAATTGATGAATACTTACAGTAACTTACATGTACATGTTTGACCTCTTGTTTCCTCTGAACATTTTCACAGAAGACAATTTTAGACATCAATTTTAAACATTATTCGAGAAACTTTTGTGTCCTTAATTTCTTAAATATATTTAGATCTATCTCTTGCCTCAAACTTTGTAAAGATGTATCTGTTTCAAAATAAGGACTTAAAGGCAAAATTTAAAAAAAAAATTCTCACACAACAGAAAACTTCTTTTTTTTTGTTGGATGTCTTTTGAAAAAGCTTTCCTTTACTTGACTTGAATTTCTCAATATTTCATGCATTAACAATTATTATACTGTTGTTTATCAATATGTGATGAATAAAATAACACAAAAATATATCTTCTCTTTTTATTGCACTGATCCACAATTTGAAATATCATACATAAATTACAGGGCATAACATTAGTTACAGTATTTCTAGCTACACCTGGTTTCAATTCAAATATTTCTGATTAAATCATTTTTTGTTTGTTTGTTCAAGTCTCACCAACACTGCAAATGGTACATTGAGACTTCCAGGAGTACCTTGGGTTCCTCTCGGTGTATTATATCTAGCATGAGTGGGCACCCAAGTAGAACTACTGACCTTCCATAAGTTAGGTATAAATAAATAACCTAACAATGAGCATGAAGGTTATAAACAAAGAGTTTTGAGCAACACTTAAAACATATTTCTTCTCACATACATTTTACCCATATAAATATAAGATATCTTACATGAAAAACAGATATTGTGGCTAAGTCTTTTCATATTGTAATTCTTCAATGGGAAGATACATGGCAGCCTTTCGTAACAGGTTTTCTGTATGTGGTGCCTCATACAAGTTTGACTAACATTGTATTAAAAAGCAAGTCAGATATTCATTTCACCCGGAAACACAATATTCAGAGTTTGTTCATTAAGGAGATCAGATATAAAGATTTGGTTTTAGATTTCAACCTGACCCCTACTTATTGTTGTTTGACAACAGCATGTATTATGGTAAGTCATACTTATTTAACATGTCGTTTGAGGTACAAAGCAACCTTGCCAAATAACTTCAGGATTTCCTGAATGTCCACATTACCAAACCAAGCATACACTCAACTATCTATAAATAAGAAAACAAAGGTGTTCAAAGAACAACTTTGGAAAAAAAACAAAAACACAAAGCAGTCAAAACGATTGTTCAAGTAATCCTATCGTGTAGTTCCAATTAAATGGAAGGGGAACAACTCTGTCAACAAAATACAAGGGAAACAACTTGGTTAACAAAAATAATAAATGCCTGTTTATGAAAAATAAATTTGTACATCACATGGCATTACTAGTCTATTGTCTTCAATATAAGGCTAAAATTTAGTTGGTGCTTCATTAAAGACAAATAATCATATAAGTATATCACAGTTTTCAGAAGTGTTAAAAATCGCAGATTTTATAAAACATTATTTTCGTCCTGTTTTTGCAGACATCTAAGAAGATAGGGCCTCACAGAATCTACCGACACTTCATCTGCTGTATCACATAATATCCCCATACTGGCCTCACCTGATGTACCTTGAAGTATATCGCTGTTACTGGAAATCAATAAAAGTTAATTCGTAAAATATTAATATTTCATGGTACAACTCTATACTGAGCTGTCTGTTATCAGTGGAATATTCTTTTGTATAAATCATACAAAAGTACCTTAATTGAAGCAATTATGTTTATAAATTTTGAATAAAAAGGCAAAATCATAGCTTCCCAAACAGAAAAGTAGCAGTTTGATTTTTTCGTTTGGTTTTCTGTTGTTTTTTTTTTACACCAAAAAGGTCTTATAGCAGTTGAATATTTTGTAAGGACCACTACTAGTATTTCTGTTTAGTTATATAATTCATGTGCTGTAATGAATTTAGATACACTTTTTATTTATGATATAAACCAATAAACACAAGAGCCATGTCAACATGGCCATCCCCCGCCGAATTTTTTTTTTTGCTCATTGGAAGAATGTATATGTAGTAGAGCAGAATAACTCCATTTTAAGGTCTTTTGGTAATGAAAACTGATGGCTATAGTGATTACAGATTTGAAACCTATGTGAATACTGATGGCTGAAAATAACAAAGGGCAATTACTGAAAAATAATGCAGGGTAGGTTATCATTCTTGTGTGCTGCATCCCTCCTCAGTAAAATCTATCCACCTATGAAGTTTCAAGTTGATACCTCAAATACTTTTAAGAAAAAAATTGAATTGAAAAATTAAGTATGAAAAATAACAAAGGGCAATAACTCAAAAATTATAAAAGGTAGAGTTATCATTCTTGTGCACTGCAAACCTCCTGAGTTAGATCTATGCACCTATGAAGTTTTATAATGATATCTCAAAGGCCTTTTGAGTTATGCTCTGGACAAAAATTAATTTTGAAAAATAACAAAGGGCAATAACTAAACAATTATGCAGGGTAGAGTTATCGTTCTTGTGCACTGCACTCCTCCTCAATGAGATCCATCCAGCTATGAAGTTTCAAGTTGATACCTCAAATACTTTTTGAGATAAGCTCCAGACAAAATATTATGAAAAAGAACAAAGAGAAATAACTCAAAAATTGTATAGGGAAGAGTTATCATTCTTGTGCACAGCATTCCTCCTCAATAATATCTATCCACCTATGACATTTCATGTTGACATCTCAAACACTTTTGAGTTATGCTCCACTCGGGTGAAAAATTAGGTATGAAAAATAACAAAGGGCAATAACTCAAAAATTATGAAAGGTAGAGTTATCATTCTTGTGCACTGCACACCTCCTGAGTGAGATCTATGCACCTATGAAGTTTCATGTTGATATCTCAAAGGCTTTTTGAGTTATGCTCTGGACAAAAATTAATTTTGAAAAATAACAAAGGGCAATAACTAAAAAATTATGCAGGGTAGAGTTATCATTCTTGTGCACTGCACTCCTCCTCAATGAGATCCATCCAGCTATGAAGTTTCAAGTTGATACCTCAAATACTTTTTGAGATAAGCTCAGGACAAAATAGCATGAAAAAGAACAAAGGGCAATAACTCAAAAATTGTATAGGGAAGAGTTATCATTCTTGCGCACAGCATTCCTCCTCAATAAGATCTATCCACCTATGACATTTCATGTTGATATCTCAAACACTTTTTGAGTTATGCTCCACTCAGGTGAAAAATTAAGTATGAAAAATAACAAAGGGCAATAACTCAAAAATTATGAAAGGTAGAGTTATCATTCTTGTGCACTGCACACCTCCTGAGTGAGATCTATGTACCTATGAAGTTTCATGTTGATATCTCATAGGCTTTTTGAGTTATGCTCTGGACAAAAATCAATTTTGAAAAATAACAAAGGGCAATAACTCAACAATTATGCAGGGTAGAGTTATCATTCTTGTGCACTGCACTCGTCCTCAATGAGGTCTATCCACCTATGAAGTTTCAAGTTGATAACTCAAATACATTTAGAGATATGCTCCGGACAAAAATGTCGGACGGAAGGACGGACGGACGGACGCTATAACTATATCCCCCGCCGCCTTTTCGGCGGGGGATAAAAAATGTGTTTATACTGGATATATCTTAACCGCTAGATAAATTATAATTTGGAACAATTAAATTTAAACTGAAATCCTAATTAGTCAACACAAAGAAGTTAAAAAACTTTACTATTTTTATTTCTCAAAAAAAATCCCCCTGTACATTAATCTCTTGGAATGTTTGTCTTAATAATGATATTGCTTACCATTTAAATGATGGCATCAGTGAAAATATCTTGTCAGCATACATCGGAAGTACTTTTTTCTGAAAAAAAAATGAATTTACATAAGACAGACACAAATTTTCAAATAAGACTTGTGCAACTTCAACATCTAATAAAACACCCAGCACAATGAAAAGGTTCAGTTTAGAAAAGGTTTGGTGACACAAGTGTATCAACTGATAAGCCAGTAACAAACAATTTTAGCCATTTAATTATAATATCAATAATACTTCTACTCTAATCACCTTAGTGCAGTAATGGGTCAACTCCTTATATAATTTAATAAGAGTTAACCTGTTACTGCACTAAGGTGACAATATTATCTATTTATTTGGTTTGGATACACATATAAGTCACACTGACACTTTAAAGGTCATATCTTCACCTTAATGCAGTAATAGATTTACTCCTATTGAATTTAGTAGGAGTTAACCTGTTACTACGCTAAGGTGACAATATTGTATCATTCCAGCTTTACTAGTGGAGGATGAATTCCTTAAGTTCATAATTTCAGTCACAAAGGGGCACCTTTGTAGAACTACAAATCTTCTGTAACCTAGCTAGATAGCTTCCAATTGAAAGAATCCAAAGTCCACCCATGGGATTTGAACTCACAGCAATGAGGGGCCATTGATTTGAGGTCAGCGTCCTTAATCATTCAGCCACATGACTTTTATTATTGGCATTGTCCAGCTTTACTGGTGAAGGAAGACCTCAGGTGGCCCTTATACATTTGAACAGGCTTCTTTGTAGAACCACTGACCTTCTGTAAGCTAGCTGGATTGCATCCTTTTAAAAGAATCCATGTCCATGTTGGGATTTAAACCCACAGAGAGTCAACCCCTTGAACCACTCAGCCAAATGATAAATTACAAATAAAACTACAAGAGTATTACCTTTGTTATTGCAGCTAAAGTCATCTGATATAAAAGAGAGAACTGAGGGCATCTATCTTTGTATTCCTTTAACAGTTCAATTGTCTCCTCCCACATCTCCGCCCTCAGAAGTAAGTGAAGAGCTTTAGTAAAACACCCCTCTACTTCACTGAAATCATCAAAAAATAAAAGAAAACAATAATATGCCGTAGATAGTCAAATGTGAATTTGATTGTTGTATGCAATTCTTAATTACTTCCTATACATCTTTCTTCGTTGTTGTTGCTGGGTTTTAAGTCACTATGTAAGCGTCATATGGCAACTTTCCAGCATTATTGGTGGAGGAAGACCATTGGTGCCCCTCAATGCATTCTTTCAGTAGAACTTAAAACATTTTTATTGTAAACATGTTTTGACTATAAATGTTTCTTCATCACTGACAATATAAGATATAAAAATGGAAATGATTTATAGAACAACTGAAGGAAGCATATAAATTAGTGTGATGTAAATGTCATCAAACTGTCTTTCACATTTAGGCCCGATAATATGATCTGCAATTTAAAATCCAATATAGGATAAAGACATTAAATTATTAAGCACATTTGTACAGCCTGATCAGGTTCTATACTGTAAATAGCTCAATCTAAGTATTTTGAGATTAAAATCCCTAAAACTTTAAATGGACTGTTCCAAAATTCAATACAGAACAAATCCATTCCACAAATTTAGCAGGTTTAGGTTGAAGAGTAGTTAAACTTACCTGGTAAGAAGTAAATGAACATGTGACAGGATGGCTGTCCTAGGATCAGTGGAATGTTCTGGCTGCGAAATACACTTTAATGCCCTCTCATAGATAAATGGCTAAATAAAATAAAATCAAAATATGTATGTAACTATCATACCACTTCATACGGGACTGAATCATTTAAAGCCACCAGGATAGAAATATATTTAATATTATTTATGTCAGTGCAGCCATTTTTTCATCTAAGTGTTACAATATGACTATATACGTCCTTACTTATTTACCTCCAAATATAACCTTGACCTTGAAACTACAGTTACAGTCGTTAATCTAGCACCATGAAACATACAGAAAATAAATGATCACTTTATCTGATATTTTTTTACTACTAACAGCCAGTCATGATTTAAACAACAATTACCGGTAATAGCCAATCAATTATCAAAAGCTTTAAACCTTCTTGTAAAACTTCCTTAACTCCATCTCAAAACTAAATTATAAATCAAATAATATTTCCCCACCTCAAAAAACTTTATATGTGTCAGATGCCCCAACACTCTATTCTTTCTGACAGCCTGTCAGACCAACAAGGACATATTTAAATGCCTGCCCTTAGTGGGTAAGGCATAAAAACCTTTTTACTTAGATAAAAAAAATAAAACTGAGAAAAAGAAAAATAATCATTAACTTTAACAAAATAAAAGTATAAAAATTTCTAAAGGTTATCAGTTTTGTGTGCCAGTTTTTCTATAGAAATGTTATTTCAGCAAAGACTCACGATCTGCCTTTTCCTGACAAAGGCTGACATTCCTATTTTTTGGTCCCAGACTCTTTGTCCATGGTGAACAAATTGTACCTAAAATAGATATAAAACTATATGAAGTAAGACTTCAACTTTACCCAATTGGAATGTAGACGCCTTATAATATTATTTGTTGATTGTATTCAACTGGTTTTTATACTGACTTTTACAAGAGTGAGGTTAGGGGTTGCAGAGCATTAAACTTCTCTTTAAAAGCAATACATCTAAGTGTATTTCTTATACACTGCAACCCCCATTATAATGCTTATGTTAGCTTAAAAGCTATGCATTTGAGATTGTTATAACAGTTTGCTGCCTGACTGATTGACTGGTAATAGCAGATACAGCATGCTATCAGTATACACATAAAAAATTTTGATCCGTCAAAATACGTTTCTTTTCGGGGGAGAGGGGTGGGGGTGGTGGTTGGGGTGGATCCAAGGCCTATGAGCATTGTACTGAGGTTAGCATTATAACAGGGTTGCAGTGTAGTGTAAAACCTTTTTTCAAAGAGATGGTCTTTAATACAGTATCATATAAGTTATAGCATAAAACCTGATCTCAAAATGCAATCACAATTATCAAAGGCTTGGATACTTCTTTCAACATCATCACACCAGCTTTATGCTAGATTTCTTTTATTATTAAGCCTTTAGTCACCAGTAATCTTTCAATATAAAAAACTGCGGACTTAAATGACAAGACCTACCAGTTTTTCTGGTTTATGTTTATACAAGAGATGGCACATAAGTTCTAGGAGAGGAACAGCTATATCACAGCTCCCTGCAACATTACATGTCTCCTGTGTCAGAGCACAATGCCATTTCTGCTGTTGTGAGGTACTCATTTCTCCTGTAATATAGAGTTAAATGGCTTTTAAATGAAGGAGTACCTGTAAAACTTTAATTCAAATTTGATTCATGAAAAAAAAAATGCATCATTTTAAAGATTTTTTTTTCAGGAGGTAGATCGTGTTTGTTAAACACAAATGCCCCCGGCTCAGATTCTTGTCAGTAACAATATTTCATAAAATATTTACCCATTCACTCAGTTTAGGACGTAAAATAGTCTAAAAAACAAGAGGGCCATGATGGCCCTGAGGTCGCTCTTCTGTATATAGGGCCCCGGAGCGGGGCCAGTTTAAACCCCTGGGCTTTTATTTGAACAAACTTGGAAGACACTCATTAGAAGATGTTTCACAATGTTAAGTTTTTACTACACACATATAATGAAAAACAATGATCTCCCTTCTCCCCCTCCCCCGGCAGGGCCAATTTTCACCTGAGGGCTTTTATTTGAACAAACTTGGTAGACATCCATAAGAAGATATTTCATGCTCAACATCTAAGCTCTAGCTCATTTGGTTATTTAAAAGAAGATTTTTAAGTTTTTAGTATACACATATAGTTAAAAACAATTACACCCCTGGGGCGGGGCCAGTTTTGACCCCAGGGCTTTTATTTGAACAAACTTTGTAGACACTTACTAGAAGATGTTTCATGCTTAATATCTAAACTCTAGCTATTTGGGTTTTTTCAAAGAAGATTTTTTAAGTTTTTACTATATGCATATAGGGAAAATCAATGACCCGCCGGGGCGGGGCCAATTTGACCCCAGGGCTTTTATTTGAACAAACTTTGTAGACACTCACTAGATGATGTTTCATGCTTAATATCTAAACTCTAGCTCTTTGAGTTCTTTAAAAGAAGATTTTTTAAGTTTTTACTATATGCATATAGGGAAAATCAATGACCCCCTGGGGCAGGGCCAATTTTGACCCCAGGGCTTTTATTTGAACAAACTTGGTAGACACTGTTTCACAATCTCCTACACAGTGATCTCCCCTTATCAGTACAGAGATCTCTGCCATCACAAACATTGAAATATCAATATTTGGATATTTATATTTTTTAGCTTTTTAAATTATTTTTCATTATTTTGTATACTTTTGATAATTTTTTGATAAAATATAACGGACGTAGGTACAAAAAGTTAAAAATAAAACAAAAAGAGAAAAATGACGTTAGATTTTCTATGTAACGGTCGATATTTACATTTGAATTTCGACGTTACGTCATGTGACTTTCATCATGTGACGTTTGTGAAGGCAGTGATTACAATTATGCCAAGGGAGGTAATCAGTGTGAGGAGTTTGACTGTTTCATGCTGAATATCTTAGCTCTAGCTCTTTGGGTTCTTTAAAAGAAGATATTTAAAGTTTTTTCTTACGGTTGCCATGGCAACCAGAGTTCTGCATGGAATGGAATTCTTTGAACAACTTTGTTAAGGCTTCACACAAGGAACATCCCTGTGAAGTTTCATTATGATCTGCCTCATGGTTTCAGAGGAGATGTCGTTTTAAAAGTGTGAACGGACAACGGATAACGTACGACGGACGAAGAGTGATCCTAATAGCTCACCCTGAGCATATGCTCAGATGAGCTAAAAATGTTAACACAGGAAAAATCCAAATTGCTGTTTTAGGTTAACCTTGTATGGATGGATGGACAGACGGACAGAAGGTTCAATTCCTATATGCCCGGGGGCATAAAAATAGCCTAGACCAGTAACATAGGTAAGTCATTATGATGCATGTATTCAAAAAGTTATTTTCAGTAACATTTGTTTTTTCATTTCTAAAACATTGTTTTTTAATTTTAAATCTACAGATTAACTCTAACCCTGTACTTTACTGTTAAACTTTCATCCTTATGTACATTCAGACAGAAAGCTACATGTTTTATATAAAAACAAACAAATATTAACCCTTAAAGTGCTGAAACGGGAAGTGTTAAGCCTTTGCCACCAGTATAGAGCCAGGTCAGCTCTATACTATTGGCTGAAAAACTTAAAATATTCAAATTGAAAGCCCTAAAATTGAAAATGGACAGTCCCAAAAAGGAAAGTGGGATAAGTCCAATTTAAAATATTCAGCATGTTACGGGTTAACATACAAAATCAAGTGTGATATGCTTTGTTTAACTTATGTTATGACGCATAAAAAAATCCTTGGAATTCTTTCAACATGGAAATATTTACTGAAGACATTTTTAAAATCTTAAGAAAATTAAAATAAAAACATTTGAATTAACTGAAAAATAATGTTTAAAAAAAAAAGTGAATAAATTGAAAAATAACAGATAGAAATGTGAACAAAATGGAAACTTATAAAGGAAACAAAAAAAAACCTCTCACAACTAAATGAAATCTAATAAAAATATCAACAGAATTTAGAATTTGGATGAAATGAAACTATAACTTGGAACAAAATGGAAAAAATGATACATTTTTACGTTTTGATTTTGTCAGTTTTAACATATACAACGCATGGATTAGACAATCACCATAACATATGTAACATCACTAGCTTAGAGGATGAATATAAACACATTAATGTATCCAATCCATTAGAGAGGAAAATACTCATTAGAGGGATTGCTGGGTAAACATGGCCGACTTGTACAACAATTTTATCATGACTAATAAAGTAAAGCTATTACTGGATAAAAACTCTAGAGTAATGATTCTTGTAAAATTTTCCTGCGTGTTCCCAATCGTTCTCCATTTCAATGACTTTAATGTGCAAAATAATAGTTTTAGCAAAAGGCTCAATCTAGATCTACAATTCATCAAATGTTCTTTTATCATGAAAGAAGTTGATGCCTTTCTAAACATTGGAAAGATTATTCTATTAAGTAAGTTTGGAAACTTTGTCAAAGCAGAGCCCAGTACTAACTGCAAGTTTGCCTCAGATTTACAAGTTATTACTCTACAAGCTGCCTGTGATGACATTTCTGTTCTGAATAATCTATTCTGGGAGTCATGTACAGAGATATTTCTAGATATGACTGTACTTAAAATCATAGGCTGCAAGCATAAATATCAAAGTATAAACGCGAAAAGTGTGATAGAAAAATTTCCTAGCATTGAAAGCCTGGTCTTAAACTTTGTACAAATTGATGGACCAATACATTTCCCATGGAACAAACATACATTAGCTCAAAATAAAAACAAAGTAAATAGTCTAATGGCAAGTTTTGTCTCGTATAAAAACATTTATTTTTATAACATGTTTCCTGGAAATTCCTTCATATTAATTAACTGTAGGACTGAAATTAAATCTATGCACTTAGAAGATAACATTGAAACATTAGAACTAACAAAGATGGGTCTAACCTACATTCACTCCAACTTTTTACAAAACGTAACCTTAAAACAGACTCTAGACCTGTCGAACAATAGATTAAACACAATTTCGGTTAACTTGCTAATTAATCAACACATGTTACAGGAGCTCTATCTTCAACAGAATGAGTTGACTTATATATCAAAATCTATGTTTTCCGGTCTTAAGCATCTTATATATATCAATTTATCGAGCAACAAAATTAAACACATAGTCGGAACTCCTTTCACCTCATTAAACCATCTGAAAGACATACTTTTGAACAACAACTCTTAAGTGCAAATACCCGATGACATGTTTCGTGATCAGACAAATTCTTTAGAATTTTTGTACATTAACTCAAACCCTGCAATCACTAAAATCCCTTTTTGGCCTATCTATGCTACAAATTTAAAGTATATGGATTTAAGCAATGGAAATATTACCGGGCAGAGTATAATACAGCTTTTAGATGATTTAGATCAGCTCGATATCAATGAAAAGCTTGTAGAGGCTGGAATGGAAAGGCATAATTTACCTTTAAGTAACATGGGATCGATTAAACTGAGCTCCAATAAAATTGAAACCATTCCGCAGAGCGACATGACAGTTACATATATGAAGAAGCTCAAAAACTTTTTGAAAAGTTTTATCATAGACGTTAGAGGTAATCCGTTTACATGTAATTGTGACACCTCAGTGATTCAAGAAATAGCCTATGACTCTAACAACACAAATGATTACATGATTGGATGGATATGCCAAAAGCCAATGGAATTTCGGGGACGACCCATGTGGACAATTGACAACAATGAGAAATATTGTCCTATAAAAAACCCGTTCTGTCCAGATCTGTGTTCATGTTTTAAAAGAAATAATGAAGAAATAATAATCGTTGATTGCCGTGACACAGTTTTACAAAATATGCCAAAACAGTTGCCTAAATCTCTGCTAGAATTGTGGTTCCAAAATTCAAATATTTCAGAAATAAGAACATTATCCTACTTAGAAAATGTGACTGTACTTAATTTAGCACATAACAACCTCCATGATATTAAGGTGTCCACTTTAAATAAACTAAAACGTCTAAAGATTTTTGATCTTCAATCAAATGACCTTAAAACTCTTCCATATCATATTTCATCCCTGGATTTAACAAAGCTGATGTTATCTGGTAACATGTTTATTTGCGACTGTAAGACAAGTTGGATGAAAACTTGGATTTTACAAGATGAAAACACTATTCTGGATTGGATGAACGTTAAATGCCTTGATACATATGGAAATTTAAAACAACTTATTGCTGTGCCTGACTCAGAATTCATCTGCAAGAAGGCTGACTCATTTAGTTTTACAGAACATGTATTTCTACCGTCTGTTGTAACAGGGTCAATATTGTTTGTCTTAGTTACGGTGTCATTGATAGTTTATTTCCAAAGATTTTACCTAAAAGTGCAACTGTTCATTCATTTTAATTTCCATCCCTTTGACAACATTGTAGACAGGGCAGAATGTCATGTTTACAATGCTGTTATAATATACGGACAAAGTGACCTTGAATTAAAGGTCAAAATAGAAAAGCACCTTACAGAAAAAGGTTATAACATTGCTGACATGTATAACAATGCTAAGATTGGGTATACGTATATTAAAAACATTGAGTATCTTATAAGCAAATCAAATAAAATAATTCTGTTAATATCGACGGACACTGTACACGATAAAATCATCCAAGCTGCCTGGAACATAGGTTACGACAAAGTCATGTCTACAGCAATTACAAGAATGGTTCTAATTGCTGACAAAGCAATAAAACATGAACCAAACATAGACGATAATTTATCACAATTTCTGACCAGTAAAAACTTCCTAGACAGAAAAACGAAACTGTTGCCTCAAAAAGTGGAATATTTGATGGCAAAGTCTAAAGATGGCCACCATGTTCCATCAGCTAAATTAGAAATGAATCAGGGCAGTCACAATCAACAATTTATGGTGGACAAATGTGATAATTCTCTTGATAAAATAGTAATTTCATACCCAGATGAACAACATTCTTATGTACAAAATGAAATTATTCCTTTTTTGTCAGAAAACTATGCACCAATTAAACTTCTGGACATGGAATTTACACCAGGAGCGGACATTCAAGACCAACTTCCCACCATTCTAGATGCATCTCGTCACCTCATATTCCTTTTCTCAAGTGACACCTGCTATAACGCAGTTAGGATGTATATTTTGTCACAAGCATTGATGAAGACCCAATTGGAAAATCAAAATTACCTAATTCTTTGCACATCTGGACCAGTTAGCATTGAACATGTGACAAATGCTTTGTCAGGATATTTAGAAAACTATGTAACAATAAGTGTGAAGCACCCAAGATTCAAAGAGAGGATTCTTGAGTCAATTTGTACTATCAGTAACGAGGTATGTGATGAAGAACATCAAGTTGAAAATGATCCACTTTTGTAAAAACTGTGAATACTGTCTATTATTTGATCTGTGTTAGTTATTTATCATATACATTTTATCACTTTATATTGTCTACTTTTTTATGTTAATTCTATTCATTTCTTCACATTATTTTGTTATCTTTTTTGTTTTAATTCTAAATATTTTATCCTCATTAGAACCCAACTATGTTTTATTTTTATATGGATTTAAAGGCCCATTACACCATAGAAATGTTTTCATTTTTGTTTCTCAAGAGCCTTTATTTTCAATGTTATGTTTTAGTTTCCAAATTTTACTAATCGGCCAATAACCTGAACCATCTTTGCTTTCTGTAGCTTATTGGCAATAAGTGCATTAATTAATAGTGATTTATTGTATTTTGTATGGAAATCGAAATACTACAATGTTTACATTTTGCTACTTTTCTGACAAATAATTTCACATTTTATGCTACTATCTAACATGTTCTAAAACAATAAATTTAATATTATTAAACTGATGTTGTTTTTTCTAAGGAAGGGAAAAGTAATTCCTTTATTAGGCATTATGTGCCTTTAAATGCTGTTCCAAGTTATCTTTGTTTGTTATTAATTTTAAAGATTTTATCACTGTACCCATTACATTGTAGAATTTTTAAACTGCAATCTAAGTTTAAATTTTCAAAACCTGCAACAAATGTACCAGGAAGAGCTGCTTATCTGAAACTATTTGTATAACGGCTGTCAACCAATGATGTAAACTCATACATGTATATAATGAGGAAATATGCTTGATTTGAGAGCAGAAGAAAATAGATTGGTCGATGATGTATATGATGTTACATGATCTAGGAATATGATTCATCAACATTTTGATAAACCCTGACAGAAAGTGTTTGGTTTTTCAATGACTCAGTATATGGATATGAGGAGTGGGGTAATAAATATAAGATTAAATTTTTATGGCACTTCTCAAGTTATTTTAAAATAGTGAGTGGCATACCAAAATGTTTATGACGTATCAACAGGCAATATAGCTTAAATCTGAGCCATAAATAAAATATGACTGGCTGAAACTAGAGTATACTTGATCAATACATTGTATATCATAATATCATAATTGTTTGTTTTAGAGTTATATTTTACTAGAAAATAAATATAATGGACAACATATTTGTCTCATATATGTTACAAAAACAATATTTTTGAAGTAACTGGATTCAAACCATCTACTGGACAAAAATTAAAACATTTGCTAATATGACAGACGAACAATACAGGATTAGAAATACGAAAACTTTTTTTCATGATAAAGTTTGGTTAATGATCTTCATGTTGTGTACACGCTTTTCCTTTTCTTGACTGATCTGAATATATAGAAAAATGGGGCCAAAAAAGGGGTCAAAATGATTATTTATTTCATGCTAGGAGACGATCTTGCGGACAAAACTTTTTAATAAATATTGGTGTTAAATAATTCAATTTATATGATGTTTGGCTTTACAAATATGTATGTGCATCTCTGTAATTGATATGATTCTATAAGTGGCATTTTTTTTTTCTACCAAATTTTTTATACTAAATGATAAACATTAAACTGACTTAAACAGGAGCAATGTATGCTTCGTTTGTTTGAGTTTTGTATCACACCAACATAGGTCATATGGCAAGTTCCAGCTTTTACTGGTGGAGGAAGACCTCAGGTGCCCTTCCATGCATTATTTCAGGCACAAACTGGCACCCAAGTAGAACCACTGACATTCGGTAAGCTAGCTGAATAACTTCCTCACATGAAAGAATCCAAAGTCCCTGTTGGGATTCAAACCCACAGTGGTAGCAATGCATGCAGTGTAAATGCTCATGGACAAGGACTATCAATAACTATTTTTCATATATATTCTAAGTTAAAAAGGGGCATAAGTCCTAAAAATATTGATTTCAGGTCTTAAAGGGTATAAATCTACATGTATATCTTATGAAATATTCTTATAAAATTGATCAACAGTAAAATTATATTAGTTCCATTGTTATATGGTTGATTCCTGAAAAAGTTGTAACATAAAATGTCTCTGTTATTTAACACACATGAATAATGTACATAAACAGAATAAAATGTTCTTGTACATTAAAATATTATTTTGCTATTTTAAGTATGGTTTTATCCATTTTGCAATGATTTTGTGCATGTGCCACTCGCTTTAAGGCAATTAATTACCATATTTATTTCATACAAGCATTTTGGAAGTATTCTTTTTTAAAATCCAAACAATAATTTTTGTGTCCGATATAACGCTTTATACACTTTAAAACTATTCCTTTTCATGATAATCAGTATTTCAAGTTTTACATTGACAGCTTTGAAATCATTCAACTTTTTTAGTACTTATATCTGTAAAGGGCAAGGACTATCAATACCCAAATCTTATAAATATTTCAAAAGGGACAGAACTCCAACAACTGTGCCTTGTCTCCGAAATTCTTGAACAAGTCCAAATACAATATTGTAAAGATTTTCTAGGTGTAAATCATTCTGTTAATGATAATGTTGCATTGGGAGAATGTGGAAGGATGCCTTTATGTATTGATCATCATGTAAAAATTATTAAATATTGGTGTAAACTTCTTTGTATGCCAGAACACAGATATCCTAGAAATTGTTATTTGATGTTAACTAGACAAGATAATGTTGGAAAGAAAAATTGGGCTACTTCAGTAAAAAACTTATTGTATACTTATGGGTTTGGCTTTGTATGGCTAAGTCAAGAAATTGGGGATATCAATCTATTTATTTTTCAATTTAAACAAAGAATTATTGATTGTAAGACACAAAATTGGATGGAAGAAATTCAGAATTCACCCCGATGTGACACCTATAAATTTTTCAAATCCATGTTAAATCCTGAAAAGTATTTATCTATTGATATGCCATTTTATGTAAAAAGATCATTATCGAGATTTAGATGTTCTAGTCATAAATTATATATAGAAACTGGACGACATTTGGGTTTACCAAGAAATGAGCGAATTTGCCAACACTGTTTGCAAAATTATAACAATTCGTTCATCGAAGATGAATTTCATGTATTTTTTATTTGTAATAGATTTTCCCAACAAAGACAACGTTATATATCTCCATGGTACAGTCATGATTATACATTCCATATTTTTTGTAATTTGATTAAAACTAAAAATGAAGCAAACATAAAGAATATTGCTTTTTTTGTTCATGAAATTATGAAAATTGTTGATAATTAATATCAATAGGAAAGTACAATGTATATTGTAGACACAGCTAAATATGTATTTCTGTTTTGATTATATTGTGTATTTTGGGCCGGAGGCCTTTATTTACAAAATAAAATGTTGATGTTGATGTTGATGATGATGTTAATAAGTATACTAAGTTTATCTTTCATAGTTTTGAATTCATTCTACTAAGGCAATTTTGGCAAAAAATATATGATAAACAGAGTCATTACTCTAAAATATATCTTGCAGAATTTACCCTTTTGTCTCAGAACAACTGCAATTCATCATAATAAGCAAGCATTACAAGTTTTGAGTTGAAAACTTTAACAATATTTGAATAATGGGCTACAGTACTGTACAATAAAGTATTTGCATAATGATGACAATGATGACAATGTCACAACAATCATATGTGCTCAACTTTTTCTTTGAAACAAACAAGCTAAAAATCATTGCGACTGAAAATCATGAAGAACGGCTGGAAATATGTAATTTTAAAAGATCACAAAATAATAATAATATAACAAACTGTCACATACCTTCCGTGACGTTCAAATAGGTCAAGAGACAGTCAAGCACTTCAATTGGAGAATATTGAGCAAGTACGACAAGTTGAGATTGTCTAGCTTGTCTGGAGAGAGGAGACTTTGGGTCTAACAGATGGTTCACTTCTTCCTTTATCGTATCAGGTCGCAGTTGAGAAATTTTCTGAAAAATAAAAAATTATCAGTCAATACACTTTTAATTTTTGAGTGGGACAAAATGTTTTATTTTAGACCTTAAACTATATATATAATAGATGCTAATAATAAGAACATTAAATGATTTTAACCGCTCAATGATGGGCAGTGATAGAGGAAAGACTGTAGCTCTCTAGGACTTTTACTTTTTTCTTATTAGTGCCTTACTTAGATATTGACCTAATTTTTATATGCACACAGTGTTTATCAACATAAACGAGACGTTTAAATGCATTGTTAAAAAAATGCTATTGAGGACAATTTGTGTGACATAGAAATCTTCTTTAGGCTTAATGGAAGATAGGGCAAAGAATAAAACTGTTTAAAGTGAAAAATAATCATTTTTTCATTGCCCATTCTAACATTAAGCGCATCTTTACAATATGTTTAGGTAACGCAAATGGTGTCAAGATAAAATTTATGCAGAGCTATGCAATACCTTTTTTACGGAGTCGCAAAAAGCGGCAAGGGTGTGTGATAAACATGCATAATAATGAATGTTTTGTAAAGTATAAGACATCAGTGGTAATTTGAATTTTCAGTTTTGCACAACTATCTAGATAAATCATCTCTTTCTATGCCATTTCGTTCTCATAACAGATTTGTCCTGCTTTGAATTTAGAACAGTCCATTTATATTGTGAAGGGTTCTGATATGAAATTGTTTATTTTCAGCAGCAGAAGTCATTCTTTGGTTAGACTGCATGGATATATAAGCTTGCCTATCCTTGCTTTCACTAACATTCTCAAACTGAGAAAAATCTCAAAATTGGCTGACATTCTTTTTTCTAACTGTTTCAAGTTATTTATCGATGCATATTTTTTCAATCATATTTTGTGTTAAACCATAATTTCTAAGTCCGAGACTACCCCCTGACAATGGAAGAACAAAAAATCATATAATTGACAACGCCTTAAGAGATTCACTCACCTCAGAAAAATCTCAAGGATGTCAAGGATGTTCAGGATGTCAAAATGTAGAAATATTCACAAGTTTATAACTGTACTTACATTTGGTTCCTTTAATCCCTCTTGTAACATGTTTTCTAACCTCCAATACTGAGATAAGAATGGTTCTGTAATGGAAAATGTCATTTTGTCACTTGTGATGTGAATAACTATGTGTTTCTTAAAATCTATTAGTTTCATCTATGAAAGTAAGCTTAACACTTTTGTAGCTTTGATTTTGACTAACAACTATGCAACTTACTTTGAAAAAAAGTATACTTAAATACACCTTTACACAGACTATAGGTGTGACCTTGACCCCTAACACACTGACCTAGTTTATGATGGTGAACATTTCTATCACATAATACTAGAATCCATGCATATTGAAGATATGCTCCTGCCAAACTTTTTTCATTTTATCATCTCTATTGACCTTGACCTTCCATAATCTGACCTAGATTATTCATGTAATGCTCAGTCTCATTATGTTGAATATTTGTCATAAGATGCCACAAATCATGATGACTAAATAGCCAGTGCACACAGTTTCATATTTTTATCTGACCTTTGACCTCAATGTATGGCCATGACCTTAGCCACAGGGACCTGAATATTGTGCATGACACTGCCCTTAACAATGATTCACATTTGTGCCTAATTACATATATATAAAAATCCATTGATGTATGTAGAAGCTTTGCTCCAGCTCTGACCTTTAAGTGTGACCTTGAGACTTTGGTCTCCGAGAAAAAACTACATCTCATGCAGGTGAACATTTCTATCAAGTTATACTAAAAGCAGTCAATAAATATAGGAGATATGCTTTAAACAAAACTGGATGCTAACTGTCTGCTTGCTCCCCAAACCAAACACCCCCAAAGGGCATTATTGTGGGCATTAGTATGTAAAAGTTATAATAAAAGCCACTTACCTACAGTTTCTATGAGCTTTGAAGTGCATGGAATATCCAGATTTTCTACCCATTTCTTCTTTAAAGATTCAACATTGAGTTCCCCTTGAGACATAGCTGTGTACTTCTGCATCTATAAATAGACTTCTTTTCATCAATATCATTTCTAATTTTTAACATCCGTCCTGCTGTAACTATTACAATATGAATTTTATTTCACAGTTAGTTGGATGAAGAAGGGGAAACTCACATCACTGGAATTTCCTCTGACTGTGGTTCTAGAGGGTGATGTGAAAATTGATGAAACTATATTATATTATTACTCTTAACCCTTAACCTGCTGAAACTATTTGTGATTAGCCTTTGCCACCAAAATACAGCCACACCAGCCGGCACATCCATGCAGTCTGACCTATACTATAGGTAGATCAAATTTTTTGTTGTTGTTGTTTTTGTTTATTGAAATCCATTAACATTAGATTAACATCCAACCAGTTCTTAATCTATTCATAAAACATTATGAAACATTTGCTCTTTCTATTATTTGTTCCTGAGACTTAATGTGAATTTAACAAGCTAGGATCCACTTGAAAGATAAGATTACATAAGCTACATTTATTTGTGAGAATTTCAGACAAATAAGATAATACATACCTTATCTATATAAGACAACCTTACAGCATCTGACTGAAAGTGACTCATCTCTAACAATGTCATCTCTGACACATTCTTCCGATCAACACATTTCTGTAAATTTTAAAGAAATCATGACAATACAAATTTGTATATATTGCTTTTAATAAAGTCATGCCCTCTTTCATTATATTGGTTATTTGATAGTGACCTCCCATTATGATCTCAAGTAAATTTGTGAAGTTACAAGCAAACATCTATAATGGTTAATATATAAGGTTGTACAAGAAGTTACATTTATCACATAAACCGCAGCACAGGAGTGTAATAAAGCCATTCAATAAAAACGATATTACTAGTTATTAGTTTTAACTGTAAACCGTTCTCTTTTTGAATATGTGATAAATAGAATATTAAATTTGTGTAGATATAATACTAAAGTTATTGAACGAGTTGAATAAAACAATATTATGCTCGCCAGAGGCTCACATAATATGATTTTATTCAACTTGTTCAATAAATTTAGTATTAAACCTACACATATTCAATATCCTCTAAATAAAACTTTACACCAATGCCCTGATACGTTAATCCCACTGAACTTTAAATTGTCAAAACTTAAAAAAGCATTTTTTCATATAACGTAAAAAGCTTTCAAGAACATGACTATAACTTCATGAAAAGGAGAAATCTTTCATGTAAAGGATGATCATTTCATGTAAAAAAGAAATCTTACAATTGTAAATAAGCATTTGCAATGTTTAGAAATAGTATTTTACATAAACAGGATGAAAAGAAAAGTCTTTAAAGTAAAAGAGTGTTCCTTCATTCAAATGAGTATTCTTTCAGGTACAACTTTGAAAACCATGGAAACCAAGCAGTGGCTTTTGTATGAAGTAACTGTATTTCACAAGTAAAGTAAATAATATATATCATTATTTGTGTCATTGTGCCTTAAAATGAAACAATATATATACTATCTAAAATAACTTACATGTATCATGTATAGATTTTGATCAGTAAAGACTGCTTGTTGTACAGCACCAAACAAAGTTCTGGCCACACCAAAAACTGTCACACCTTGTGATAAATCAATACAGCATGTCTGTACACCTGTCTGTACATTGTATTGCCTGTAACAGATACAGTCATATTCCATATAGGGGTTTACATAGAACAGATATAATTACCTCCCTTGTGTGTGTTTAAATAAAATGGATAGACTTACCTCCCTTATAGGAGTTTAACTTTAAATGAAAACAGAAATAATTACCTCCCTTGTGAGTGTTTAAATGAAAACAGATACAATTATCTCCCTTGTGGAATTTAAATGAAAACATATAAAGTTACCTCCTTTGTGTGAGTTTACAGGAAAACAGATACAGTAATCTCCCATGTGGTATTTAAATGAAATCCCATAAAGTTATGTCCCTTGTGGGGGTTTGGAAAACATTACATGTACAAAGTAAGATGCATGTATTCCTGTCGACAAGTTAATAGAATGTACTTTTTTTTATAAATATACCTGATACAGTGTTTATAAACTAGTCCAATAGTGTTGTCATGACAACACATCCCAATCAAGTCATCTTCACTGAAATCTTCAAGTTGCACTTCTTTCGCTTTTGTATCTGTACCTTAAAGGAAATTGAAACTGGAAGATTTGGTGACTTAAATTAAAAATTTATGATTTTAGTTAAACTCAGCAGCAATAATTCCTGAAAAGAATAAGCCTACAGAGTGTGTGTATATGTATTCTAGGCTTAATAAGCTTCCATCCGCCCTTTCAGGCCCTAAGAGTTTGGACCCCAAGTCTACAGAGCTTTGCCCACAGCATATATGTAGGTGGGGGATTGCACATATTTTATTGTATACACATATTTTATTGTATAAAACAGTAAAAGACCATTTAATTTATTATAATATTATAGTGTTTCTTTTACGCACCAAATGTGGGGTTTATTAATGAGGACGTCTGATTGGTACGTTTACATCATTTCCTTTGTTATTTATCAACTGATGAAGCTTATTAAAGCAAAACATGTTTTGATAAATTGTGTTAGTTTTTGACCTATTTATCCTATAAAATAAACAATGACATATACACCAATACAAAACAAAAGGCAGGTTATCTCAGTTAACATAAAACCTGTGTTTAAATTGTAATAAAGTAAAGATTCATATAACAAAATGAATTAATTTATAGTCATTACCTAAAGATAGTATCACAGAACGCATTTTTCCAGAACTGAACAACATATGAAGGGTCTGCGTTTGAGGTATGTATAAGGTTTTCTTAATAGACAAGCTCTTCATCTATGGAGGAAAAGAAATAATATATGTACAACTTAAGGTGACAACGGAGTCAATTATCACTGAAAATACCTAAAATGAGATTTTTTGCTAAGTAGATTTGTCAACCTTTTCTGAACACATTTGTGATTTAATTTTGGAAGCAGTTAGTCCAAAAAATGTGTTTTTAAACGTTTTAAAACGGAACCTATACTATTTGTACTCTGCTATTCGCGTATCCTGTCGATTATCGATAACGCTCCGCCCCCTGTTGAGGCATCAATGAGGGAAATCGGTAGTTCCATATATCCGTGAATTACAGGTCCATATTGGTCCATACTTCTCGTAATACATGTATCGTACAACTAACGTACATCTTTTATGAATATCTCAACATTTAGCCTTTTTTATAAATTAAGAAATTGTCGGCCAATGTACGTAACATAATGTATGAAACATAAATAATTAAGCATAGCGGCAAATCGCACGACCACGGGGTTGATTAAAAATGTAGTGCTAAAATATCCATAATGTGTGAAAATAATTTGTCTGTCCCGTTAATCTGATAGATATTACGTTGAGTTGATAGACTTTTGTACGGATTCAAGGGCTTACTTTACATTCAACCTCGTTTTCTAACAATGTCAAGTAAAACTAGAAATGTGTCCATAGGACACGGATGCCCCCACACGCCACTGTTCTGTCAATCTTATGACTCTAGGTCAAATATTTTTTAGACTACATGTGCCACAAGTTGAAAACTAAAAATCAACAAAGTGCCATAATTCTGTAAAATTTGGTCGCAGCAAAAATTCCTTCCTTTACTACCATCTACACATTAAGGTTGTTCATCCCTAGAAGTTTAAGCAAAATCTGCCATCCGGTTTAAGAGGAGTTGCGTTCACAAAATTTCTTTATGGTATATAGTGAAAAAATTAACAAAGGGCCATAATTCTCTTAAATTTGATGTCAGCAAAAATACCTTCCTTTACTACAATCTACACAATAAGGTTGTTCTTCCTTGTAAGTTTAAGCAAAATCTGCCATCCGGTTTAAGAGGAGTTGCGTTCACAAAATTTCTTTATGGTATATAGTGAAAAAATTAACAAAGGGCCATAATTCTCTTAAATTTGATCGCAGCAAAAATTCCTTCCTTTACTGCCATCTACACATTAAGGTTGTTCTTCCCTGTAAGTTTAAGCAAAATCTGCCATCCGGTTTAAGAGGAGTTGCGTTCACAAAATTTCTTTATAGTATATAGTGAAAAAATCAACAAAGGGCCATAATTCTGTTAAATTTGGTCGCAGCGAAAATTCCTTCCTTTACTACCATCTACACATTAAGGTTGTTCATCCCTGTAAGTTTAAGCAAAATCTGCCATCCGGTTTAAGAGGAGTTGCGTTCACAAAATTTCTTTATAATATATAGTGAAAAAATCAACAAAGGGCCATAATTCTGTTAAATTTGGTCGCAGCGAAAATTCCTTCCTTTACTACCATCTACACATTAAGGTTGTTCATCCCTGTAAGTTTAAGCAAAATCTGCCATCCGGTTTAAGAGGAGTTGCGTTCACAAGATTTCGGGACGTACGGACAGACGTACGGACGGACGGACGGACAAGTGCAACGCTATATGCTCCCACTTTGTGGGGGCATAACAACAACAAAAACAGACAACATTTTTATATGTGAACGCCTATGTGACTTGTGGAAAGGTGTCCCTGACAAATTTCTAAACCATTTTAGATTGTCTAAGGATGATTATTTCTCTATAAATATAAAAAAAGATATTAAAATATATTCTCAGTGAAAATAAATTGTTCGCCAGTAAATCGGACACAGTACTAATAAATCTGGGACAAAGTATGAAATTTATTGTCTATCCCGGTAGAAACTGGATCTCTATGCCGTGCATAGATGATATTCATAATAGGAGTCAAGAAGGCCAGATCATAATGATCTAGTAATACCTTTTATTTCTATTAAAATATGTGAAGCATTATCAATTTGGGGGAAAAAATATATAATATCCCGTGCTTATTTGTACATCTACCATGGACTTTAAAAGACTGTCAGAAGCTTAGTTTTTTGTTATTTTATTTTATATTTTAACGGAATTTCATACACGAATACACAGGCAGAGTGATACTGGTATAATACAATAATAATGCTAATGATAATAATAATAAACTTCAAAAAGGAAACAATTAAATACCCCGCTAGCGGTGCGCAAATGCGTTCCATTTCCCCCCACTGAGTGCCTCAAATTTTACCGATAGTCACGTGACATGTGAGACAGATACCAGACGATCAGTAAATCACGTTAAGAATTGAAGAAATTTCAGCTATAAACTGATATTAATCAGCAGCTTTTTAATTGGTCAGATGTCACTGGGTCATAAAATGTTGTTAGAGTATGTTACCGCAACTTGTGACCCTCTCTGGTGCGATATTTGTGTATTATGCAATTATTTAGCGTGAAACGTAGGGGTCCGAGAGAGAACAGCCGATTTATGACACTTCGTTTGATGCGGGTCGGACTAACTTTGAATCGGCATAACTTTTTTAATAATCAAGCAATTAACATGCGGTTTAAAGCACATGAAAGGAAATTCATTTACGGAGGGAACCGTGTCAGGGATTTTTGTTTGCTCAATAGGCGACTTAATTATCTTTAATTACGTAATATGTATGGTGAAAAAAGTCGCATAAAATGTTTGACGTTACGTAATATTTTTTTGAGAAAAGATAGAAAAAATTTGAGACACGGTTCCCTAGATAATATAAGTATGGTTATTGTCAAAAAGTTTGATGACAAAAAATTAAAAAATGACTTTGATATGACGATTTAAAATTTTAGGATTTTTATTCAAAATCAATCATTTACAAAGGCATTTTTTTCAAATATGTTATTTTTTATGATGATCAACGACATTTAATGTACAAAGATTAAATAAATAACAATTATTACTAAAATAACTTTGTTTAAATGACATTTATGTGAGTACCACGGAAAGTGTCTGTTGTCACCTTAAGATAAAGAAATAATACAAATAAAACCACTTTAATTTATATCTTATGTAGATAAAAATGTGAACAAAAGAGCTTTGCTGAAACAAAACGAATCGGAAAAAAATGAGATTCCCAGGGGTTGTGTAACTTATAAAGTAAATATATCTCAGAGAGCAGCTCTCATATTGGTCAATATCAAATATGAACAGAAATACCAACCAATCAAATGCTCTGTTCCTGACATTTAAGGCTTAGCTCTTCTTACCTTCTTGACAAAAAAAGAAGAGTTCAATAGTAAGTATTAAAAGTAATCAAAACTTAAAAACAATTGCTTTTTACCCATACTCACTTTATTTAAATGCTGTAAACTTTTCATGACTATTTTACTGAACTGCACTGGAGTGTGAACATTCACATCTCTCACATTTATCCAGTCTTGTTCCACTAAAATATCCACCTGACCTGTTGTTGTAGACACCTTAACAACAAACAATGATTGTGTTGCACTGTTTCCATAAAATTAAAAAAAGTAAAAACAAGTTAAAACTAGACAGTTGTTGTCTTATATAATTAAACCAAACAGACCAAACTCATGTATCAAAAATATTTTGTCCCAAGAGAAAGTAGTCATTTGAAAATAAATAATACAACACTAAGTAGGGAAAAATATTATTAAAGTAAACAAAAAAATATCTTTTCTTTCAAAGTTTCAAGACAATTTTCAAGTCATATGACAAGTTTAATTACTTAAAGGCGGAGAAGCTGCCCACCTTAGTGTTATTGTAGGTGAAACACACATCTGAATAGAATAACTGGCATTGAGATACCTATGAACATTTACACTTTAAAATAATTCAGTATATAAATAATGTTACATATCTTTAATCCACAAACACTCAATCTGATATTGGAGACCTCAAGAATTTTTTGGGCATATAATATGTTCTCTGTATGCAGTAGATACGTCTAAGAATGCAGCATCTGACATGGAAGACCTCAAGAGTTAGAAAAGACAACTAACTGCATGTGTCAAGTCATGTGATAAGTTGTCATGTTTATTCACTTATTAACTTACTCAGACTCGGACACAAAGACAGCACCATGCTCTGCAGGGTATACTGTACACTTCATGCAGCCCTTGATGATGGGAGAAGCCGGTCCGAGCTTCATTATTTCTGACTTTACTTCTGGGTCACCTACAAAGAAAAACAAATTTCACCATCATGCTTTTCACCATCAAAGATAAAATAGCACTTAAAGATTCTTTCTTTATATTTATAAAGATAATAAATTTAATATATCTTGAAGGTTCCACACAACACATCTGTTATGCAATTGATTTACCCTTTTGAGCACTTCAACCAATAAATGGTATCCCTTTTAGTAAATACTATTGCTTTCTTATTTTCAGAATCTTGTTATCAGAGTCTTCTTAAATTAACATTGTATTTGAAGATGGTTTTAATTTCAAAGCATGACACATCTTTTGTACAGATTCATCAGAGTTAAGGTAAAAAAATAAAGAACAAATTAGGTTGGTACATCATATTGTAAAGACCCATACAGATCTGAGAACCTGCATGTATGTTTCCTATGTGTATAAAAGAAGTTTTTTTGTCTGGAAATTTGTCATTTTGTAACATGGAATAAACAAAGGCTGTTAAACAGAGTATTCTACTCTTCTGAAAAATAAGAGCATTATGCAGCTATTATCTAAATTAACAAAAAGGATATTATTTATTGAAAATCCATACTAGAGTTGTGATTCTTGGTAACCGATATACAATTATGGCACTGCAGAAATTACTTAAGTCTGAATAATTCATACTTTTATCACAAACGTGGTAGGATTCAGTAAATATACATTTATGTTTTTTTTTGTTTTTTTTTGTGTTTTTTGGGGGTTATCTATGTTATGGTCTCAAAACATGTGTGAAGTTTCAACTTAATAACCAGAGTGATTTTAGAGATAAAAATATTATGAAAAACCTTATCATTTCACAAAGTTGTAAATACTACAACAAAATCCATATACACCTTGAATGATGAATGAGGTATAAAGGTGCAAACAAAACTCTAACCAAGTATTACCTCAAAGCTAGGTGGGTATGATAGCCAAAATATTCCTTGAGCTGTTGGTGATTTTCTTTCAGTAAAAAAATGTGACCAGAAAATTTTCTAAACATACAAATTAACAAGTTTTAAATTACCTTCAATAATCACTCTTTTGTAAATAGAGTATGTTATTTTTCCATCAATTTCAGATTCTTGCCTCTGACACCAATACAAGGCATTCTGGGATACATTGTAGCAGACGTCAACTACAGTTGCTAGGTTACCTTGACACAACCGATGTGTAGTTTGCTGTTTCCATACAAGATCTGCTTTATAATTCCAAAACTGTGTCACACCATTTTGGAAAATCTATTGAATGAAAATATAATTTTGAAAGATATACCTCAACCTATTCAGGGCTTTCATTTTTCTGAGGCAACAGAGGTGCTAAATAAAACAATGGATTTGTCAAGAATCTAGGGGAATATTTTAATCTACAGGCCGGTTTTAACAGCATTTGAACCAATGATTTGGATCTTCAATCTGTTAATAAGGATTAACTTGTGTATTACAGCCTACCTTTGTGCAATAACCATTAAAAAAAGGAGATGATTAAAGAACAGGTCTATTAATTGTATTCTTTTTAATGACATAACTTAAATAAGTATGCTTTAAACAATAAAATGTTTACTTACTATAATAGCTGTCTGTGGTGACTTTAATAAAACTTGTTGAATTGGGCATTCATCAGAAATATCTAAACATCCTGAAAACTCTGAATCCTGTAAAAGATAAAAAAAAAAACACATCAACACATAATGTCAAAGATCCATATCACTATGGTACATGCACATATTGAAATTACAATGATTTGGATACAAAATTTATTGTAAAAAACAAAATACTAAATAAAGAAAAATGCCAAAAAAAAAACAACAACCCAAAAACGCACAAGTACATTGTATTTTTATGCAATTTTTTAATACTAAATCAGTAAGAAATTATTAAAACCTTGTTACCATGCACCAGAAAAGAATATCATGCGTATACCTGAATATTCTCCACTGTTTTGCAGTCAAATGTGTAGAGTTGCTTGCCTTCATGTAATGTAACAAACAAATGTGCAGCACTCAACCATACTGCATGAATTTCACCACATGTTCCAAATTCAAATATTTCTTTGAAGAGCTGAAAAAAATGTAACAAGCTACTGAACCTGAAGATCTTTTTCCTATGTAGATGAAAATTTCTAAACATAATCAATTTGATTAAACCTTAGTTCAATCAACAATGTCACCAGAAAGCCCTAGCGACTGTAATTTCTCCAATCCAATGCAAACAATCATTGGTTCTAAGCTTCATTTACCTTTACTGTTGCCTTCTAAGTTCTTCTACTTAGGATTGAAGCCAAAATGGCTTATGAGCTCCTCCTTAACTGAATCTTTTAAAATTGAATAATAATACACTTAGTAAATGTCACTTATATCAAACTTTCTACACTTCAAGTTGAGTTTTGAATGACAAAATGCTTTCACTGAGGACAATTTTTCATCCATATTTTTTCATTGATCAATGCATATTATAGAAAAATACGGTGTCCTACATGTAGTTTGTCTACAAAATTTCGCTAGTAAATACGCTATAATAATCGCCTCTTAAGGGCGAAATTAAGTACTAAATTTCCCATGTCTTAAATATCCCTGGTCTCTCAAGCCATAATTATCACCTTTTCTATAGACAAAGGACACTTATACTAGCGAAATTAAATTTCACCTCGATAATTATTGTCATCATTTTCGTATGTTGCGTGTTCCTCACAGGATAATTATGGCGCTGAAGGGCGCTAATTATCACATGGAAACTAGCGACAGACAGACAGACAGATAACTTTATTTCACTCAGGTATATCAAAGTATACAACATGAGGTTTAACAATATTTTGTAGCAATAATAGTGTCCGGTATAAAAAGCAGATCTATAACATGAATGATACAATAATTTTACAATAGGTATACAGTGATTAATCTAGAAATTCTTTACAATGCGTCGGATGACGCACATGTTTGAAAACAATGAGTCCTTTAGAAAAATTAATGAGTCATGTAGCAAAATAAATGCGACTAAGCAGAAATTTTTTTTTAACAGCAGATCCTTGACAATTGATTTGCATGTTTTTATAACAAACGATTAAATAATTAAAGTGTATAAAAAAGTTTTTTTTGGTACTAATATTAATTGCAGGCAAAACAATTTTTATTGGCTGCTCAAAAATCTAATTTGCATAATTAATATTTTCTTACTACTTATGTCTAATATTGTGCATTATCCATTTTAATTGTTCGTAATTTGCACAAAATGTCCCTATCACACTGTATACATACTGACGACTTTTATTGTTCCTTGTATGCCTCTGTGTAGAAAGCATACACAGACAGACCTTTTGATCATGAAAAAAAGTCATGCACAATGTTTCCCTGATTGGCTAATCACCCTGTCAAATATTCTGATGACGTAATAGACACCTTTTTTTTTCACACTCCGCGTGAACTTGAGTGACCTTAGGGGAATTCAATTTACACACCTGTCAGATTATACTTTAACTTACAGCATTTCTTAAAATAGAAACACTTTTTTTTCAGTTACCGATATTTATTTAAAATATTAAGTAGATTAATGATTTTTTGTTTGCTTTATTGGATTAAATTTACGGTAGTAGAAATGCTTATCTGTGTGGGAAAGGGATAAGGTAAGTAGATAACTTGGAAAAATGCTATAGGGAAATGGATAAACTCAAGAATATGCGTAATTACAGGGGAATGGGTAACCTGTTGCTGTTGGTACCAGTTTTGTCTGGATGACTAAATAACATACAATATAAGTCTGGCACAGATTTTAGATGCACCCTTGGCCCTTTGCTGACTATTTTCCTATGCCATTCTCATTTTTTAGCGCCAATGGCGCAGGCAGATCTCTGCATATTTCACCATTGTAGGCGATTCGCTCTCATGCAAAATGGACGCTCTGATTGGCTAATGCCGATAATGGGCGGTTACCGATCACAGGGATTTAACGTTTCAAGCAAATGGGGGATAAGTCTTGCACAAGTAATCATCGGAAATTAAATTATTCAACTGAAGAAATTGAAAAATTATTCAACTGATGAAATTAAAGTAATCAAACAGTACATAGAAATCACTAATCGTGATATTTTGGATTATAAACCACCTGATTTGCATGCGTCAAATTGAACGCACATATTTTGAAACTGTGCGTCTTTTTCGATTTTTATGCGTATTTTACGCAAGACGCACATCTAGATTAATCACTGGGTATATATAAGTAGCGAAATTTAAATACAGTCAACATGCGAAATTAAGTTTAAATTTCGCCCATAACAGGCGATATTCATTGCCTGTATACATTTCACTAGTCTCATGCAATAATAATAAGCGCCCTTCAACACGATATTTATCGTGTGAAGAAACACAACATATGAAAATTAAGACGATAATTATGGAGGCGAACTGTTCCAATTTCGCTAGTGAATGTTTCTCTGTTCTCAAGAAAAGGCGATGATTATGGCTCATGAAACTAGCGAAATTTAAGAAACACAAAATTAATTACTAAATTTTGGCATTAAGATAAAAATAGGACACCGTAATAGAAGAGATTTTCTAAAGTGTCTCCTATACACTAGGTTTTAAGTGCAAATTGTAAAAAATTATTTATCATACTTGCTATGTTTTTAAATTTTGAAACAACTCTTTTAGTTTTTATCAGTGTTTATTTCACCCAGATCATACTCATGTGCAAAAATTAGGACACTGATGCCAATGTTTAAAAAGAAATATTGAAAAATTTAAATATTCTATATTCTACTTATATTGTTTATAATTGATAAAATTTCAAACACATGATCACTGCTGATGACAGTACAGTATCTGGAAATTATTTCCGGGGTGATAATTATTGGGTACGAATGATGGAATAGTAAAAAAAAAAATGGGTTCAATTGGAATCGCCTACCTTTGTTCGGCTATATGGTTTACAGTAGCCACCAGGTTCTATTGAGTATTTCAGGGTCATTTTGTCTGTTTAAAGTGACATTTAAGTCAGAACAATAGACGAACTCTATAAAGTGAAAGTAGAATGGCCAGAAGTAATCTTCAAAATGAAAAGTAGTAAAAGCGTTTAGTCTACTTCCGGTTAAAGTCAAAGTAAGTTGATTAAGGAAAAAAATCATATTTTTATTAAATGTATCGTATGACATTTAATATGACAGTAATAAATATTTGAAATATAGAAATATAATCGCCGATTTGAAGATATAATCCAATAATGATGAGTAAAAAAGCTATAAAAAATGAATTGCAATAGGTTTTCGTGATACTAAAATTATCACTAAAGACACTATTATTTTGATGACTGTGCTCACAAGTAATTCATGGTTATGAGACAATAGGCAACTGTGTCAAATAATTGATGAATGTGTATAAGTTAGTTGTCAGTTTTCTGATACTTTTAATTGACAATGACCAGATGAACATATAAGGCTTTTTTAATTTATCTTACCTGATTATCATCATGTCTATCACTAGTCAAAATATTTTGTCGTGCCAAAGCTAGATTCTGAGAGATGAAAATACAGCTATATACTGCTGAACATTGTCGTCAGCGCCTGCTTAGTGTAATCGATAACGATTTTGAAGCAGTAAAATGTAGATGTAGATCAGCCGAGTACCCATCTGTCATTGGTCTTTATGCCCCGTATCTCGGAACATCCTCTAGATGGTTGGGCAGGTACATGTAGTGTTGATTAGTGATGTTCCGGTTGTCGTTAGTCGGTGATAATCAGTTACTTTTTTGTGATTTGGGACAATTATCGATTAACGTGAATCTGTTCCGCAATGTTGACGAAAAATTTTTAACCACACCATAGGGAGTAGGGATTAAACGATGATCGAGTATAACCGAAAATTGATTGTTTTTAGGACGATAGTTCTACCATTACCACCAACTTCTGAGACCTTGACCACATCCGGAGGGATGTGTGTGTCACTTCATCTGGGAACTTTAGCTTCTTACCAAGGTCTACCAACATTTCCCAGTTCTTAGAATTATGTCAAATGCCAGTTCTTGTTGATTTTGCAGACATCTTCTCCCTTTCTTTAACAAAGTTGATAAAATATGGTTTTTGTTCTGGGCCAGAATCTCACGTTTAATTAAAATATGAATTCTAATAAAGGGAAGTCAAAGGTCAGGACCTGTGAAGTGTTCTTTTTTGTGTGAGTTAAATGTGAATGTTTATACATGTACATACATTTACAAAATAAATTCCATACAAAGTTTAGGTTAACAAAATTGTTGCCAAATTAAGATTTGTTTCTTATGTATACATGTACATACCACATACTGTAACATTCACTGCATTTTCCATTTTTATATACATGTATGAAATATATTACAACAAATATTTTTCTTTTCCCTTTCTGTATGAATAAGTAAATATTTGAATGAATACATGCATATTGTTATAATATCTTTCAAAATAATACTTATTTCTAGAATAAGTGTTATGCAAATTTATGTTCTGTTAAACAGTACATATTTATCAAGTATAAATAATTTTATAAGTTTTTTGCTGGTGACAAATGTAAATATTTGCTTCATCTGTGTGCATATTTCAGAAAAATATTGAAAAATGTCATCATCAGATGAAGAAGAAATACCAGATCTTGTTCCTGCTGGTGTCAAAGTTCCAATTACTATAATCACAGGATTTCTAGGTTTGTGACCTTCTGCCCTGGTAGTAAATTAAATTACAGTTTATGGTTTCTAATTTTACGTAAGAATGCACATCACTCATGTGCAGTAAAATATAAAATTTTAGCAATAGTTTGTGACTAGGTTGAGGTTTTAAGGTCCAGTGGTCAACAACAATATTTGTATACTTGAGTTTGTGCATTAATTTCCCACAGACTGGATTTTGAAATATTTCAGACCATGTATTACTATCTTTCTGTTAGGCATTATTAATAAGAAAATAAGAATCGTAGGACGATAAACTTTACTTGATACCAAAATACAGTTAACTAAGTTATTGTTTGTTCATGTCACGATTCAGAACTGTTTACTAATTAGGGAAGATAGTGTGTAAATGACCGGATAACTCAGTCGATAGAGAGGCAGTGCAGTATTTCGAGAGTCTCTGGTTTGAGTCTGTCAGTCTGCAAATTTTTGAGAAAAAAATCCAATCCTTTATAAATAAGTTTTTTAGTCAAATAGAAATTATTTAATATCCATCCTTTAGGTGCTGGGAAAACAACTTTATTAAATTATGTGCTATCAGAGCAACATGGGAAGAGAATTGCTGTCATCATGAACGAGTTTGGGGATGGTAAGTTTATGAGGAATTTTAGCTTTTTATAAAAGTCAGAAACCATAGTTCTTTTCTTACAAAAAAGATAAAACATAATTGAAAAAATCTGGTTTAAGTAATCAATGTGTTATACAGCAGTTGCCTTATTCCAGGCCAGTGTTCTCTAAGAACAGATCAGGATAATGATCCTGATTTTGTATTCATTGTTTTATATATTTGGATCAACTGTATAATGCCCATTTGTTATAAAATTGTAATAAATTTATTCTTAAATTTCATAACCATGCTTTTTCAAGTTCAATTTTATCAAGTTAATATTAAATATTTAATCTATGAGGATAAACAATGAAGTATATTTCAGGTTTTTTTTTAAATTTGATCCTATCCTGATCATTAAATCTTAATAGTGAACCGATGCATCCCTGGTTATTTTACATGCTTGGTGTAAAGCACCATTATAATGGTCCTCAGTTTTAAAGGGTTCATCCACAAGACCATTAGTATTCGTAGTTGTATAGCAGGGATCGAACCTGTGAGACCTAGATAACTAGTCCAGGTTGTTACCACTGAACTGAAATTTCTCTCTGATTGGCTATTACCATCAGCATTATTTCATATCTAGTCCATCAGATAAATTTTGTCATTATATCTGAAAATTGTGTCTATTACGGTGTAATTTAATGCTGTTAATTTCATGAATTTAAAAGTATTTGAAGTGGTTTTTTTCACTTACAGGTGATTCTATAGAGAAGTCAATGTCTGTAGGAACAGATGGGGAGAGATATGAAGAATGGCTAGAACTCAGGAATGGTTGTCTTTGTTGCTCTGTTAAGTAAGTGACTAGACGTTACATCTCAAATTATTGCAGGGGAAAAAAGCATAAAGAACATCTCAAATTAGTACAGGAAAGAGAAGCATAAAGAACATCTCAAATTATTTGCAGCGAAAAAAAGCATAAAGATTGAAGTGATGGCATGGGCGAGTGGTTAACATGTCAGACTAGTAATGTACGGATTGCTGACTGCATGGGTTCAAACCCTTGCAATCTGTTGTTTCCTTGAGCAAGAATCTTCACATTCAATGTTGACAACTGGTTGGTTCCAGGAACATATTCAAGAGTGTTTCAATAAGCTTATACATTGTAGCTTCCAACACAATTTAACTAAGATAGAGTATAAACTAAACTAAGCATAAAGATAAAGCCTATTAGATTTGGAAAGGCTGACTATATAATTCAGTTTTGGTCTGAATAGATACATACAAAAATGGACTAAATATTAGGTGTTTTATTAGGACAGATTAAAATGATCCATTAACAATGAGAAGTTAAGTAATGGAATCTTGATGGCATGCAAAAGTTGTTCCATTTTGGTTTGTCTACCAACCTTTTTTGAGCTGCAGACCCTAAACTTTTTATGGCTTTCTGATTTTTTCAGTACCATTTCTTTACAATATCTATGTGTATATTAAAAAAGACATTATCATATAAAAGTATATAATAAAACAGACATAACTTCCAGCCTATCCAATTTTTTATGACAGTTGACCAGTAAAAAATCTCTTTTTTTGTCAGACATGAAGACTTTCAAATACAAAAACTCATATTGTATTTCAGGGATAATGGGGTGAAGGCCATTGAGAATCTGATGACAAAGAAAGGAAAGTTTGATTATATTCTGTTAGAAACAACTGGCCTGGCAGATCCTGGTTAGTAATTTATTTACATTTGTCTTTACCCATTAATACCATTCTTGTGTAAGGAAAGTTAAATCTGTGTCAGTTTGTAACTTTGTTATAAATAACAAAATGAACAAACTAAAATTATGACATCTTATGATCTATGAAATAGTTATTTTGGTCCATATGAATTTGTTTTAATGATTTCTTAATTTGAAATTGCAGTTTTGCTACAAATTGGCTTTATGGAAGATAACTCTTGATAATTTTTATAACAGATGCATGGCGGTATTATCTCCCTTACACTTTTATTTACCAGGTCCAATAGCTTCTATATTCTGGCTAGATGAGGAGTTATGCAGTGATATATTCCTAGATGGTGTGTATAAAATTATCCTTACAAATTTGCCATATGTCTTAGTTTATGCACGAAATTCACAGAACATATTATTATTATTATATAAAAGAAATTGCACATGAAACATATAATAGTTGAAAAAGATTTTGTCCAATAGCTAAGCTTAAAGAGGCCTTTTACTCTCCTTGAATGATGTTATAAAAGTTATAATAATACTAAAATAAAAAAATAATAATAATAAAGATTTATTCTTTACATATAAATATTTATAATAAATAAAATGATTTGATATATTTTTTTTTTCAGGTATTATAACTATGATTGATGCTAAATATGCACCAAAGGTAATTTATTTATTACATTTCATGTATATACAATTTATTTTTTTCCAAAAGAAATGCCTGGCCTGGTGTGAAATAACCTTATTTAATATTGATAACTGTTAAAATTGTGGTGTTGTTTTCAAAGAATTTAATTTATAAAATTTTACTAAGCTTTATGTTAATTTCCTTCGGACCTTAGATTTTGTTCCTTAAATTCTATGAAAAAATTAATAATGGTTAAATTGCCATATACATGTATATTTTTTTATTATAATTTAGTACCTGGCAGAGAAGAAAGAGGATGGTTCGGTCAATGAATTTACAAGGTATTTTTAGACCAGTACATAATTTACCGTGTTTCCTTGAAGTCTTTACAATTAGAACATCTTCATTTGAAATTTGAATAAATAAACAATACACTATCTAAAATGTCAGACTTGGTTAAATTTGGTACAAATTCATTAGTGGAGCACATTGTCCTACTGACAGCTCTTTTTGTGTAGAGGTCATTTTGAATTCTTTATTTAGGTTTTAAGATATACATTTTAGGGTGTTTGGTTGTTCTGCCAAATTAGACTTTTGGACAGTTTCTTCTGGTACTTCCCTTTGTTGAAAAAAGGACCACAGCCTTTCGAAATGAAGTCTATTGTTTTCTTTTTTTTCTGTTACCATAGCTATTATATGGCCCCTGAACGTAATTTGTTGCTCCTACAAGTGAACTGTTCACAGTCAGATATTAGTGCTAAAGCCTGCACAGAATGTGAATGTTCTGATTGTTTTGTGTTTTACAGACAGGTGGCGCTAGCTGATGTGCTCATAGTAAATAAAACTGATCTCATCACAGCTGAAGAACTAGTCAATCTAAAAGACAGAATTAGGTAACATATTTTCAATTGATATTGTCACAGTTATGTGTTGAAATATTGTTCTTAATTAATATTGTTTAAACCATAAGATTAAACCATAACAGCAAACAAATGTGGTAGAGTTTGAAGTTGAGAATGGTCAAGCTAAAAGAGGTTTTGCGACTCCATAAAAATGGTATTGCAAGGCCGTGCATATATTTTCAAGTGACGTCATTTGCGTTACATAAACATAGCGTTAAGATGCGTTAAATGTAAGCGTTAAAGTACAGGCCTGTCAATGAAAAATGGTTCTTTTTACACGTCAAACGGTCATTATTTTTAGTTCATTATAGTTCATTACTGAATTTATTGAACTTGTTGAATAATTATGCTTGCCAATGGCTTGCATAATTTAGTTTTATTCAACTTGTGCAATAAATTAAACCTACACTCATTCAATATCCTCTTATTCCTCTACATTTGCCTATAGTTTGGCAATATTTTTGAATGTTGAAAAATAGTGTTAAGGAGCATCAGTCAATGTTATTGATGGTTTTGTTTGATATTTCAGATCTATTAACAAATTTGCAAGGTTTTTGGAAACTTCACATGCAAAGTAAGTTAAATAATTATCAGCATAAACAATTCCTTATATATGTTTATATGAATGAAGCTTAACAAGATTTTCAGCAATTTGATAATTTTTAGCTCCACTTTCCAAAGAAAAAAAAAGAGGAGCTATTGTCATGATTCTCACACCGACATCTGTGCTGGCATTTATTGATCTTTTCATTAAGGTCCATTTTCTTAGAAACTAATTTACTATTAAAGCTTTTCACTGCAAACTTTTTAGAAATGCTTATCTTTATAATAGGACCCCATTTCAAAAGGGCAAAAAAATCATAAATTCTTGTTGTCCTTATTTATCTCCAAATTTGATTAGAAACTTGGATCTAAATTATCATTCTTGACCGAGGTGATGTATTTAAATTATTTTCAGTACATAATTTTGACATGAAATACTTGTTCTGCTGTATTATCTTGCATGGGTACAAGTTGTTAGGCATGCCAGAAATTCAGGCTTTTTATACTCCTGTTATACACTCTTTTGCTTTATAAAACCAATAAAAAATAATGCTAAATTCAGGGTTTTCCGGTTTTCTGATATTTTTAACTTACACCCATGATCTTCTGTTTTACAATATATAGAGTAGGCTGTACTCAGAAAAGATACCATAACAGCTTGATCCAATAACATTGCATGTAGGAAACAGATATAGTTAAAGAATGTATTATTTTATGAATGATTTTTTTTTTTCAAAATCTAAATGCAAAAACTAAAAAGGAGTGTGAAAATGTGATGGATCTATGTCCTATCAAAACCTTAAAAATGAGACAGTGTCTGCCATTTCTAAACAGCCGTCTGCTGAGACTATTTTGCAAAACATTTCATAAACTTAAAACATTTTGTTACTATGGTTTCTCCCTTAAGATGTTATTTGCTTTCAGTGTCCATCTGTGTTTATGGATGTATCCTTTCCTTTATACTTTTAAAACATTATTTGCAGCCGTAGAAAAACTTCTTCCTTTTCAATATTAATCAAACATTTGACTCGTTAAGTGTTATTCGTGTCAATTCCAATAAGCGATGACAATAAAATAAAATATTTTTGCCCAAAATAACCTTGACGAAGGCGTACAAATGTGTCTAGCTTTAATAGTGGCGGCTCTAAAAGAGAAACTTTGTTGAAGAAGAAAAATTGTGACGTTATTTTACGGAAGTCTTTTAATACCATTTTTTTTTATGTACGGTTTCACTAGACGTCGTCATAGCTTTGCTTTAACTAAATAGATAAAAGTTTCTTGATCGTAATTGAAGATGAAATTTAAGCAATCTGCCGTGTATTTACTGAATTCCCATAATGCTTTTGTTAGGTTATTTGATTTTTTAAACATCTGTTTAATGAAAGGAAAGAATTCACAGTTTACGAGTTTACAAGTTTTGCAGTTTGGCGAGAAGTAATCACGGGGTCTGTTGTCTACACTAGGTGTATTGTTAATTCTATTACTTTTTGTTAATTATTTCAAAACAATCCCAGTTTGTCTGAGTTTGAATGCACGTTGTTAAATATTAATTACATCATTCACTTTCATACATTTAGTTAAAAGCCTTTTTTTCCCCAAGAAAATATGTTTTTACTTCCTGTTTTTTTTTTTTGTTTTTTTTTCAAAATCTCTTTTTTTTATGAATTGTTTGATTCCATTAACACTTAAAAGTTTTTCTTTAAACAAATGAAAGGACATGTTCATTTAAGTGCTGTAGATTAATTGTCTTAGTTAATAAATTAAAAATAAAAAGTTTAATCTATTTGTTTTTCTAAAATCACCAGCTTGTACTAGTGATATTTGTATCCATTATTTTGGTATCAATTAAAATCCTGTTAAATAAATTGACTCCAATTTTTTTTTTTTTTTTTTTTTTTTTTTTTTTGACAAGAAGGGACTGGAAATATTTTTTCTCTCAATATTTGTGTACAATTTGGTGTGGGTATGGACCAAAAACTTTTGTGCAAAATTTTATATAAATCTTCCACTTAGGTTTTTCCAGAACAATATATTTTATTTACTTTTTATTTACTCAATTGAGGCTAAAAATTGTGAGAATAAAAATAATAAAAAAGTAGATATTCATTTAATAGTTTTGAAATATTTTTCTATCTTTTTTTTTAAAATATTTTCCATTCTAAGTGCACTAGTGGTTCTAGTGGTTCTATGTAAGACTAAGAGTTTCAAACTATATATTTATAGACCTTTGGACCTCAGTGGAGTACCTTTATACATATGTAAATGCAAAAGTCTAAAATAAATCAGGGCCAGTCCATTCCAAAAGTATAGCATGGTTAACAGTAAAATAAAGTACGAGAGTACAAATTCTGCAAAAGGGCTGAATGGTGATTGAGGCATCCTTAGAATTTAAATCAGAGGACCTTACAATGTTTTTCAAAGAAATATTTCTAGCTATTGCTTCAGTCAGATTGTTGTTCCCGTTCCCATCCAGAAACTTTAATTTTAATGTCAGTCATTATTTTTTATTTCTTAATGGATATACCATTGTCTTCATATTTGGACACAACAACTTTATGGGCAAGACCTTCAAATGTTTAAATTTTTCTTGATTTTTGCTATAATGGCTATAACTTTGTTATTTATAAATTGAGTATGATGCATACTTGCAGACAACAATTCTTTGGACAAGCCCTTCAGTAAGACCACATTGATTATGACCTTTACCTTGAAGGTCAGATTAATTAATTTTGAATGATTTTTGCTATAATTGGCTATTACAAAAGAACACATAAGACAGAACCAACACGTTAAATTATTCTGATATGATTTTGGCCTTAAATTGACCTTGACTGTCATGGTGAAATTTTTTAAATTTCCTTAAATTGTCTCAACATTGTTATTTATTTTTGGATTTGATTCATGCTTGAACAAAAGAACACATATAACAAAACACATGCCAAAGTCGACTAGTTGAATTATTTTGATATGACTTTGGCCTTGACCCTCCAGGTCAAATTAGTGAAATTTGATTAAATTGTTTTTTTATGGATTTGATTTATTCTTGGACGTAAGAGCACTTATGACAAAGCTGACCTTGACCTTTGAATTATCTTGACCATCAAGGTCAAATATGAAGTTAAAATTTTTTTTTGATGTTACAAAAAATATGTTTTGTACGAGTAGTCTTTACTGAAATATTCTTCCTCTAATGTGTTTGACTTTAGAAATAAGAAAAAGTCAGCCTTGGTCCCCAGTAAACTGTGGCTCTTGTTTAATGATTCCCTTGATTGCTAGAAGTTCAAAATTGACTGATTGAGGTGATTATATAAATATTAAAGGATAAGATTTGCAGGTTATGGAGAAAGTATCACACTTAATTAAAGCAGGATCTTATTGTCTTAGCATACTGGTATTGTAAAACAATAGAACATGCAAAAAGCGTTAGCAAAAAGATGCGGAAAGCTATCATAAGAGCTTAGACAACTGAAACACTTGAGAAATAGATCACATTAATGCTATTGTAAACATTTTCTTGGCCAAGCGATATATCATTGTTAGTTGTTTCTGTTGTAGCATAATGAATATCGCAGAAACAGCGTCATATCTTTGATGTTAATCTCTGGCAGCCATTTTTTTTCTACGATGCTAGGCGCTGCCAAGAATGTAATCTTTATTGTTTCATCTTAGCAAATAATTGTTTTAATTTTATGCTATTAACATTTTTTCTAAACATGCCTCGTGTATGATGACAGAAAAAAAGATTTGTAGTGAAATACTAGATTTTTGATAGTGAGAGATATTCAGTATCACTTACTGTAGTGAGAGATATTCTGTATATCTTACCGTAGGTCATGTGATTTGAAGTTTTTGCCAGCATAAATTTACTGAAAACTTTTTTGGTTATAATAAAAATGAAAATATACCTTACTCATATTGATCATTTCTTATTTTGTCAACATGCTACAAGCTACATGCACATGAATAAATAGTGAAATATTCTAGCTATGATGTATAATTTAAAATTACATGTGCTTACAGCTTTATATGAAAATGATGTCATATTAAAAAAATGTCAAAAGGTAGCATTCAAAATGCTATTTTTTTAATTTCTTCTACATTATAGTAACTAGAAGTTTTTGATATTATGTAATGCAGCAGTCGAAAGAAAGTTATTTATCTTAGCAAGGACCTTCCATTTTCAGCATTCAGTCATGCATATCTTAAAATGAAATATGATTGGCTGTCATAATTTTCTTTCAAATTTGAAATTGACCAATGGTAGATCTTGTTAATTTGAAATTGACCAATGGTAGATCTTGTTACTTTAACATATCATAGTACTCAATACATTTATAATCTAGACACCAAAGTGTGGTCTGAAGGATGTGTACCAGTCTGTTACCTATAAAGTACATGTTTTTTTGCATTATTGTGATTGTTTTCATGAAGTGCCGAGTTGCCCATTTCACTTATCATAACAAGGAATTCATGATTAAATGAGCCTGGAGATAGACAAAAATCACAACAATAGAGCATATCTTATTAGTTGTGGAATTCTGCATACAACTTGGTCATGTCAATCAGTGCCCCACATATCTTTTTACTGTCTTGAGGTAGGAATCCAAAATTGTTTGTCTTTCCTGCACTTCAGAAATTGTTGTTGTAGTTGCTTTACAGTAAATCATTGTGTCATATATAATTTTGTCAGGCGCTCATGTTATCCGGTATGTTTGACAACTGGTAAATCACAGTGAAAATTGGATAATCATTTGCATTTTTGTGAAGAATTTTACATTTGTATAGTCGTTCAAGCATGACGCTTCATTTATAAATGGAAGCAAAAGCTGCTGGAAAGCTGTCAGAATGATAGCTTACAGTTTGAATGACTTCATCACTTGCTGTTGTATAATGCTTCAGATGTTTTGTTTAGTTTAACCCTTAACCAGCTGAATTGTAAACTGGATTTGCCCTTAATTTTTTTTGTGGAACAGTCCATTCCAAGTTTTAGGGATTTCAGTATCAAGATTCAAATATTGGGCTGTCATCCGTGTAATCTGACTAGGGCAAGGGAAAATCACTTTTGGTTCCTGCAGGTTGTAGTTTATAAGCTTGATTGTGGACCAAGTTCTTAGCACTTACATTAGTCCCTTTCAAGTTTGTAATATGAATTGTACTAAACTATTGTCATAAGAGAAAACCAAAGCCAAGATCACTCAATTATAGGAGTAAACTGAACCCAAGGTCACACAATCATAGGAGAAAAACAGGTCACAGAATCAAAGGAGAAAACCAGACCCCAGATCACACAATCATAGGAGAAAACAAAATCCAGATCATGTAATCATAGGAGAACACCAGACCCAGATCACACAATCAAGGAAAACTGGACCCAAAGTGACACAATATTAGAAAAAAAACAGACCCAGACCACACAGTCATATAAGAAAACTGAACCCAAGGTGACACAGTCATAGGAAAAAACAGATCTCAGAATCAAAGGAGGAAACTAGACCCAGATCACACAATCATAGGAAAAAAACTAAATCCAGATCATGCAAACCTAGGAGAAAACCAGACCCCAGATCACACAATCAAGGGAGATAACCAAATCCAAATCACGCAATCATATGAGAAAACAAGACCCAGATCACACAATCGTAGGAGAAAATTAAATTTAAATCATGCAATAATAGGAGGAAACCAGACCTAGATCACATAATCATAGGAGAAAACCAAATCCAGATCACAAAATTGTAGAAGAAAACCAGACCCAGATCACACAACCGTAGGAGAAAACCAAATCCAGATCATGCAATCATATGAGAAAACCAGACCCAGATCACACAATAGTAGGAGAAAACCAAATCCAGATCACACAATCGTAGGAGAAAACCAGACCCCAGATCACACATTCATAGGAGAAAACCAGACCCAGATCACACAATCATAGGAGGAAACCAGACCCTGGATCACTCAATCATTGGAGAAAACTGGACCCCTGATCACACATTCATAGAAGAAAACTTGACCAAACCAAACACAATTACTTGATTGGTATGCAAACACTGTCATAGGAGAAAACGAGACCCCAAGGTCACGCAGTCATCCTCAGACGCAGTCATCCTCAGACACATTGCTACAGATTAACATTTTATGAATTAAAAGAAAAAAGATATTTACTTCTAGTAAAACTTCAAGAGATTGAAAATTGTATACATGTATTAAAATTATTTCTGTTAATGATGTCAATGTTATATTTAACTGTATAATATTGATAGTGTAAGTTACAATTTTTCATATTTTTGCATGCATATAAAATTTATTGAAATGACAAATTGTAATTATACATGTATAATAGTAAACTCATATACAATGTAATTATAATATTTTATATACATATGATGAAGAAATGTGATAAAGAATCTTTTGATGTTTAAGATAATGGTACTGTTTCTTTCATTTTAACAAATTAAAAGACAATAAGAGCACAAGTCCAGCACACCTTGTATGCATTTATAAATGCATTAGATTAGGTTTAAAAATCAAAGAAAAATTCAGACATACATAAATAATTACAGTCCATAATCTCAGCATCTAAATCATTGTTAAATGGAAAACAAATCAAAATTTTGCTATTATTTGAGTAATTGCCTGCAAATTGCTTGTGCAAAGACCTATGTGCAAGCAACCCTGTTTAAATACTTTCCCAACGTGCCTGGCAATTCACTTACAGAAACAATTAAGATATTCTTACTAGTTGAAACATGGGGCAAACGGCAAACATCATCCTGTCAGAAGTCCCGAGCATTTTGGAAACATACAAAAACTATTGATTCTAACAGAGAAAATGTTTTCAAGAGTTTTGACCCGCGTAAAAACACGATGGGTCTTTGATGAAAGGTAATGATCTAGAAAATTGCCTGCTTCGTGTACCAACATAGATAATGTACTTGTAAATGTTTTTTCTCCGTTTTTTTTACGGTTTTTGCGTATTTTACGGAGAAATTCATTGAAGTTACAAAGCTAGTGATGATAGTTGAATGCTGTTGGTAATTTTTCTTTTTAAATGACTTTTTAAGAAAAATTTTAAGGGTTTGTGGTAAAATCAACAAAATGCAGTGTTTTCTCTATCTTTCTTATTAATTTTTTATACATTTTCCAACATATTTTTCTGTATTTTTTTTTTTTTTAATGAAGGAGTATTTGAACTTCCAACGTTTGTTGAAATACATTCGAGGAATGTTACTTTCAGTAAAATCTTCATTTCATGGATGATTTCATTTCCAAAAATTTTTTTTTTTCATTTTCATAGATTTTTACATTTAAAGAATTCAGATTTTCTCAATTTATCTTTTAGTATTTAAGTAATAAAATCAGATTTTGTAGAACAAAGAAGAATCATTTGTATTTTAAATGATAGATTCTATGGTGATTTTGAATATGTTATATTGCATTGATTTTTGTAACATTGAGCTGTAATAAAGCTATTAAAATCATGTTTTCTTGGTGCAAATCTATTGCTATGCTACATTAATGATGCAGAAATGATTATGTTTGTTTGTTTCTTCCTCAGATTCTTACAAATTCTTTGTCGTATGTTGGTGGATGGTCCACCTAGCTAGCTTTCCTTGATGACAAACCAGTAATAACCAATATCTCCACAATAAATGAGTGACTGATTTCTAATCCAAAATGATATATACTAGTATACCATTAGACTCAATGTCCAAGATAATTTGTCACAGAAAAAATTAGCCTTACCCAAGGATCAAGCCAGTGACTACAGGATTATAAATCCAATGCTCTCCCTATTGGGCCAAGGTTTATCATAATGTAATATGATAATTGTTCAAGATAGATTGGATAAATCATTACTTGATATACTGAAATTCTGAAATTTGTTACTTTAGTATATTTATTTTGTTATTTAGATTAATTATTTATTTTTTACGTAGATGAGCTGGGCCAATTTAAAACAGAAAGATACATGTACATTGTATGTAATAAATGATTTTAAAAAAAACAACTTACAAATAAATTGAATATCTTATTCTTGTGGTATTCTTAGTCGGATTTGAGTTAAAGTGTTGTGTTAAATATCGACCTCAGCAGGCTGATCTTGGTCTGCACTGGTCACATGATAGGACTATAGGTTAATCAAATATTGCAATAAAAAAATACAGACTTAACAAAATGGTTGTGTCATGTTGAAATTTACAAGGAAAAAAATTTATTTTAACAAAACAGATTTCTGTTATTTCATGTCGTATAAACACAGTAATTAAATGTCAGCTCTGTAAAAATGAACATTTTTTTTCTTTCATTCATGAAATTCTTGAAGCTTGAGGCCGATATAAACGCAGTGACATGTTTGCATAGCTTCATAAAAATGATGGAATGGAAAGTTTGTTCAATGTTGTCACGGTAACAAAAAACCGGTAATTTCCAGACACTTGTTAGAAGCCTTTAGAAAGCATTTCCCAGAAAATTTGATGTCATCAGATTTGACTCATTACCTATCAAATGGACGGCACCATTTTTGATATGTAACGGTTTTGTGAAATTTCAATTTATAATACATGCACATTTTTTCATTTTTTGCACTGCAGAGAATTTCACCTATTCAAAAAATAATTATGAAGTCGTAAAAAAATTGTTTAAAATGAGACAGGTGGTTTTTCTTTGTTTCCTCATGGGAATGGTGCACCCCTCAAAAAATGGTGTCAGTTTTTTTTCATGATGCAAAGTTTATATTTTTCAGATGTTGACTGTACATGTATTTTTCACGAGCTGTTCTTATTAAGAAAATTGTATAAATTGAATATCTTGATATCGTATGGAAAAAGGATACAAAGTTGATGTAATCTGATAAAGTTTGTTTAAACAAATTTATCCGGAAAAAAAAAAAATTATGAAAAAAAAGAAATAAAAAAAACTCAAACAAACAAGAAACGTACAACAAATTCACATATTGGTATGCTTGTCATAATCGTTATTGATTGTTAAGCAGTATCATGTAGATATATATTTTGATGGAAATAAAACATTCTACATTCTACATCGGTTCTTATTTTTTTCAGGACAAATCTTGATGACATTTTAGATCTGAATGCATATGGTGACCTTACAACAGACAGGTATATTTCTTTCTGACATTCTCTAAAATTTCATGTGCAATTTAATACAGTTATCTTCAAATTACAATACTTTTATTTGTACAGAAGAAAAGTTACAGACACAAAATATTAAGCATATTTATTAAAAGGTTAACAAATGTTACCCATGTTTTATTTTAAAACTACCTAAAATATAAAAAGACTGCCCCACTCTTTTTATCAATTTGATGTTACCGATAAATTCTGAAAGCTTATAATATATAAATTTCCTTGGGTTATGTGGGCTATTTATTTATTTTTTCTGCTTAATAAAATATAAAATTGAGAATAATTTACGGCAAAATGTTACGTTAGTTTTACTTACACTCAAGTGAGCATTATGTGAATTAAGGATGCTAAAATTTTAATATGAACTAGTCCAGCTTCTATTTACGGAACTGTCCATTATCAATATATGAGGTATCAGGATGAATATTTTAGGTTACTCAACCAATAGTCAGACTATATGGATGACTCTATACTAGTAGCAGATGCTAATCACTGGTAAATTTTAAAAGTTATAATATTTATATATACATATTATTTCAGTTTGGAAAGTACATTTATAGACAGGGGTTATAGAATAACTGACACACATATGATAGATAAGGTAAGTCTGATTGTTATCGGAAACTAATTTTAAAAAAATATTCCTGATATTTCATTTCTTATTACAGCTTTCAATATTCCTTTGCCCAGGATTTTTCATGCAATTTTATTTTATAAGCATATTTAAGTTATTTTTAACTTTATTGTGTCATCATCAGTTTTATTACTATAATGGCGAGCTATTTATAGCTACTTTAACTGCTGTTCGCTGAATCAGTCAGTTTTTCTTATTATAAATATTCTTATGGCAAACACATTAATTATTTTATATACATTTGAAAGGTCATTATGTAAGTTTTATTCTTTAAAAGATTTTTTTGTCATTACTTAATATTTTCAGATATTTTATTAAATGCACAAGCAAAAGTTATTATTCTTCAATTATGATACCATATTTTTTTTTCCACCTCTCTCAGATAAACATCAGTTCTAGCTCATTTATTATTTTACTTGCATAAAACTGTTTCATGGGACTTTAATGGTTGTGAAAATTGACTTGTACTGACTGATAAGCCCCCTGGCTTGACAGGATAATTGCCCAATTTGCTTGCCTTTCTCATATTTTCAAAACATATAAATTCTGGTCATTTTTCATTCCCGCCTCTCAAAACAGATTTACGACCCAGAGAGTCTACGCTAATACCTCAGACAACGGCTGAATTGGAATAACAGTTTTCATAACAACTATAAACTTAGGCAAAATATGCACAAACAGTCTGTTTTTATGAGTTTGGGCAATAAATTTGCCATGGTAAATAATAATTGTGATGTTTTAAATGTAGTGTAAACTGTAAATGTTCCTAGGCCATACACTAGCTAGTGAAAGATTTACACAAATGCACTATGAATGTAGACTAATTGAGGGAGGAAAAAATAACACACAGAAAACTTCTGGAAAAAAAAATTTGTGACTTCTATTCTGTGGAGACTAAGTAAATCTTTAGAAATTATATTTTTTGTTATTTTGACTGATTTCTCTAGGTTTCTGTAGCTTTGTTAAACTTCTCACATCTATAGCAAAGACTAGCTCAAAAAACTTTTGATGCTGAAATAAAAAAAAAATCCATTTTTTTCTTAAATATTATTTAAACTCTTCATTGGTTTTTTAAACTAATAAAGTCTTTTAAAAAAAAATCAAATAAAAATCAAATGAAAAATTAATATGACTTGTATTTTTTTTTAGTTAATATTTTAACTTTGAATTGAAAAGAATATTTTAACTTTGCACTGAAAAATCAGAATTAGTAAGCAAACTGTTCTCTCCCTAAAAGTAATTAATAGAAATAATATTCTAAGATATTAACTCTTAGCCTGCTAGTTGCAACATATTCTACCTATGCTACCAGTGCTGACCATGATCAGCCTGTACACCTGTGCTGTCCATTTATGGTCTGCACTGTTTGCTATGCATACAGTACATATTATTTTGAAATTTTCCTAGAAAAGAATGAATGGTTTTGCCCAAATTTAAAGATGGACAAGTCCATTTAAGATATTAAGGGTGATAAGTGTTAGTAAAGTTCAAAAAACATAATGTTATAGAGTTCGAGTAAAGTCAAAATTTTTATCACACACCCGTACAGCTTTTACGACTCCGGTAAAATGGTATTACACAGCCGTGCATATATTTTGATGGTATATAAACATAGTGTTAAGACACGTTAAATGTTAGCATTATGCTATGAAAAATGGGTCTTTCACTTCCAACGGTCTTTAGTTTTGGTATGTGATAAATAAAATATTAAATTCGTGTAAGTTTAATGATAAAGTTATTGAACTCTTTAAATAAAATATTTTTATGTTTGCAAGAGGCTTGCATAACATGATTTTATTCAACTCGTTCAATAAATTCAGTTAAAATCTTACACTAATTCAATATATAATTCATGAAGGAAATAAAATTCAAAGCTTATATTTTTCAGATGTTGAGTGTACATGTATTTTTCATGAGTTGTTCATATTAAGAAAATTGTATCAATTAACCATCTTGATTTCAAATGGAAAAGGAAACAAAGTTGTCCTAATTTGATAAAGTTTGTTCAAACAAATTTATTCGAAAAAAAAAAATTGAAAAAAGACTCCCCCCTCCCCCATAAAAAAAAAGATAAATAAATACAATGTAAATAATTAAATAAAAAAAAATAAATAAATAAAAAAAAATAAATAAATAAAGAAAACAAAAAAACATGAAAAAGAACAACTAAGTCACAAAAGCTTTAAGATTATAGTGTTGTTGCTTAACCCATTACTTCATGAGCATTTTGTGAAAAATGGCTGTTTTCATTGAAAAGTCTCCCGTTACAAGTTCAAATTGCTATAATACTATAAAAACTGCTTCAACACTAATCAAACTTGGCACAAATGTTGACTGGACCATTGCACTTGCAACAACATGCTCAGGCTTAAATTTTCTGTTACCATGGCAACGAGGGGACATCTCAAAATTGCCAAAAATCACTATTTTGCGTTGATTTTTTCCATCAAAATTGATTTCAAAGTGCTGCACTTTCTCAATGGATTGAGATAGAGTCAAATGCTTTTCAGCGTTGGTTACACGTTACCTTATGATCAATCTGGGGTCATTTACAGCCTCTCCCAAGTCCAAAATTTTTTCATTTGATTCTATATATTTAATGTTAATATTATTTAAATGTAGAATAATAATACATTTAACTTCACAAAAAAATTATTTTACTGTACTGGTTGGAGAGATGACCTTGACACAGAGATACCCCTTGCATTAATGTAAAATGGCTTTATACTTACATTTGTTAATTGAATATATTGTTTGAAAGACTGTCCCCTAATAAAGAACATAATAAAATTCTAAACTCTGGCAGCTAAAGCTACCATTTTATCTTCAAATTTCTACAAAAATCTAAGTAAATTACCTGTTTTGATAGGCTGCCTTGACAGGAAAGATTATATTAGTTCATCATTGGTTAAGCTATATCCGACAAATTTTACAAATTTACAATATAACATTGATTTCAAGCAAAAAAAAGAGAAGACTATTACAGATAAAGGTTTTGAATATTAAACTAAAATTTGAATATTGTTAAATATGATTGAAAGAATTATGTGAACATTAAAAAATTGCTAAAAATATAATATTGCTAACATGCTTCTTACTATTCTCTTATCAAAGAAATAGGGAGATCAACAAAGCACTCAATATTGATATCTACATGTATATCATAATTATAAAATGGATCAAAATATTTGTTCAAATAAAATGGAAAATTGAATTACAAATTCTGGTTTTCTTTTTTCAGTTTTAAAAGCTTATGATTATAATAGTAGTAATGTTTTCAGAAACTATGAGACCGGTAATAAAAAAAATAACTTTCTGTTTTCATAACTTTACAGTCAGTGACCACTCTTACATTGGAGCAAGAAGGTAACGTAGATAAAGACAAACTAGATAGATTCCTTCAAACATTACTCTGGGAAAAATCAGTGCTTAACACACACGGTGAAGCCATGGAATTATACAGAATAAAGGTACATTTTTTTTATACCCGGGCCTTTAATCTTCTGTTGGTTTTACATGTATATGCACACACTCAAATTATTCTTATTGTACAGTTTATATTGCCTCTGTAACCCAGTGGTTACCTACCATTGCTGACTTTGAATTCACTTGCCTCTCACTATCTATGAATTTGAATTTTGTCAGGGTCTTTGTATTGTTTTATTAGAGGAAGCTATCTAGCTAGCCTAAGGATGGTTGATAATTTTACATAGGTGCCAAATTGGGCCAGAAGTAATGTACTGAGGGACGCCTGAAGTCTTCCTTCACAAGTAAAGATGACCTATACAATTTGATCAAAAATAATTAAATAGATGACATAACAAACATCTACCTGTTTGTTTAATGGCATGTTTTTGTGTGTATAAAAATTGCATATATATGTTTTTACGCATAAACATGTTTGACATTATGCTTCAGGCTCCATACTTCAACAGTATGACTGAATGGAATGATAAATAATGTGTTGTTTTCATAACTTTACAGTTAACAACAGTGGCTCTCAAATTATTTTATTCGTCTAGCAATTATGATCAATGCGGTGTCATTGTCATGCAAAAAACTTAATTGCATACCATTTATGATTATTCCAAAATTTCAAAAGGTATCAACATGAAACTTGGAATACGTGCTTATCATGACAAGGTGCCGTTGGTTGACTGGGCATTATTCTGAAAGAAATATTTTTGGTTTTATACCCCTTTTTAACTTTTTTTTTAAACAGACGAGTGTTAACACCACGTGTGGTGGTCTTGTATTCATAGGAATTGTATAATTAAAACTGGTAGTTATGGTAACAGAAAAATGATTCTATTTATCTTACTGTATTTCAGGGGGTATTATCAGTGGTGAATACTGAACAAAGATGTGTTGTGCAAGCCGTCCATGAATTGTATGATTCCCACCCAACTACCTCTTGGCAACCTGATGAAAAAAGAATTAATATATTGGTATTTATAGGTAAGTCTTCATACTTTTCAGACAGCCTTTTTAAAGAGCCCAATGAGTAAATGGTTTAAAATTTTGTTTCATTTCTATCTTTGGGTTGATAAATCAAGTTAGAAAATCATATACATTATACATGTAGTTAGCCAGAGAAGTAGCCTTATCACAATTATATTCATACAGAATTAGCTCCCTTTGATTTTCAAGAATTAATTGTTTCTATTTTTCATTTTTTTGGATTTGGAACTTTCCATTGTTAGTTTAGACTTTAGAGTATTTTATAAATCAGTAAATTTGAAAATTGGTAAGCTAACAGTATAGTGTTTTGTCAGATTAAATATACATAGATGATAAAATCTCATGAACAGAGCTTCAGCTTGTCAGTCAGTCTTTTTTCATTGAGTTTTAATTTACGATAAATTTAAAGCCATTTTATGTCCTTAAAACTTGAAACAAATACAATATGAAGTAACAATATTGAATATATATCATATACTTTAAATGATAACATGTTATCCAAGCACTTAGCACATACCATAATCACAAAAGCATGCATTGTTCGGATGATCACACCTTAACTTGTTCCATATTTTGTTTTACAAGAACTTTGTTGAAAGAAAGCAGATAATTTGTGCAGTTGTGATTAGGAAATGATAGGGATAAAAAACATTGTTGTATAATCAGTATCAGGAAAACTAGTATTATGCAGTTATTTTTCCTCCAGAAAACTGTTTGTTTCATCACCTAGGCTTCATACTTGCCGTCTGCTTTTCTTGTTACTTTTCCGCTGGTTATAAGCAGTGTCGATTACCTTTGACTTTATCTGGTTTGAATTATTGTTAAATTTATAAAAAAAACCCAGATTACCTGCAAAGGAAGTTTTAATTTTATGAACAGATTACCTGCAAAGGAAGTTTTAAGTTTAATAATAGATAACCTGCAAAGGAAGTTTTAATTATATTAACAGATTACCTGCAAAGGAAGTTTTAAGTTCAATATACATTTATTGTCTTGTTATAACAAAGACAATAAAATTATTACAAGCTATATTGTTGTACATCATTGAAAAACAAGATTGCATTTGAGAAAAATGCTATGCCACCGCATTAATACAACACTAAATAGTAGTGTAGGAACAGATTTATTTTGTTTCTATACAATTGAAGATTGTCATAATGCATAGATCCCTGACCTATCTAATTCTTATTAGACATTTGCGGTTTATAATGAGGAACGGGGATTGAGGATCGAGGACAAGTTATATAAAGGGATTATCTCAAAATAATCTAACGTTTTATAATAAACACGGTTTCTAAGTAACGGATAACACGGGCATTGTAAACGATAATTTGTGTTTGAATTACGTGATCTTGTCCTGAATAACATTATTCCTGTGGCTCTACTTGAGGTGAGATGTCCCATCAATAGCCCTGACTGCCATATGTACTCGCATTTGTTTAATGAGTATTTCAAATAAAAAACATGGAATTAAAGCCCGGATCACGTCTTTCACTGACGATACACTTATACTTTAACGTTAAGTTGAAGAACTTGTATCTATGTGTGCATTTGAAATTCATTTTTGCCAATTCAGTGAAAATCGTGGTGGGATTTTAAGCAAGCAAAAATTCCTACCGAAATAAATGAACCAGATATTTAGTAAGTATGATTAGAAGAAACGATGAAACTACAAAAGTATTTACATCATAAATCAGTTACCCTAAATCTGCACCATTCTTAATATATTTTGACATCGTGTAAAAAATAGCTTTTAATGCCTTGGTAAATTGCAATAAAATTCATCATTGTCTATTTTACTGACGCATTATGCTGATGTATTTTTAATATCTATATAATTTATATCCTCCATAAGCCTTTTAATAGACAGTCTTCTTCGACTGAAGAAGGTTATAAGTTCAAGCCACGTGATACCAAATACATGAAAAATGGTACTGACAGCTCCTGGTTTGGCGCTCAGAATTGAAACAGCAGTGATTAATGTTTAAGATATCGAATTTGATGTGGGAAATAAGATTGCGCACTGTCAAGAGAACCTCTTTAGATCCTACAATAGACGCACTATCAGTATATGACTAAAAAAAGTGTTGAAATATCTAAAAAAACTGATCATTCGGAAGCATTAAAAACAGCAAAAGAAATCATGAAATCGAAGACTCGGATTGATTGGGTTGATGGATAATAAAAAGTGAAACAACCCTTACTCCCCTAGCACCGGCTTAAGAGGTACTCAAATCTCAACACTTAAAAGTGCTGGACTCAATTATCTTAAAAGAGCAGAAAAATATAGCAACACTGAAGTGAAGTACGGAGCACATTTTACGACTGCCACACTGTACTGGACACCTGCTGCTTTGATGTATAACTCCGATTCAGTAATTCACTCCATTTCAATTTCACATTTCAATATTTTCAAAATATTGCCAGCGCTTTAGGCCGTACAAAGTCTTGAAAGATGTCTTTTGAGTGTTGGATTTAGTGCCGAAATAAAACACATTTAGGTGCAGTCCCTATGGAAAGACCGGGCATCTAAACTAAGGGCAAGCTTAAGCGGCTCACATGCAGCAGTCATTGATAAGTCAAGCTCCGATAAATCTTAACAGATGTACAAATGAGGGCCAACATGGACAGCTGACCAGCAGTTTCGCGAGACAACTCGAACCCGGATCAGTCCCACGTAAACTGCACAATCGAGGCCGTTGTCAAGACGTCAAGATATCCGTGCTCAAGCTGTAAAACGTTTTGACATCATCAAAGGACGAAACTATTGATGCACGTCAGTGCACTAAACAAAACAACCGTCAACGCAAACGACCACTGGCTGAGCTTATGAGAAAAGTTCTGAATTTATCTAGCTTCAGTTCCTCTTGCAATTACTAAAATGAAAATAAAAATGTTAGGAAAGAAACACAGTAAGATATCCTGGCTTTATTTCAAGTGTTCATATTATGTGTTGAGATGACCCCTCAATATTAACGTAACTGTTCCTCGATAATCGTTCCCGACATAATGTCGCAAATGTCTAATATCAGATTAGTGGTTAAATCTATTGTTAATCCAATAAAAGATCAGAGTAGGAATATATCAATGCACTTGAGTCTAGTGAATTTGGTGGTGAAGGTCATATTTCACACAGCCAAATTTCATGACTACATGAAAGGACAAAACAGTAAGACACTTTGTCAAAATCTAGGTGAGCTGATATCAAAGTTCACTTTACATCTTAATCTGTGCACATGGTTCAAATTTCATTGCTGTACATCAAAGGACAAGAAAGTAGGTCACATCATCAAAATCTAGGTCACCTGACATCAAAGTTCAATTTTACAACTACAACTGTGCACATGGTCAAAACTTCATTGCTGTACATCAAAGGACAAGAAAGTACGTCACTGTCCCTTGTGCAAGGCAAAATTTTGACCCAAGGGTTTAATTCAAAACAATCTTGATACAGGTCCGCCAAACAACATTTCAAGTCAAATATCTAAGCTGTAGCTTTCTCCCATTCAGAAAACATTTGTTTTATTTTCTGATTTTACCATGTGTACATAATGAGAATCACTGCCCCCAGGCAGGGCCAATTTTGACCCCAGGGCTATAATTTGAACAATCTTGCTAGAGGTTCACTTCGCAAAGTCTCATGCCATATATTTAACCTCTAGCCTTTGTCAATTCAGAGAAGATTTTTCAAGTTTTTACTTTATACATATAAGGAAAACTATCGCCTCTGGGGCAGGGCAATTTTAACACTAGGGGCATAATTAAAACAACTTTAGTAGAGGATCCATAGATGATATTATATACCAAATATCAAAGCTCTAAGCCTTGTACGTTCAGACAAGAAGAGTTTTTACTAAATGTACATAGTGAAAATCAATGACCCCTGGGGGTGGGGCCAATTTTGACCCCAGGGCTATAATTTGTACAATCTTGCTAGAGATTCACTACACAATGTTTCATGCAAAATATCTTAACTCTAGCCATTGTAAATTTAGAGAAGCTGACTTTTTAAGTTTTTACTATATACATATAAGGAAAACCTATGGCCCCAGGGCAGGGCTAATTTTGACATTAGAGGCAAAATTTTTACAACTTTGGTAGAGTAACCATAGATGATATCATTAACAAATATTAAAGCTCTAAGCCTTGTACCTTCAGACAATAAGATTTTTTGATTTTTACTATATGTATATATTGAAAATCAATGGTCCCCAGGGCAGGGGCAATTTTGACCCCAGGGCTGTAATTTGAACAATCTTGATAGAGGTTCACGACACAATGTTTCATGCTAAATATCTAAGCTTTAGCATTTGTCAATTGCTAGAAGAATTTTTTTTAAAGTTTTTACTATAAGTTTTTACTATATACATATGAGGAAAACCAGTGACCCCCGGGGCAGGGCCGATTTTGACCCCAGGGCTATAATTTGAACAATCTGGGTAGAGGTCTACCAGATAATGCCTTATGCAAAATATCTAAGCTCTAGGCCTTTACAAGATGGTATTTTAAGTTCTTACTATATGTACATATAGTGAAAATCAATGACCCCCAGGGCGGGGCCGATTTTGACCCCAGGGCTATTCTAAGCTCTCGGCCTTTTGGGTCTTTACAAGAAGGTATTTTATGTTTTTACTATATGTACATATAGTGAAAATCAATGACCACCGGGGCGGGGCTGATTTTGACCCCAGGGCTATAATTTGAACACTCTTGGTAGAGGTCTACCAGACAATGCCTTATGCAAAATATCTAAGCTCTAGGCCTTTTGGGTCTTTACAAGAAGATTTTTTAAATTTATTCTTATAATTCCTTTTGGTTGCAATGGCAACCAGATTTCTGAATGGAATGAAATTCTTTGAACAACTTTGGAAGCCCTTCACCTAAGGATCAATCAATCCTGCCAAGTTTGGTTGAAATTGGACTAGTGGTTTTTCACAAGAAGATTTTTTAAGTTCACTATATAATCTATATAACACACACACACACAAACAAACAAACACACACACACACACAGGTGAATCGCTATATGCCACCGCATCACAGATGCTGCGGTGGTATAAAAAAGAGGGCCTGGGATTCCTTACTGACATATCTTTTGTTATAGATATTCTACACACATTGTGTAAATATACTGAACACCAACCTACTTCACTTTTACTTGTTTTTGGAAAGTATACATTTTATAGGAATTTTATAGAGTTCCACAACTAATTTTCAAAACTTATTTGATCGAGGACGTGCCTGATTACATGGCCAAGGACCTGCTTTCACATAGCTATGGATGTTTTTCATATTGCAGTTATTATCCCCCTTGGTCAACATATATATGTAGTTATTCTCAAAGAAAGTCATTGTAATAAACAAATATTAATGAAGTTTTTTTTTATTATTTGTTGTTGTTGTTTTTTTTTCAGGAAGAAATTTGGACAGAGAAGTCTTAGAGAAGGAGTTTATACAATGTGTGTGCAATAACACATGAAACGACATGTGCACAACTTTCTTTTAAAATTATTTATAACTGTTTAATTGTCCTTTGTCATTATCAATAAATGAGTGTAAATACAGATTTTTGTTGTTGTATTCCTTGATTCCCTGACATAATTTTACTGATTTTAAAAGTATACAAGTCTTAATTTTATTCTAACAAATAAATATTTTATAATACAAAGTAGTTTATTTTCAAATGTAGAAATAGTATTGTTTATTTTCAATAAGTTTTTTTATTTGGAAATCATAAAGAAGCCATTGTCCTTTACACCATACATGTACTTATGTACATGTATATATATTTACTGAACAATTATAATGCGGTGTAGAGCCAGGCTATCAAGCAAATATCGTAGACTGTTAGCTTAATGTGACATTATGCTCATTTGTTCGCTGTCACATTGAGTTAAATTAGTAATATAATTCAAAAGATTGGCAATTATTATGCTGATAGAACAATAATTGATAATGAAAATTGTTTATGATACAATATATAAACTACATAAATTATAATTGAGCCGCGTCATGACAAAACCAACGTAATTGCGTTTGCGACCAGCATGGATCCAGACCAATCTGCGCAGTCTGATCAGGATCCATGCTGTTTGCTTACAAACCCTATTACAAGTAGAGAAACTGATAGCGAACAGCATGGATCCTGATCAGACTGCGCGGAGGCGCAGGCTGGTCTTGATCCATGCTGGTCGCAAACCCACTATGTTGGTTTTGTCGTGACGTGGCTCAATAAAGACTGTCCCATTCTTTTTAAAGACTAGAGCGTGACTGATACATTCTGCACGATATGGACATTTCCGTGGGTCACAAGAATAATTGGTTATTCTTTCATTGTAAAATATAAAATTAAACAAAATTATGGCTTTACCTGTTCACTTACTATTTACACTTGGATGAGCATAATGTCACTTTAAAGATTTTCAATTTTGACCCTGATATAATTAGATAAACAACTTGTGTTTGATATCAAGTACTGAGGTTCAAAATCCTAAAAAATAAAATTTGAATTTCTTACGTAGATCAGCTGGGGCACTTATAACAGGAAGATATGCAATAGATGATTAAGAAATATTCCCAGAAAAAAGATTGAAAATCGTATTTTTGTGCTATTCTTTGCCCAATTTTGAGTGAAAAGGTTGGAACGCTTTTCTTGTATGTTTCATTTTTAACAATTTGAATAATTATTCTGGTAAAAAACGAGCAAGAGAATAGTCTGAAATTTTTCACACAATTTATTGGTCTAGACCTACATCAAATGGAACATTACTGAATATTGACAGAATTTATCTCAGAAAAGACGCACGTTTTCTAGGTCATGAAAGTTTCAATAACAGTTAAACCTACAAGTAAGATGCAATATACATGTCGGTTATCCCGATATACATGTATATATTACTAATGTTAATTTCATTTTTGAGGATACATGTATGGGAAATTTTATACTTTTCGGAATTAAGAAAGACAATCATTGTTGCTAAGGCCTGCTTATTTTTTTTTTCTCCACTTTTTCTTTCTTTTTAAGTTTTTGTTGAAGTAAGTGCTGACTTTGAAATACCGACTTTATTTTAATTCTTTTTCATGCACGAGACGATATTTTATCCTTTTATTCTCCCTGTATTTTAAAATTGATGCTTTGTATTATTTACCCATTTTTAAATAAAAACTTCTTTGTGTTCGTTTTTAAAGAATGTGACCAATGTCCAGCTAACTTTTGTTTACTTGTAACTAATTAAAAATTTGATATTGATATTAATGCGGACAACTATCATTAGTACCAGCGTTCGTTTTTGTTCAGCCGCAGACTCGCATGAAAAGGAGGAGTAAAGAATTTCATTTTTATGGAAATATTGTTGACACACTATTGTCAAAATATAAATTCTTCAAATGAACACTAGAAATGACAATTATGGACTAGTTATTGAAGGGTTTCTTGCTTTTTATGACAGCTGGTGTTCACGTGACTTCATCAAATCTTCGTCTGCGCCCAATGAATACCGCGAATAAATAATACAAACTGTCTTTTGAATATTTCCGTACATATTTGTTTTGAGAAAATAGAAAATGAGTTTGCCACTGATTAATACTGTATATTAAGTGGGGACAAGTGTTTAATTTTTCCCCGACATGAGCTATGACATTTGTGATCATTTACAAAGATTATTTCTTTTTCCTATATCAAGTAGTTACGTGTGCATCTTTTTTCGCAGAAGATATGTGCTTTTGTCACAAAATGATATCGTATTTATTGTCTTTTTCTGTGAAATTTTTGATATTCAAAATCCATTTAACTAAGCGAAAGGTTCAGCAAAAGAATTGAGACCTCCAAAAGCGATATTGACTGAAACATGTTTATAGGTTCAAAAATTTTTATAAGGAAATAAAATGGGGAAAGTAGTTCCATTGTATTAATAATTGCAAGTTCAATCTCAAGAACGTATTAAATTTAAAAGAACCCGAAGAACTTTTTAACTTTAGAAAAAAACAAAAAAGGCAACACATTTGTCAGACTATCGTATTTCCTTGAAATGTTTGGCAAGCGTAATTTCCGGGTGTCACACCGACATTTATAAATGACTGGTACATTATAATAACCATTAGTAAGATTTTACAGATTTGATTAAAATACAGTTTGATCTATTAACCAACACATTCACTGAATGTATCCGAATGTACGCTTTGTCCAACCAGCTGCATCGGTATTTTGAAGCAGACGTAAAAACTGAATTCACCGTTAGAACATAATTTGCAAGAATTTTAGCAGACGACTGTTGGTAATTAATCATTATACAGAGCCATATTCGCAAAGACATTTCGGTTGAATGATTAAAACTTTGTTAGATTCGAATTCAACATTTCCATCTGGTATAAGCATAAGTCAAACTCTTGAACGAGTTACTATCTTTTAAATCTAGGACCATTAAGGAACGTTTGGCTGTTGAGCCTTTCAAAAATCGAATAAATATTTTATTTTTGGTACTGCAGTATGTTCATTGTGCTCCTCTGAGGTAAAAAAATCTAAATTATAAAATTTGAAATTTTTACATAGATCAACTAATGCACTTTAAATGGAAAAAAATTGCAAAAGATAATAACGAAATTTATTCCGAGTTAAACTGAAACTCTGTTTTTAGTACGATTCTGAGCCCGGTTTGATTGAAAAAACGTTACAACGCTCTTCAACTTTGCAATAAGAATGATAAATTTGGAAATAACGGAGTACGGGAATGATCTGGAATTTAGCTAAAGCTATAATCCAAGACGTCCATCAAAGGGTACACATGTCTTGAAAAAAAAAAACAATTACAACAAGAAGGTCCTGCGAATTTAATTATTCATTCTCTAGTGGAAGTAAATTAAGTCCTAGAATTGTACTTTATCACATTATTGTAACGGTTCAAAACATCTTAATTTTTTTTATATCAAAATATTATTTCTATGAACAAAATAGCTCATTTTTTTTACAATTATGCATTTTTTACAATTATGCATTTGAGTAATATATACACTGTAGTTGTCATCTCATTTTCAAACGTACACGATGGAAACATGAAATGGAGAAATATATCTATGTAAAAGAAGACTTCTGAAAGGGATGCATATATACAAATTATTATAATTGTATACAAAACTTTTACATCTTCGGAACACAACTTGCTACATGCTCATGTACTTAGACCTTTTATTTTTCAGCATAATTATTCTTCGAGTTGGTTAAAGGAGCTTAACTAAAGCCAAACACGATTTCTCTGCTATTTTCTTAAAAGTGTTGCTGTCAGTGTATCAATAAATAACTGTAATTTACCATCTTCTACCGTAGTCAAGAACGCAAAAACAAATAATTATTTACGGAAACAAGACGCTCAGACTCAATAACTGTTTCACATGAAAAGCGGATAAATATTACCGATTTTAATTTATATTTATACACACGTCTCTATAATGAAGAAACACTGGCCAATAACAAACAAGCGCGCCGAAAAGTAAATATTTTCCCTGGCATTTCCCGCTTTGATGGTGTTTCTTTTGCATGGTTTTCACTCGCAGATTCACACATAAACCAAGCTGAATAAATATTACCGTGTCAATGAGTTTTATAGAAGACAAGATTCGGTTTAGAATATAGAAACAGCTACTGATGGGTAAACGTTATTAAATCATTAAAATCAATTACAAAGATGATATGAAAGGGTAAAATATGATATACTGAGGGCATGAACTCCAGATTTCATTGACCGTTGATGTTTTTCCCCTGAATATAACTAAAAGAATGAACGTATTAGGTATACGGATGATTTATTTGCACAGGGGACCAGAATTTACAACACTTACTGAAACAATAGGTTTAATTTCCATCAAAATGAACCCACTCGGTAAGCATCCAGATTACATCGGCATTTTCATAATGACAAAATGTATGCATTGAATTGAAAGCTAATTTCATCTGTCTTTTAAAAAATAATTGCACTCCTCAAAAAAAAAAGCAAGACAAGGTTTGCAATGTTGCTATGTATTTAATCATTAAATTTTAATTAAATTTTAATACATTATGTTAGACTGTTTTAGAAAAATCTGATTTTCCAATGTCACGTGTATGGAACATATCACGTGCTCAGTGATAAAAGCTAAATCTGTGAAATAAGTCGAATCACAGCACTTGCCATAAAAGTAAAATAGAAACACATATAGTTGAAAATACGCTTACTATTTCGTTGCGTTACGTCAGTGGAAATGCGAGTGTTTAACACAATGTTTTCTACATTGGTTGAAATATTTAAATACTAATAAGCTATAAATTGTTGTTTGATTTCTTCAAGATTGCAGGTTGTGCCAATTAGCACTAAAGTATCATGTGCGTGGCTTCCATATTACGACATCTGTCGTGCAATTTGTTAATGTCTCGTGCATGGCGCGCGTGCAATTTGTGGCACGTGGTGTAGCTCATTTCTTAGTATTGTGTAAACAAATTAAGTTTCTTGACAAATTGAGAATCGTTTTGATTGGCATTTTTATTAACATCTTTCTGTCGACGTTTCTTGGCCAATTTTATTCTCTTAAGAGAAGGAG